AATCGAGATTGGATATACTAAAGGTACGAGATCAATGGGATATTAAGACAAGAATTCTTGCAAGGATTGGAATCGTTTATACAGTTTTGCAGTTGGTAATCCCAGTTGTATGGATGGTAATAAGTTGAGGTGTCCATGTAATCACAAAAAGTGTCAAAATAGAGCCTTCTTAGATATCCTTAGACATTCGATACAGTGAAACTTCATTTGTGCAAGAAAATGGGTTACGTTGGAAAATGATTACGAATCGGATACATCATGGTTGAAAGCTCGAGTTGCCAGTGGTTCAGGACCACTCCATTCCGGTAAGTTTAGAAGTTCAGCCTATCATTTTCTGTTCAGTATGGTAATCAATGCAATGATATGGTAATCGATGCGAGTAGAGTAGAATGTCATTGGGATAATATGGAGGAATCGCCAAACGCAGCAGCACAATAATTGTTTGACATGCTAAGTGCAGCTAACAGTGAACTGTGGCCTGGATGCAAGAATCATTCAGTTCTATCTGTTGTGGCGCGATTACTGCACATGAAAGCGGAGCACCATTTTTCAGAAAGGTATTACGATGATTTTGTTCAGTTAGCAAAAGAATGTGCGCAATAAGGCAAAGGTCGAGGGATCAATTTGCAATGCATATTTGGTGGAAGAAGCTTCCACCTTCTATTCACACTACTTTGAACCACATGTTTTCAAATAATTTGTATTGATATTCTGGGGTGTTGACTCGGAAGTTTCAGAAGAATGCAAGTTTTGTAATCTTCCCAAGATATCAACGGGCGGTCAAGGACTGGGTAGAGTACAAAGGGAAGAAGGCTTTCAAGAGATGTATTATTTTCGCCTCTTGTTCCTCGCCTTCAAAGTTTATATGCAATCAAAGGCGACACAGCTGAGCACATGACATGGCAATGCCTTTGCATGAAATATGAGGATGGTATAATGACTCCTCCGTCAGACTCTGAAGCGTGGAAACATTTTGGATAACATTCATGCCTCTGTTGCTGCTGAAATAAGAAACGTGAGATTGGGGCTTTGACTGATGGGTTTCAGCATTTGCCATCAGGACAACAATAGTTCATGCATGGCCTATCATTGTCAAACACCAAATAAATCTATCCACGGGACAATGTGTAATGAAAGATGATATATGCTTTTTGTGTGTTATCGTTCCTGGGCCTACTAAATCCAAAACATAAAATTTGCTGTGTTTCTGCAGTCTTGATGGCCGAACTTAATTTTTATGGGAATATGGGGTTCAAACATTCGATATATTCGAACCTAATCAGAATTTCATAATGCGAGCTGCTTTGCTTTGGACCCATCAGTGATCTTTCCAGCATTTGGAAATGTTATCTGGGTGGAGTACCGCTGGCACAAATTGGGATTGGCTTGTCCTCATTACATGGAAAACACTAATGCATTTACACTAAAAAATGGAGGTAAATAATGTTGGTTTGATTGTCATCGCAAATTCTTAGCAGAATCTTACCCTTTGAGGAGAAATCGACAATGCTTTAGAAAGAACACGACTATTACTGATCCCCTTCCGCCTGTGAAGTCTAGAGTTGAAATATTACAAGAAATTGAAGATCTGGGCATATGAAAGTTACAGAGTTAGGTGCAGAAGAGATAAATGGTAGAATTGGCAGGAATAGCGGATGGAAAAAGCGAAGCATCTTCTAGGATTTGCCATACTGGAGTTCACTTCTTATCCGTCATAACCTTGATGTACAGCTGGCTCAGCAAGCTCACAGATGCTTCTACAGCCAGCGCAGCACCGCAGGCCGAGCACACTGGCTCCGCACTGATGATGATATACAGGCTGCAGCTGCTGATCAGCAGAGACAGATTGCAGAGCTTAGAGGCGCATGTGCCTGCGGCTGTTGCCGGTGAGGGACGCGTGCTGGTAACTTCTCCTCTGATCCTGCGCCTGCTACAGACGGCGACATGTTTCGACGTCTCCAGCTAGCAGCCACTATCGGCTCCTGATTCCCGAAGCTGCAGGCGATACCTTGCTCACCTCCTACATCCAGCAGGTACTCCTCCCGGCGATCCGACATCGGGAGATCCGACATCGGATCTTGCAGATGAGCAGCAGCATATATAGATTTGATTTTCGAACTTTTTAGTTTTTCATTTGTATTTTCATATTTTAATTTGTTCAGAACAATAAAAATTGCATTTTTATACTGTTATTGAATTGCGTGTGTGATATAATTGCATTTATGTCAATTTTCACAGGTGCAGAAAAATTTTGGTTTCAAAAATAATATTTAATTTTTTTTATTTTTTTTTTCACTTTTGCGACCGATTTGATACCAAAAATAAAAATTTGGAATTTACAATTTGCGACCCATTTGCGGCCGATATCAAACAAATTGCGACCGATTTTCTGCGACCAAATTTGCGACTGAATTTCCAATTAAACCACATTTCCAATTAAACCAACGACCAAAATTTGGGCGACGCGCTTTTTTTCAATTTTGGGCCGACCGGACTTAAATCGGTCTCTATTGCGACCGATTTTCTGCATCGGTCGCCGCCGCAATTAACATTGCAGACAGTTGATTTTGCGACCGACGTTTGTCGGTCGCAAATCGGTCTCAAACGACCGACGTTTGTCGGTCGCAAATCGGTCTCAAAGTATACATAGCGACCGATTTTTGCCATTTTGCGACCGATTTGTCGGTCGCAAAATGGCGTTTTTTTTGTGGTGATTTTACTATTTGATGGCTTTTTATATTTATTAAAATAAAATTAGTAGTGTGCGAAAATTAACATGTGATATATAATTATAATATGAAAATAATTGAAAGCGAAACTGCGAAGAAGGTGCACCATTTTGAGAAAAATAACTAAACATCCCTTTTCAATAGGACTTTTGAAAATGACCCATGCCATGTCCAAAGTCATATTGCATAAACAGTGAGGTAATAATTAGTGGAATTTTACCGTATGCCTTAGATATTTTACCCCAAATAAAATTAACCTATGAGGTAAAATTGATTGAGGAGTAAATTATTAAACCTAATAAATAGGATTAACTGGCAAGTACTTCCTTCTGAGAAGTTGAAGCAACTTTGGCCTTTTTTACCATAAGCACTTTTTATCTTTATGTTCTCTATAATTGTCTTTAATCAATAGTGGAAAAGTTACATTTTTTTTTTATTTTTATTATTTATTTTGCCAAATCCTAGATTCTCTTGTCTCACAAAAGGGTGCTGGGAAGACGGGTGGTACAAAAATTAAAATTTGAAAAATAAAATAAAAAAGTTTCAATAAATTATGGTTTTAACCTAAAGCAAATTGCTTTCAAGATCACAATTACTGTCTATGATGAGATTAGCCAAGCATTAACAAAGTTGTAGGTCCAGCTTTAAAGCAACGGTCGATAATTTTAAATTAATTAATTCCATAAATAACATGTAAATTTAACTCATATTTCTATTATTTTGATAATTGATTTTGCTATTATTTAAATTAACATAAATAAAAATACTTTCAATATAAATATTCTATTTATAATGTCTTTAATTACATTCAATTATATTCCGTTAATTTAAATATTTTAAATTGATATATGATTTAATTTAAATATTTATTTACCAATAAAAAGGGAAAAAAAAAAAAAAACATTCACATAGGCGGGAATGAGTAATGACTAATATTACAAAATTTATATGATTTGATTAGAGAAGAAAGGGATGGGCCCCATGATTTTTCCTTTGATTATTGGGCCCAATGATTGGAGTAGATTAATGGAGGCAATGACAGTTGTACTAACCCACTTTACTAAAAGAAAAAAAAAAAAAAAGTTGGATTTGTTGCGGACTTAGGTATAAAACGACACCTGAAAAAGAAATCTCATTCTCTCCCAAAAATGTTCAAATTTTGAGCTATGCCTAAAATTTGCCAAACAATATAGAAGTATAGGTAAATGTGCTATAATCTCACTATTTTTTTTTTAAATCGAAATCGGATCAAATCAATTTTAAAAAACGAAATTAAAATTAACTCGTAATTTTAATTCCGTTTTAAACCTATCAGTCATTTTAATTAAAGGAGAAAAATGCAAGGAATTGATTAAAATTAGAACGAGTAGTCTCTTCTTCTCCTTTAAAAGGGTCAAATTTGTCTTTTTCCAATATTTAACTATATCTAAGTAGTCATTGTATAATAACGAAATTTGAAAAATTATATTGAGATAAGTGCAATTATTGTTGAAATAATTGATAATCTCATTCTTATAACTTATGATCCCGAGACCCTACAATATTTGTATGGAAATTTTGGGCCCAATTATACCCTTTTTGTTTTCAAATTAAAGAAAATAGGGAACACATGGGTTGCACCAAGTCAAGATAAAAGTTTTTATATATATATATTAATTTTCTTTTATATTTATAAAATCCTATTAATCTATAATAAGAGGGAGTTTTTTGTCTTATCAGTCCCTAGAACCGACTGGTTGTATAATAATGACTTTTTAGCCCTAATTCTTTTTTTTTTTTTTTTTTTTTATGACTTTTTTAGCCCTAATTCTTTTTTTTTTTTTTTTTTTTTTTTTTTTTTTTTTTTTTTAATTCTTAGGGTACTGTGATACTCATAATTTCATGTGAAGATTTGTGTATATTATGTTTTTGTTTGTTCACATTTAATACATGTTTTTCAACAATCATGAAAGCAATTGGTTCCCCGTTCCAATTGTCAAAAGATGTGCAACTTTAACTAACTTTCATGATAAACATGTCAGGTGCATGTTATAAGTTGAAGTAGTAGTTGAAATTTCCAAAACTTTGTCAGGATTTGAAATTCTCATCTCCTTTCATACATTTGACTGATTGACAGTTCAATGGCATCAGAGTGACCTGCAGAATTGCTAGTGCGAGCTGTAGAACCTGTGCAACATGCAGATTAAATTTTAATGCTTAATCATTATCAACGGAACTTAAATCGTAGAACTATATGAACCACCAGTCAATGAAATTGTCAGAAATGAGAACTACTGGAAATTTGGAGTTCATATTATCAGGGCATAATAATCTTCTGCCATTTGAAAATCTGGAGATGTCAATGCGATATCATTTTTAATACCCATTTGTAAGGCACCACAATATACAAAAGTATTGTCTCCACTATTTAAGAAAACTATGGCAAAATGCAAATGAAGTATGACAACTTGACGAGTAATGACATAGAATTGCAGGTGTTGTGTCTGTAGGTAAGTTGTCCATGTCGACACAGAAGTGCTCCCGTAGTTATGATTTGCTCGGTGAAGGCCATACCAGAGGTGACAATATGTTGTTCACTCACTGGTGACATGCAAGGGTCGGCAATGATAGCAGCTACTTCAGGCCATTCTTCTATAACAGTTGAAACTTTCGTGTCAAAATAGAACTAAAAGCATCTTACTAGCTAGCAGTCCTCAAACTTCAATATGGTAAGCATCTGTTGGCATCCCTACTAACTAGTTAGCAGTTTTATTATGTTTAGTCACGAGTTTGGTCGACACTATCTTTTTTGTTAAAAGCCTCATTGGGATCCCTTTCCTTAGCTTTCACAATGCCAGGGCCAAAATTACCACGACTTGATGTTACTTTGACTTTGCTGTCAACCCCATGGGATGAGGTGGAAAATGGGATTTCTGATGTATGAAGCTGCATGCTCTTTTGCCTCTTCACTCCAAAGAATCCACATTCAATAGCTTCCAATGCTCTTGTGGTCAAAGGTCTGTTTCTAGTGCTTTGTCTTCTCGGATTCAAATTAGCCCGCTCTACTTCAGGACTAGCATCAACAGAAGCGCTCAATGCCTTGGGTTCAGGCTTATCTGAATTTGAAGAAAAGCATGTATCATTGGCATTTGCTCCCTGTCTGCCCTCCACATCCACCGCTGCTGGTTCATCAGATTCAAACTCCAATGGAACTTGGGGCAGGTTCAGGTCAATCAAAGATGAGGTTTCATGCTTCACATTTTCCCCATTAGATGTTTCCATATCAAAACAAGTTTCGCCTAGAATGTCTCTAGTGCTTTCTTCTAGGGTATCTTCTGCTGAGGAAGCAGTTAACGATAATTTCTGGGGGTGACTAACATGAAAGATATTGCTGCCTCCCCCTTGTGAGCTCAAAGCACAACAAGACCCTTCTCGTTTTGATCCCAGGCTAACAGAAAAATTTTCCATGACATGATTTAACTCACTATTAGAACAAGCAGTTAATCTCCGCCGTTTGACAACAGGAACTAAATTATTTGAATGGCCAGACCTTGATCTTCGACTAAATTTGTGCTTTATAGTCCTTGCTGACTGATGTTCATTTGGCACATTGTTATTATCCTTGAGGCTTTCTACCGATTTGTTCTTGACATCTCGGTTTAGGGTCTTCTGTTCCAAGCCACTGCTATTGATCACATCCTCACTGTGGTTGTATTTGTTGACATTCTTTTCCCCACTTGACAGAATACTGATTGCATCTGGCATATGCCCATCCAGTGAATCCTCTTCATCTTTTACTGATGAAGTGGTCACTTCAGAAGCAACTATGTCAGCTGGTGAATATCTCAGCTCTCTCACCTTTGATGCTTTTCCAGCATGGATCAAACTTGTATCCACAATGGTGAACTTTGTACGGTTTGAAGCACAAGCATCGCCTTTTTTTTCACAACAGCTAACACTATTGCTATTCTTTTCACCTTCCGATGGCATGTGCACAGAATTTATCTTACTGTTGCTCAGTGAGTTGTCCAAAAAGATCATCTCAATGCTACTCGAAAGGGTTGTAAACAAGGATTTAACTTTCAAATCATCTGGTGCATATCTCATTTCCCTCATCTTGCATAATTTTCCTCCATCAGCCAAACCAGAGTCGACAACAGTGAACCTCACAATGTTCATATTGTAACTAGAAACTCGAGGTTTGAGGTAACGATTAATTTTTCGAATGGAGGGATCATCCTGGCCTGATGGTACTTCAGCAACCCACCTGTCCTCTTCATTGCAGCTGCTACCTCTAGCTTCTTCAGTTTCGAGCTCAATAAGTTTTGGTTCAGATGCCACCTTGTTCAGAACATCACTAACAGAATCGAAGTAGTGGTTACCTTTTACAAGTTTCCTTTTTGAGAACTTTTTAACGCCAGGAATGAGAAACACTAGACAGTGGTTGGAACCTATATAACCGTGATTCTTTGGTTGCTCAGAGTGCCACCCTCTGGCCAGCAAACGGGGCCAAACAGCTTCCCAGAATATATCATTACAACGAGCCTTACTCAAACGGATGCCCCCAGTCAACAGCTTCATTATGTCACCAGAAGTCAGAGAGGAGCAAGCTTTGCCAATTGGGCAAACAGAAAACAATGGATTGCTTTTTGCAGGTTCCATGGAAACACTTGTCAGATCTTCCTTCCCCTTACCAATTCGAATAGAATCTACAAGAGCTTGAATGCCAACAATGGCCTTTAAATTGGATACATAATCTTCTAGAGAAATTTTATCCTCTGAAAATGCTGTAAAGACCTGATGTCAGGTAAAAAATAAGGTGAGATATTGGGATGTTCTGTCAAACATTAAACAAGTTTATTTAGCAGCACGCCTAAAAGGACAATGTTTAGTAACCAGAAAGAACTCTATCTATTACAAAGATTTCAATGTTTTCGTGTGCCCCGATCCGACATTGACATTAGGGACTGTGGGGTTGTGTTATATAAATGTTATTTACTATTGAAAGAAATGGAATACAACCCAGATTTGAACTAAGCCACAAATTTCGAACAAAGGGAGCAAGAAAACAAAATGAATGGCCGTTAAACAAAATAGAAAAAAGAGTGCTTCCTCATGCATGTTATGAGTTCGCCAGATGAGTATAGCATGTCAGAGAAGGCAACAGCTTGTGTACCCCACAACTCAAGCAATGAAAATATAAACCAGAGAGATCCCTTGGGACTGCAAAAGGATTTTGCTTGGAAACAATGCTTAAGAAGTTAAGACTTGGTCAAGCCAATCTTATCCTAAATCAAGTAAAAGCTTTTGCCCCTTCAGTAAATAGTTAAAAAGTTCAGGCAACTACCTTGAAAATAATTTTGAATCATTATGCTCTCAAGCAAAGAAAGAAAAAGCAATTCAAAACTTTTCTTAATAATTTTCTTTCCTACTGAAAATACCATCAGAGTTAAGTCGTAAGAGCACTGTGTGCATATTTGTTGTATTTTTTTAAAATTTTAGCACTTATACTATCACAAGTATAAAATAGGAAATCAAGGTGTGCACATACAAAAAGTACAACAGTGCAGGTACGAAATAATTCAAGGTAGAATGATGAAATTTGAGTATATACAGTAAAGGACGGCATTGAGGAAGAAACAATGACATGCAAGTAGCAATAAATGGAGAGAGATTTTTCAGCATGTAATGCAAACGAAACAGCAGTTTCTCTTTGCACAAAGTGCAGAAGAAAACATTCATGCATTCCATTCCAATGACAGGTACCTCATCTGCATATGCATCTATGATCACAGATAAAAGATTTCATACTGACAACAAATATATCTAGTGCAGAATTGAATTTTGAAGCACCTCTAGAAAAGCATTTTGAGAATGCTCAGGGACATGGGACTGCAAACGGGAGAGCAGTTCATGTCGTCTCCACCCTGTAAAAATTTTCTGTCCAAAGATGCATTTCTTGCGTTTTATCTTTCGGCAATCTGACCATCTACGGTATCCATCAGACCTGTAAAACTCACCATAATAAAAAGATAATATTTCCCCCATTTTTTTGTTGTCCATGAATCTCTCTATCTGAATAAAATTTTTTCCAAATATATATAAGCCAAGAATGAAACTATCAACTTCGGCATCTGTCCAAGGGAGATTGGATGAACCAGGAACAGGATAATGATGTTTGCTCTTATGCAGCTGAGGTACGTTAGCCTTCCTTGCTATCTCGGGTCCAAGATTTGCTAGCTTTAATTTTATTTGATCATCCACTCCAAGATCCAATGGTTCTGCTTTTTGTCTTGAACATTTGCTCTTCAGAATGTTATTCTTTCTGCTAGTTTTGTATTTGCTTGATTGACTTGCATAGACTAGATCATCAGGGTTGGTCATTCGGTCCCCTTTATCCTTTCTGTTATTTGTTTTATTATGAATCCAAGCAAGTGGGATGGGCAAACCCAATAGAAAGTAGTGAGAACCATCATCTTTGACTTTCGAATCAAAAGAGTTCAGTAAAAGTTGAGCATTTTCAAATTCTGATATCATGGGAGGAATTTCTGCCTGATATTCATCACCAACTCGGGGATTTACCTCTGGATCTCCAGATATGCCACTTATCTTAGGGGAGCTTGGAAGAATTAACTGCTCAGAAGATGATTCTTCAATAGAACTGTCATCATTGTTCAGGTGAATTGGCTCCATCTGAAATTTTCATACACAATAAAAATGATGAGCAATAAACTGAAAATGAAAGATAGGGAAGGATATCACGAATTGGATCAATTATGAACCCAGGTATAAATTCACTAGATTTTACGTGATTTAAAGCACACCAATCCAAATGTAACACCAAAAAGCAAACAAACAGACTACATAAATAGTTGAAAGCATCCTCAATCCTAATCTTTTTTGAGATGAGCCAACATGTCATGGTTCCAGCTGTGATCTATTAGGTTCAAGTTTCTGACAACAAGCATTAGTGGTTTCCCTAATTGGGAAGCTTTGCTTAGGCTAAGAAGGATACATAAAGAAGAATGCAAGAACTATACATAAACTGAGTGAGTTCACACTCATCAACAAACCTGTAGACAGAAAAACAAGCACTTGTGGGCTAAAATTTTCTCTCTCACCAGAAATATCATTATTGTCATTTCCAGATTCCATGTTTGAACTAAAACAATTATGACAAATAAAAGTAAAGTCCTTAATATTTGCAGCATAAATAAATAAATATTAATATTAATAAGACGACAAATTTTTAATCACCCATAGGTCTAACGGAAACTCATATGAAACTACTACTACCCCAGAAAATAAGAGAAATTCTCAATCATTAACAACCTATATTGTAAAAAGACAGCATTGGCATCACTCAGCAAAGCCCACAAACCAGATTGTTAGAAAGAATCACGATGATTATCATTTTCAAATAGGGTAGTCACAGTCTTACCTCTCACAAGGTTAAGCATGCTCAATCTATTTACACAATTATCCAAAAGAGATATTTATATACTTGATCACCAGTAAAACCCATATGCCAAATAAAACAAACGCTGATAAATCATAGAGGTTTGAGGATACCAACCCAGACCAAATTAAACATTTACAGATCAATTTTTACCAAAGGTTCAGCATCAAGAGCTAATAAACATGTTCAAAAAACAAAAAGAATCAGCAAAAACAGTAGAAACAATCGAAAATAAAGATCCAGGAAACCAAGCGAGCAATATACCACAATAACAAGCAAAGTTCTTCTCAAAAGCAGACAAACTGATAATGCTAAAGCCAAGCATTGCTAAGTTAAAGCCTATACGAAGGATTGATGTGATCCCACCAACAATTAACTTGTAACAATACATAGCAAGGATATAAAGAACAAGAATACACGATAGAGAAATATCACGTTAACAATAAAAGTGCGTGTGCAAGAAACCAACACTGAATATAGATTGAATGTTCACTAACATCAATGGAAGTGCCTGAAATATCAAAGACAACGTGAAATCTACAGCCTGTTAAAAAAACGGGACTTTCATGTTATGCTCTAATTTACATCTATCATCAAACTTTGAAGTTGAAGACACGAAAACCATAACAAGAAGAAAGAGCACCAAAGATTTGAAGAAATAAAGAAAAGGTACCTTGTTTAAGCCAGTTTAAGTTTAATGGGTAGTTTAAGGGACAATTCAAGGGGCTAAAGACAGAACAAGAAAAGCGAAGTCGTCTCACAGTATAGAGAGATAGAGGGCTCGATACGGGTAAAGGAGAAAATGTTAGTGTTGTGTCTCTAACAAAATTTATGTACAAGGGGAAGAAACGTATGAAAATGTTTTGATACTCGTAAAATTCTAAGAGGGCCAAACTTGAGTACTAGAAGTAGATCATAATGTATTTTTGGAAACTTTTGACTTTTTTTTAGTATTAAAATTTTGATTTAATAGAATGATTAATGATAATTTGTAGGTTTTATTTTATATTAATTTGGCATTTTAAGCAAATAAATATCATGGTGGTAGACTAATTTCTTTATGATTTTCAGTGTTGTTTTGATAGTTGTTAACTGTTTTAATACCGTTTTATTTGAGTAACTTTTTAGAAGACGTTAAAAGCAAAAGCTACTATTTTAACCTCTAAAAATTAGTTCAAACACTATATTATCGAATACTACAGTATTTAGTAATTTGACCTGTCAAAACAACTGTTGCCGAATATGACCGTAATATATGTTAATAATACAATGCCCATCTTTTCCTTTAAACATTTCAGAGGGAGTACTTTTCTCTTTCGTGGGTGATATTCGACACGAATTCAAATTAGTGGGAAGAATGAGTTTTGGACGGTAAATAATATATATATATATATAAGTTACCTGATGATGAGGGAAATCACTTCCTTTTAATTATTTCTTTAACTCTACTATCATGCAAACCTTATTTTATAGTTAACAAACCTTGGTTAAGTGGTATTAAATTGGTCTCTAAATATTTGTGAGCTTATAAATTCAAATTATTTTATTTACAACACATTCTTTAAATGATTAGTGGTCAATATATTTATTCAGATTAAAATTACTTTTTTGTATCAATTTAAGAATACATCATTCCGTTGCTTGTATAGCATGTATATATATGATTTTGATAAAAAAAAGTATAAGTATATATTTCCTTATTTGTATGAAAATATAAATATATATATGCCTAATTTAACTAATCCCTATAATTTATTTTTTAATTCCCTTTATTTTTAAATAAAGAAAGAAGTATACAAATCGAATTTAAATTCATTTCTAAATTAAAAAGATGTATTATCATTTCATAAGCATATAATTAAATTTTCTTTTATTTTTTATTGGAAGATGCTTTTTAACTTAAAGTAACAACTCAAGAACGAAAAAGAAAATTTTATAAATGAAATATATTTATTTAGTAACAACACAATTAAAATTATCTATTTTTCAATGTGTGATCAGCTTTAGAGGAGATTTGATTAATTATTTGAGGTTGTTTGCCCGGGAGAAAGACCTCTCATCACATGAGATTATGCTTAGTGCTTCTTTTGGGCCCAACGCACGTGCATGGTGTGACTGATCCGGCCCAAAATGGAGATTGAATGCACAATAAGTATGAATAAAAATTATTATTTTATTCTTACATATATCTTTTTTTTCTGAAAATACATTACTTTGCCATATATATTTAGAAAAATACAGTTTTATTCATATTTTTTTGCCTCTCTTATACTATTATACCTTTTTGTTAATTCTTTGCATTATATACAAGTACGGATTAATTAATTTGGGCAAAATACAATAACAAAATGGTTATAAATACTGAAATAAATCAATTCATTTTAATAAAATATAGAGATAAAATAATAATTTAATGACCAAAAAAATATAAAAAATTGAAAAAAAAAAATAGAGTAGCGTGACGGATAAAAGATAAGGATAACTATTTAGTTTTGAAAAAATTTAGAGATAATATTGTATATTATGACAATATATAGGAATAAAATCACAATTTTTTCTAAGAATTAAGAAATAATAATATTTTGTTTTTTGAAAGAGGGATGAGAAATAATTTTTAGATCACCTACCATTGTGTTTTCTTATCTCACAGCCGAATTGGAATTATTTTCGTACCACTTTATCCATGGACTAGTGGCATAAAAAATTTTGCTGTGTGGAGACTGATCGTTGTGAGGAGGATCCATATGGACTTTCTATAGGTTAATATGCATTTACAAAATTGTTAAAAATTTATTAAAAAGCATCTATAAATTGTGTGTAAAAAAAGAATAAAACTTATAAAAAATATTTTAAAATTATTTTCAATTACAATTAAAATTTGAAATAAATTATTAAACTATTAACCTCACATAATAATTTTCAAATAATCAAGAAGATACTGAAATTTATATACTGTTTAAAAGATTAATAATTATATAGATAAATATTCATTTATTTTTATTTTCCTGCAGAGCAACAAGGGAATGGGAAACACTAGCACTAGTCCTTAGTCCATTACTCTAAACTGACAGACTGTCACCAGGTTGCCATGGCGGTAGCTGACAGTCCTGGTAGACAACCGAATCCCAGCGTCTCACACACTCTCCAAGTCAACGCTTTATTTTCGTTTTTGTTAGTACTTTTTTACTGGTAAAAAAGCCAATACCATTAGCATCTAAGTAATAACAGTGGATTGTATCAGGAAAAATGGACATTTCATAGCAATTTTACCTGAAAATTTAAAATCTATGATCGCTATTGCTGAAAAATTTTTATTTGAACATGGTTTTAATTTGAAATTGAAAAAAAAAATTATTTGAACATGGTTCTAATTCGAAAAAAAATTAAAAAATATTTATATATATGTGTATGGGGAAAGAGAGATTGACCTTCCTAGAGTCTGATGAGGAGATTCGTGCATTTTCATTAAGAAGAAAGCAATCTCTATATTTTAGATAGTTAAACTTAAGCTTCACGATTTTCCAGCTCTGAAAAGAAAGCTCTTCAAGTAACAACTTGGAGCTGGAGCTCCTTATAGCTGTAGATCTCCTTTTTAATCTCAAGTTGGAAATAATTCAATAGTGTCTTTGATTAGAGAAGAGGAGAAACTTCAAGATTCTTGGGAGATATCCAAATCATTGTAAGAGAGATTCAGCTTCGGCTTTCATTCTCATTACTGTAACTTGTTTCTGGGTATGCACTATATTTACTTATAATCCTCTGCTTTTATTCAATTCAATTTTCTTTTTCTTTTTTAAATATAGTTTACTGTAATCTTGCCTTCCTCTGTTTGGTCGCTGGGAAAACCAAAATGAAGCAAAATATATAAATCCTGTATTATCTTTTTTTTCTGAATTTGTTTAGAGAATCACCAGCGTGTTCTTAGCAAGTACAGCATTTGTAAAAGATTGGAGTTGATGAAATGATAAAACTAAATGACAGGAGTTAAAGATGAAAAACTCTGTTTTAGTTGTATTTCTTTCATTTTCTAAGTATCCAAACAGTTTTCTTTCATAATATGAGGTTATGTACAATATATTGATTTTCTTGTTCTAAAATTTGGCTTATTTTGTGACTTTTTTATGAATTTTATTTTGTATTAGGTTGAAAATCCAAGAAAAAAAGAGAAATTAAGTAGTAATAAAACAGGAAAAGATCATTGTTCAAAGATCCTATTTGATTAAGATGGGAAGATTATGCTTTCCAAAATGTGGATTGATGAGAATAATGTGTTGGCTGCAAATCATATTAGGAGGTCTTGTTATTGTTGTAAGCTTGGCAAGTCTGTACAAATTTTACAAGTTAGGGTTTTTCCTACACAATGAAGAAATCTGCCACTATTTTTATGGGGCAAATGATGTTTCTGAGGGGTTTGATGTTAGAGCATTGAACGATCGAATAGGCCAAGTGCTTGATAGGATGGAAAAATTACAAGAAAAGCTAGAACATTCTGTGCAAGAAATGGAGAAGCATAAAGATGTTTTGGATAAAACTAGTATCACAAACCTAGAACATAAAAAATTTTTAGAGCAGGAGGTGATTAAACCTCTCAGTAGTGCTCACCTTGCGCTAAGGCAGATTCGGTTGCCTTGGATTAGTAACTCAACAATAAAGGAAGAGCCTTTGATTAACAACTTCATTGTAGAGGAGATTAGGAAGTATATAACCCCAAAAGAAAACAGAATTGGGAAGATAAATATATATGGAACTGAAAGAATATATAATACAATAGGGCATGCTTGTGTTTTGATGAAGAAAGAATTGGAAGGATACATGGATTATGATATTGGATCTTATTGTAAAGACGATTGGAACCTTGCTCAGAAGCTCATGGTTAGTGGATGTGATCCTTTGCCGCGTAGACGGTGCTTAACTAGGGCTTCAAAGGTCTATCAGAAGCCATATTCGATGAACGAATCTTTATGGAAATTGCCAGATTACAGAAATGTGAGATGGAGTAACTATCAATGCAGGGATTTTCAGTGCTTATCGAGCAAGAATCCGAAGAGGGGTTATTCAAAGTGCACCGGTTGTTTCGAAATGGAGAAGGAAAAGCTCAAGTGGGTAACTAATACTTCACTTTCTGTTGATTTCTTGATTACAGATGTTCTGGCAATCAAGCCTGGAGAGATTCGAATCGGTCTTGACTTTGGTGTAGGTACGGGGACTTTTGCTGCTAGAATGAGAGAAAAAAATGTTACTGTTATTTCTACAGCACTAAATCTTGGTGCTCCATTCAGTGAAATGATTGCACTTAGAGGTCTAATTCCTTTGTACGTCACGTTGAATCAACGGCTTCCATTTTTCGACAATACGATGGATTTGATTCATACTACTGGGTTTATGGATGGGTGGATTGATTTGTTGCTAATGGATTTCATTCTCTTTGATTGGGATCGAATTTTAAGACCAGGAGGATTGTTATGGATTGACAGGTTCTTTTGTAATAGAAAGGATCTTGATGATTATTTGTATATGTTTCTTCAATTCAGGTATAAGAAACATAAATGGGTTATTTCTCCCAAGTCAAAGGATGAAGTCTATCTTTCTGCATTGCTAGAAAAACCTCCTAGAGCTATCTGATGTAATAGAAAATTTTCTCTTCCAAGTTTTCATTTTCCTTTGCTTTTGAACTTGTAGTATTTTATTTGTTAAATCATACTTGGAGATTGTTTTATTTAAGGCCCGTTTCCCATATGTAACCAACTTTGATGGGCCAATATTGCGTATAAGAGTTCACCAATTGGGCCTTAGGCTTCTAAATTAGAAACTGATGTTAGCATTTAGCCTAATCCAGATTCAAGTATTTTGTTAATTCTGTTTTCTTTCTTTAAATATGTAATAAGAGATGTTAGAGGGAACATAATGTAATGAATTGAAACAAAAGAAATAATAATTTTCTTTTAAAAATTAATTTATTTTGGGTTGAAGATAGATGATAAACCTATTCTAGCTGGACAAGAAGAATAATACTTTGTCCAAAGCAATTATGCTGTATAAGGGTAGTAAAGGAAAAAGAGAAGTTTATGTTAATTAATTCTCTCACTTTGATTAATTAGGTAAAGAGAAGGTGTATTAAAAGAATCTCAAGAAAGTTGTTTTCCAATTAAAAATAAATTTGTCTTCTTTAAACCCTAAAAAGACTTCCAAGTATCTAGGGTTTTCTTTCACTATAAATTTCTATATTTTATTTCAGATTTTTTGCCCACTATGGATTTGAAAAACCCTAATAAAGTTTGTTAACCTAGATGCTCAGCTTTATACAGCTCTGCATCATATCTTAAAATCACTGAATTTTAATAAAATCATTCCCGTTTGAACTCAACTTGAAGAAATCACATCCGTAGAAATAAAATTAATTAGAAGTGCAAGCAAATGGACGGTTGTGGATTATTCTTACCAAATTTTCTTTAACCGTTCTTATATTTTACTTGAAGATTGTACCAGAATTTTGGATTGCGACCACCACCGCCACCACATTAATATTACTTTCTATATACTATTGTTTTTATATAATTATATAATATGAAACAATATAAGTTCGTACAGTACTAAACTATATAGTTGATCATTAATATTCTGGTTAAGTGCCCTTAAAAGAACGATCCTGATTCCCCTAATTAGCGTATAATTCTTTCCCAAAAGAAATAATTATGCACTTTAATGATTTATTGAGGAAATAGAAAGTAGTTCGGTCGGTCGGTCAACTTTCCTTAATGACATTCATAAATTTGAATTAATATATATATAATAAAGTGTCTGCTTTACAATATAAATATTAATTAATTAATGTTTTTTTATTGCAATTTATTAAGAAATATTAATGATAAAATGCATATTACTCTTAAAGAATTGCATAATTAATTTCTTGTTTATTTTGTCTTTATTTAATTTATTTAAATTTATTTTAGTTAATATAAAATTTTATAGATACTCACAATAATACACATATCTATATACAGCTAGAGGAAATTATCATTTTCTATCACAGAAATTTTTTTTTATCCAATGCTTTAAATTATATAATGCTATATTTCTTGGTTATTATTTTAAATGCAAATTCTAATATTGTCCTTAAAAAATTGCAGAACTTATTATTTTATTATTATTCAAATTCTTTAATAAATATTTGAAAATAAATAAATGAATTTAATATCTAATAACACTATATTAATCAATCTTATACCATAAGCAAAAGAAAATTGTAATTAAATGTGAAAACCTTAAAAATGAAAACGTTGGATTTTCTTTTAGGTTTTAATTTACAAACATATATTGTTTTCAAAAAAAAAAAAAAATTTACAAACATATATAATATTACAAAAAAAAAAAAAAAAAAAAACAAAAAAAATTTACAAACATATAATAATTATTATCAAACAAAAAAAAAAAAAAAAAGTTCTGCTAGTCAGGACCTAATTAATAGATCTTGCCCTAGAATACAAAATATGTTTCTTATTGGAAGCTTTTAAAGCTAGGGTTTTCACAACTTGACCAATTAGTAGATGAAAAAAAAAAAAAAAAAAGTTCTGCTAGTCAGGACCTAATTAATAGATCTTGCTAGAATACAAATATGTTTCTTATTGGAAGCTTTTAAGCTAGGGTTTTCACAACTTGACCAATTAGTAGATGGAAATAAATCCACGACTCGACAAACCTAAAATTAACCTAAGTTGTTTAGGTAATCATGCACACTAATTGATTTTTAAATGAGTTGTTTAAGCATTTGTTTAGATTAATCTCAAGACATGCAAAGGTGGTCGTTAATTAGAGAAGTACAAAAAAATATTATAATTATAATTATAATTATGATTAATTACTATCAAGGAAAAAGTTAAAGATTGGATGGATTTTCCCTTAATTAACACAAAAGGAAAAGGGTTTAATTAGGGTTAGGTAGGGGACCATCTATAGCTAATAAGGTTTAATTAGGATTTGCTAATTGTTAGGATTAGGATTAGGTTTCTCATTTCTGTAAAGCCACCCTCAAATTCAGCAAAGTGGTTTTACTTTTGCTTGGAGCTTGATTAATTTCTAGGATTAATATTCAAATCTTAATTTATTTAAATATATATATTCTTCAAAATCTTAATTAATATAAGTATAGGTATTATTTTTCTTTTTCTTTTTATTTGGGAGGAATTTATTGAGGCAATACCTTCTGAAAAACCCTATTAATAAATCCAAAATTAAATTATGTGTTGTTGCAATCAAAATTGAAGCAATGGATTTTTTCTATTGGATGATATATAATTATTGATTAACCTTCAATGTCTTCAAGATTATGACTTGTTAGTTTCTGAAATTCAAATTAATTAAATTTGAAGTTTTATAATTAATAGCTTGGCCAAGTAAAACACTTTCATAAAATTTATTGACTTTACAAACACATTTTGATTACTAAAATTTTGAAATATCAGTTATTGTTAGGTGTGTTTCTAAATTCTATTGATGAAAAATTGATGTTTTAGATCATATAGAGACACTACAATTTTCTTATCATGACAATTTCAAGTTCTTATATATATGTTTATTAAAATCAAATGATAAAAAAAAATATAAAATCCAATAATTATGTTAAAATATGCATAAAATATTTCATGCCTTAAATGTATATATTCAATAACTTAAAATGTGTAAAATTATGTGTGATATTGTTATAAATTGAAATGTAAAATAAATGTAAAATTTTTATAGTCGAAGAATTTAATGTATCTACTAAAAGTAGAAGGTGCTATTAAATTTTCTTTATGAAATTTAGGTATCAAGGAGTTCGGACCCATGATAGCGCATAGCATAAATAGATATGTTCACTCATATATTCGTACACAGTCTTATTTCGAAGAGGAGTTTTGCAAAGAGAAAGAGAGATGAAATTGAGAAGAACTATTAGTTGAAAAATGGAAGAGGAACAAGATAGATTGTTGCCAATTGCAAATGTAGGGAGGATGATGAAGCAAATCTTGCCACCAAGTGCAAAGATTTCCAAAGAAGCTAAACAAACAATGCAAGAATGTGCAACAGAATTTATAAGTTTTGTAACTGGCGAAGCATCTGACAAGTGTCAAAAGGAGAATCGAAAGACAGTTAATGGAGATGACATCTGTTGGGCTCTCAGTTCTTTAGGGTTTGACAACTACGCTGAGGCTATAGTTAGGTATTTACATAAATATAGAGAAGCTGAAAGAGAGAAAGCTTACAATAATCAAAACAAAGCTAATCCTTCCAATCAAGAAAAAGATGATGACAATCAAGAAGCCAACTCTAAAAGTAGTAGCAGTCAAGAACAGCAGCAGATCAATGAAACAATTCCTTCTACATTGGAGTTTAGGGTTCTTGAGAAGGGTAATAGCAGCTCATGAGAAATATTTTGCCTGCTCTTTTATAATGAAGATGGAGAAGAAGACGACGACTTGGATTTCTCTTGAGAATTTGTGATTAATTTATAAACTTGTATCAATTAGTTTGCAACTCTCAGGTAATTGTCTTTAATCTTTTTGTCTGGAATTTTCTTTTTTGCTCCTGCCTTATTCCAATTTCTCACCCTTTTCCTTTTCTCATCATCAGAAAATTTTGTAATATCTCCCTTTGCGCTTTGGAATTCACTTCATCTACTTTTTGTAAGGTTAATGTAATTGGATCTACCTTTATCACTTCCTATGAACCTGTTATAATATTATTATAAAAAGAAAAGAAGAAAGAGGATGAACTGTGCTTAGTTTTTCATTTTATGTTCAGAGATTTATGGGGAAATACCCAAGTACTCAAAACCTAATTTCTTCACTCAGTTAATAGTTGCTGAGCAAAAGTACGTTTTCTTGTTTCTTCTTCTTCTTCCTCTAGCAGCTCTCTCTCTCTCTCTTTGATCTCAAACCTTGGTACGGATATGGATGTAGATGACACTATTACTTCTTCCTGTTCCTGTTAAAAACTTCGATAGACTTTCTAATCACAACTTATATGAGTATTACTTTTCAGTCTCACATACTTAATAATTAGTAAATTCTTATGTTTGGATGTGCTAATCAACAACTAAACAAAATTATTCTTGAGTGGGAATTTCATACATATATATATATGTGTGTGTTTATATATATATATAATTCAGGAGGGTCTTCACGGGGAAAGAACCAAATAATAGTGTACATTTGTTCAGATTTGTTCTGCGACTAATAGTACTATTCCCTGCCTCTCTCTCTCTCTCTCTGTAAGAAAAGGGAAAATGAAAATTTCTGATCACATTAGTTTCAAGCATATATTCCCTTCATGTGATGTGAATGATTAACCACTTCTGATTCTTTCGGTCTGCAATTTTCGCCAATGGTTTTACAAATTGAGGTTTAAACTTTGTATACAGTACAGATCACCGCAAGGACGCCTTCGGCATATATCGAGGGGTCCGGACCAACCATAAAATCCTATTCAATAAGTGGAACGCATTAGTTAGACGCTAAAAGTCAGAAAAAAGGTAATCACTCATTCTTAAAGTTGTCTAGGCAAGCCAATAGATCAATTGAGGAGAGCAAGATAGAAGACATGGTGAGACAAGATAATTGGCAAATTAATTCATTATTTTAATAAATAAATAATTGATGGAATTATCAACGGAGTCAATCTCTTATTATATTCTTTTGTGCATCCATCTTTTTAGTAATTTACTATTTTTTTTTCAATTTGTAAAAATTTCAATTAATAAACATCCAATTAAATTGCGATTTGATTTCCATGGAAAATTTAAATAAAGTTGAGCACAAAATTGTAAATGTACTGGTTTAGGGTTTTAATTTGCATAACACTAGAATAGGGGACCACAAGTATTGAGGCTTTACATAACATGATTTGTCGTGAAAATCCTATTAAAATCGCAAGCATGCCATTTTTTTAACTATCTAATTTGCAATTGGATTAGGTAATCTCCCAATAAAGGGTAATTGCTAAAACCCTAACGAATAAGATTAGGGTTTCTTTCTCTCTCTCTCTCTCTCTTTGGGGACCACTTCTCAACTATCTACAGTTTCTGCAGAACATGGAATCTGAAGAATGCTTATAATACAAAAGAGAGATGGGAGAAAAGTCCCACTAAAATTGTTTCCCAATAAAAAGTACAGAATATAAGACATTGAAAGACAAAAGTTGGAACTCTTAAAACATTCCAACCGATACTGTATCGATGAGACATAACATGATGGTTTTCTTGATAAAATGAATGTGATAACCTGAAAACTCCAAGAATAACTATGCCAATATGCAATGCCATAATGTGATTATCTATGCAGTACTATATAGCATGATTCCGATGACTATTGCTGGAATCACGGCATCGAGCTTCATAACCTGCGTGCAAGCTATTGTTCCTTGGTGAGCGTCTGCTCATTCATTGGCAACAGCAACTAAAATTTATTAACAAAAACCTGCATTGGACCACAAAATGGTGCACCAATTTTACAGGACAAAGGGGAAAAGGATCTCGGGTTGCCGGTTGCAATGCAGCAGCTTAGCTTAAGAGCGGCATCAGACATTTCAAGAGTTGCATTGATCTTCTTAAAGCACTTTTTGACCTTCAATACCCTAATGGTTCCAAGACTTTGGTTGATCCAATCAAAAAGTGCCAACTTATGCAGAAACAAGAATTGAAATAGACATTGAACTACACATGACGTGTACATGTCAAATAAGTTGCAACAATTGATGCTAAGATTTCAAGTTTCAAGAGTAGTGTAATCAAGTAATGCCAGCTGAGTGGTATTAATGGGTCGAGTGGCCATCTATCCACCTTACTGAATATTAATGAAAGGGTTTTAGTGAAAGCAAGTCCTTTCATCTAATCTCCCCTCCAGCAAGTGTCAAAAAAATTTTTAAATGCCTTGTGGTCCGCACAACATCAAAGTATCTATGTGCAAGTGTATCAATTTAGAATTTGATGTTAAATCTATGCTAAATAAAGCAAAGTGCTAGGAGATGTTTAAAACATGTTCAATCAGCCAACTCTATGAGGATTGATTGACTCTTAAACAGTGAATGCCCTATGCTGAAGGGTATGTGCATCAAGAAATGCCTTTTCAAATTCAGGACCTTCCTAAAACTTAAAAAGAAAAAGAAAGATTCATATAATCACTTCAGCATTTGGAAATTCTTGCACTTTTTCTATCAATAAAGCTTCAACCATTGTTTTGTGTTTCACATTCAACATGATCTGAATAAGTTTAGCAAAATAAGCATGCAACCATTCAGAAGCAGTTCATAATGAAATCAAATAAGTTGATTAACAAAAGCTTCTACAAATCCCCAGCCATCATCAATATCAGGTCCCACCCAATAGCCACTAATTATTTTGTCAGTACATGAACTAACATTCACACAACAAGAAGCAAATTCACCAAAATGGTCTAAGGGAGTTACATATTGACAGCAGCTTCTCACAGAAATCATGTCTCCATTTGAGCAGCAGGATGCAAGAAGGTTGGTTGCTGCAAACAAAATTCAAATGTCAATTTATCAAAACCAAGCACAAAGGATATCCAATTTAAATGCGCTTAATTTTATGCTTAATCCATTTTGTTAACCTTGGAACTAGATGCGTGCCTATTTAGTTGTCAACATAGGACATTGACTTCCAGATTCAATGTATTTTTCCTACACATTATCTGTTAACACTTTAATTAGATGATGGTGGTGGCACCAATAGAATACAAGTTGAGAGTGTATCATCAGTGAGAGTTTGGCTTAAGCGATTGAAACCAATGGATGGTGGAAAAAGCACGAGGGAAAAAGATATAAAAAAAGAAAGTAGATAGTAGTTGTACAAGAGTTCTTAATCTTGGGCTGTCAACCAGCATAAATCCACAAGATGAAAATGACAGCAAAATTTACACATCAATTTACATTTATTAAATTCAATCTCAATGCATTAAGACAAACATTTCAGTGCTGAACAGAACTGCAACTTGGAATATTAGAGTTATTTCTCTTATAAATATAAATTATTATTGTATGTCAAACCTAAAAGACAATAAAAATTAAATATGATGAATGTAGTGGCAAGCTTCCATTTCAATGTCTGGCAAGCAGCAAAAGTACAAAAAGATAACTAAAAGAAGAAGATTAGGAAATACTGGTTCTGATGGTTGTTTGACTTGAAAGTCTAGCCAAAGGTACTTTCCTCAGTTGTAATTCCTGGGAGAAAGTACCAACAAACATTAACCTTCTTTTATGTAAAAACAAGTTCTTAACATATATAGTATTAATGTATTCTACATAAAGATAAAAATTGTCTATATACAACGAAGAAATAAAATAATGTAGCATCGCAACAGAATTTCTCTTGCACACTAACTTTAAGATCAGCGATAGTGAATTTCGAAATTTACAATTGCCTCTTAAATTCTTCATATGTTGAAAAAAAAAAAAAAAAAAAAAAATAATGTAGCATCGCAACAGAATTTCTCTTGCAACCACTAACTTTAAGATCAGCGAATAGTGAATTTCGGAAATTTAAATTGCCTCTTAAATTTTCATAGGTTTTTGAAAAAAAAAAAAAAAAAAAAAAAAACTACTTTGTCCATCCTTTTTACAATCCCTCTCTATAATTTTGCCCGGTCAAATCTGGCAAAAGCGGTGTAACTGCTCTCTGCTTTGAAACTACTGACAAAAAAAAAAAAAAAAAAAAAAAAAAAACTACTTTGTCTCTCCTTTTACATCCCTCTCTATAATTTTGCCCGGTCAAATTGCAAAAGCGGTGAACTGCTCTTCTGCTTTGAACTACTGAAAGTACAAAGCTCAAAACCAACTTCAGCTCCACAAATTTCTAAATGTCCTAACTGCGATTAGAGTGAATTTAGATCAGTTTTAATCAATTTAAAGAAAAAACTAATAAAATCAGACCTTAAACCCATAAGATAATTTGGATTACAGGCTAAATATCCAACCATGAAAAATAAACAAAGATAATCAAAGCAAGATTTTTGTCAAACACATATGAATTTAAATTCCCTAAAACGATCAAATGAAAAGCAAGTAACACTGTTATTAAGAAGGAAAATACGAAAGAGAAGGCATGAATATGAGGTTGGAATTACCTGGAGAGAGAATTTTGAGGCAGAGAGAGGCATACATAAGCTGATGAAGACAACGCTCTCCATCGAAGCGGAAGCGCCGAAGCGGGTGCCTGAAGTTTTTCCTTTGGGGTTTTACAGGGGGTTAAAGAAGTGTTATTTATTTCCAAGGAAGAAGGAGACGTTTTGTGTTAGAACCGGATTTCCCGCACCGCATGTTATAGAAACCCCAAACTTCAATAGACAATGGGAATATATGGGCTGTAAACCAACTTTAAAACGCAAAGGCCCACTTCAGATCCCTGTATGGCTGCGCCAGAAGATTCACAGGCCCATAGCGTTACTAATTATCGTGTCGTTTACGAAACGACCTCGTCGCCTTCCCGATGAAACGGCTGTCTTTGGTACAAAGGAAAAGAAAAGGTGATTTCCAAATTCCAATTGAGGTTTGCGAGCAAGTCTTGCTATTTGCGGAAAACCTTCTGTCATTAACAAAAGACTACACTTGATCAGAATGGGAACCAATTTTACTGTTCATTATGAACGACAAATATTCACAGGATCTTTTCATTTCCTTTTTGATTACAATTGACAATTATCTGGAACCTGTCGTTTGGAGAAGGATCTGAAATTTCTTTTCCTGCAATCCAAAAAACACCTGAAACAACATTAACATTATGTTCTGTTTCATCTCAGGCAATAACAGTACAGAGACGAGAAGATAAAAAATACTTTAGATCATTCCAAGGGCAAAATTTTCCTCAGAATTTGAGAAAAAGCCTCAATCTCTACAATTTTGCTTAGCTTAAAAAAAGTCTGTTACAAGTGAGATAGATTTTCCTTCCTAATACATGAAGTTGTGCCATTGAGAGTCATGGTATTGTATTCATCCCTATCCAATACATCAACATTTCTTTTTGACAAACAAGATTCCTTTTTGAAGCTAGTACCAACTTCAAGAGCAAAAGACCCAAGGGCCATTTATCTGAAACCACATAAAAACCAAAGTAAGTCCAACCACAAATGAGAAGCTCCAGCCCCTTTAAGATGGTTAAAAATATGCTAAATTGTAGTATGATGGGCTCCACTACGCTTCTACAGGAGATTACAATCCAGTAAGTAAACAATAAAAGATTGCCCAAGGGAGTGAACAAAGTGCCATCATACCAAAATGCAGCAACAATATGGCGGCCATACAACCCTGAGGAGCTAAAACCGACTTGATCATTCAAGTTAACAAAACAAGAAGCCCAGAAAAACAAGACAGAACTTACAATCATGCAAGGGATGGGCCGTTTTGCATTTCATTTGAACCCTTATGGGACTTGTGTTTTGATTTCTTCTCCCGTTTCTTACTTCTGCAGTGTCAACCAAAAAAAAATCAGTGTGAAAAATTAGAAAAGGAACACTACTAATTGTCTGATTGAATATAAGATAGTATATGGGAATTACTCGTCATGCGAGCTGTGGCCCCAACAAGATTTCAGCTTCCGATTTATGTGTTTCATATCCTTTTCTGTAGGGAACTTGTACTTCTTTACCTGAATTCAAAACCAGCACAAGATATGATTGAATAAATTACCAATTGTAACAAGAAAAATATTATATTTCTCTAAACTTAAAGTGGAACCAAGACTGGAATTAGGGGACATATTGCCTACATAATTTTCTACCATTTCTATGTACCATCAGAAGGTGACAAACAAAATTTGCATCAAATTCAAACTGATATTATATTGATAAATTTATACCCAAGAATTTATGGCGTCCAGAGATTCGAAAAGATCTGACATCGTGTGTATAGAATTCTGACGAGCGAGGATGTCCCCAAGGTATCTACAAAAGAAGTAGTATTAAATAAATTTCCACTCTTTTTTTCGTAATTTTTGGCCAGCAAGAAGAATTGAGCTTCAGAGAATAACTATTAAATCAAAGTGTTTTCAAAATCACAAAGAAAGAGGAAGGTATACACGTGCGTGTGGGCGGTAGGGGAAGGAGGATGATGAAGAGAGGAAGCGTAAGGAGCAGGAGAGTAACAGTAAATAAAGATCATAATCCTAACCTTTCAAAATCTAGAACCTGGTGCATCTCATTTGCACTTCGCAAAGCAGCCAATGCTAACTGCGGCAAATTAATGAATTGAGTAAAGTCAAATGAGATGATGCTAATATGGAAAAGAATAAACCATCTTAGACAATCTATAATTAGTCAACTGTACAATTAGCAGAGACTTTTCTAGCAGCCAATGCAAACTGCACCAAACTGAAGTTAAGCAAAATCAAATGTGATGCTGCCATTACATGAAAGTACAAAACAGCTCAGGCCGAATCACATGTTATCAACATTCAATTCTATCCTTGCATATATTTCAATGCCCCAATGTTAATGTGAACAGTGAAAATAACCTAGAAAGCATGTGTCCAGTGTAAAAATAAAAAATAAAAAAAAAATAAAAAGGAGTAACCTAGAAGGCAATTGAAATGTCTTTTATAGTGCACACATGAAAGCTCCACAGCTATCTCAAAATATGAAGTTTCATTCATGAAGTTCTGACATATAAAAGCTATAGGCTATTTGCAAAATATCTTCCATTTTAATTAAAGGGCTTCCGATTTAAGAAAAGTTTCTTTAAGTTCAGGCTGATTGTGTAATATTCATCACAGGTTTTCCAATTTGAGTGGGGTTCAAGGATGGTACATCAGGCTTGAAATGTTTATCCCAGCCATTTGCTTATTCTTATGCATTATCTTCTTGCTTTGATACAAAGTTAAGTTAACTAAGAACGAAAAGGAAGATATGCCAAAAATCAATAAAGCGCATCAAGTTTGTATGAAATACCTGCCCAGGAGGGAAAAGCAGTGGTGCATCAGTAAACATGATTTTGTCAACCTCTGCTACTGCACTTGATTGCAACTCCTGCAAAATATTGACCCCTCGTACTAAAATTCTAACTCCAAAAGGATAAGATTGAAACTCATAACCAAAATGATGTGATGAAAATGGGGCAACAAACATGTCATCCAGTACAAAGAGAAAATTAGCAATTACCTTCAGCATTTGAATTTGGTCATCTGTCGCATGGCAGAATTCCTATTGAGGCAGAACTAAATGTGAACAATTGCAACATATAATTCAAGAAAAAAAGTTGAAGAAAGTTCATAATTAAAGCAAATAAAGACAATAGAATAATACAAAGAATAAAGGTGAAGGAACCACAAAAAATAAAAACTAGCAAACCTAACTTACCTCCATGTCATTGATAAAACCCTCAACTGAACGGTATGGTGCATAGACAATAAGATCAAATTCCAAGCTCTGCATACTAAAGATTATGTTTAATATAGAAAAAAGTAAAAGCAATATGGTATAGCAGTAACATAAGAGCCATATCCATGCCTGAAGAATTATCATCTCATAATTGAGAATCATATGATGATCCTGTGAAATCCCCTTACCAAGCTCCTCTGCCGACACATGATTTTCCTCTATCTTGCAAGCTGAATATATACAGGTTAACCTGTGAATGCAAAGGAGTAAACTCAAGTGATTAATACATTGTCAAGCAAAATCTAAGAGTATAATGCAAGTGAGATTTACAATGATAAGAACATAGTGCCAAACGGATTCTACAAATTCAGATGGATAATATGAATCAAGTTTACGTGCATAGACATAGATATAAAAAGAGAACTCAACAAAACGTACATTATATTTTTTGGATCATGCTCCATGACCGACCATTGAAGATAAAACCTTTTAAAGTATATGAGTGCTGTTGCCTGCAGCACATCAAATTCCAGTAAGATGTCAGTGAAACTGAACAAGCCATTTATCTATGTATCTGTCAACTTTTCATGGAAATTATCATAATTCTGGTTCCTTGGGAAAAAAAGAATAACTTGCCTGAATCTTATGTGGAAAGTAGAAGGCATTACACACTTCTCGAAGCTTATATTCATAGTACACCCGCATAAATTGTTCTTCTTCAACACTAAGCGGTTTTGGACGAGAATGCTTATAGGCTGACATTAATAAAAATTGATGTCATCAGAAGCATTTCTAGATATTTTGATTGCCAAGCCAACAAATCAACAAAATTGAAACAAAAAAATGGCAAATGAGTGAAACAACAATGAAAAGTGAAAAACATATACCATTCTCTGCTGTATTAACTTGAGGTTCAGGGTATGACAGTGACCCATCAACGTCTACTTCCATTCTTGTTGTTCCATACTTCAAAATATGAAAGGTAAAACTAAAAATTACTATTATGATGAATTAATGATCAGTGAAATAAAGAGCAGCAAGATTACACTATACCTTCTCTAGCATTTGTTTGGCTCTTTGATTAGTAGCTTTGTGCTTCTCAACCTGTATTGAAAGATAAACACTATAACTATATAACGAAAATGAAAAACACGTGAAACTGAAAACCCTGATGATCAATAGCAGTAATAATTTTTCGCAAAAACAATATTTGGAAGCCAAGAAAAAAGAAAATATGAAATCACAATTCCAAATGTTAGGTCAAACAAGACTCGAGGTTTTACTTTGAATCCTTTCCGATGGCAACCAAACGGAAGGAATGCAGCGTGCTTCTGAGAAAAAGCAAGGAATATCACTTACTAACTGTTGAGGAGTGAAGATCCACTTGGCTCTGTGGGTCGAAGTCTGAAAATCGGCCATTGCAGATTCGGCAACCCTAACTCGCCTGACTTCTAGAATCGGCGATTCAGTAGAGAACAAGATACAAATTTTTCCTCCTCCCTCCTTTTCCAATCCTCGCTGATTTTCTTTCACCTCCCGTTGAGGCGCAACGTCTCATTGTTTTCTTTTCCTTTTTTTATTTTTTTGTTCGGAATTATTAATAATTAATTAATTGGATTGATGAGATTTTTTGTAACAATATTTAAACATTTTATGTAAAATATATACTTAGAGGTGAGATTTCTTTGTGATTTTATTTTAAATTAAGGAAAAAAAAATCTAAAAACCGAATTTGTGAATTTTATTTTTCAAAAAAAATAAAATATGAAATTTTATTAATTTCATAATTCATAAAATTTAAATTCTATGAATTTTATATCCCATCAGTCCAACTTACTATTAAAATACATAATAAATTAATGCGAGTGTACTAAAAATATTAAACTTAAAAATTTTATTTAACTTTAATTTATTTAATGTTTGGATTTACTCGATTAATTAAAAATATAAATTTTAATGTATTTTTAATTTATATAGTAAAAATATTTTATATGCTAAAATTTTATTTATATTTAATTTATTTCATGAATAATTTTTTAAAAGCATAAGAAAAGTAATTATTTTATTAAAATAATATATAAATCATTTTTGTTTAGAGTTAGTTCATGAGTTTTTTTCAATTTTGAGTTTATAAATTATTAGATTTGTGTATGAAAAGGAAACGAACTTTTATCACCAAACAAATTTCGACCTAGTGTTTTTTATTAGAGATAAATCCAAGCTGAAATTAAAATGCTTAGACTGAGCTACTTGATTATTTTTAAATTGGATAAATATCTTTAAAAAATGAAAAATAGCATTTAGTTATTGAGAATAGACTGAAATTACAACTTAGTCCTTACTGTTTGATAAAATACTTGAGGTTTGACTCCTCAAATATTTGATAATTCGGCCCACGCTTGCATAAAATACTTGAGGTTTATCACCAAGTTGGGCCGAACCAATCAGATTGCAGGTTGAAAATTTCAGACGGAAACAATGAGCAGGTCCAATGAAAACAATTATGGCCCATTTACGGCAACAGAAAATGTATGACTAACTGAACGCAAGACGCTTGCCAAGCATCACCTAAACAAGTTGTTGGCCTTCTTCTGCAAGTTTATTTTTCCCCTTTATATCTCTGTAACGGCTCTTTCCTCTTTCTTTCCATCACTCTCTCTTCTTCTCTTCTTCTCAGGCTATTTGGTTCCATTTTTGCTTCGATTTTGAAGACAGTTGTCAACTGTCTATGATGCTTCTGACGCAGCAACCCGGACCGATTTTGGATATACCGATGACTTCGGAAGAAGGATTGAAGAAAATAGACGATGCCATGCTGAGGAAGAAAATGATCGCGGAGGGTCGCTCTGTTGCGCCGTTTACTACCGCACAAAACATGGAGATATATGAGTATCCTTCACATATAATGCCGTCTATTTCTTGGTCAAAATTTAAGTTCTTTCTTGAATTTTAATTATATAAATTTTTTTTTTCAATGTTGGTGGTGTGGGTTTTAGTATTTGTCCTTGACATTTGTGCTAGTTGCGTTTACAATCTGTGTACACAAAAGAGTAAGAATTACTCAGAGGAGATTTATGAGAAATATCTGAACTATTTAGAAGAGTGGATTATGGATAAGGTGAGAGTCTTGATTCTTGAGATTCAGTCAACAGTTTTCTCTTTTGTTTCTGAGAAATTTTTCTGCAGTTGAATCTTTTTAATTATTCTTTTAAGGGGAAAGGGTCTAGCTTTTGAAAAGTTATATATCGATTGAGCCAATCTTAGTAAGTTTGCAAATGGGTCCTTTGAAAATTGATTGTGATGATCACCATTTTGTTCTTAGGTAATACCAAGATTGTTAGGCAAACATGGTGCTGCTTTGTTAACAGAAGTTACAGAATCATGGTCAGAGTTCAAGGCATTTGCAGACTCTTCGTATAAATTCGTTGAATTCTTGGATCGTTGGTATGTTCCTAGAAGAGAATATACATCCCTTGTTGATGCCCCAAGACGCTACTTCTGCATTCTGGTAAGCAACAACAACCATCTCACTTCTTTTTATTTCCTTTGCGCTTTATTAAAATTTTCTCTACAAAATAAATGTCTGTTGTTTGATCCAACCTTAATTTTCAGGTCTGCGATAGGCTGTATGGACAAATTCAGGAAGCTATAATGAGTCTGGTTTGTTGACATTTGTTTGTAGCGATAGAGCTTGTTTGGATTGGTTCACACTGGAATTGGAATGGGAATGAAAATGGGTGTCTAAGTTTAAAGAATTCAACTTTGAGTTTATTTTAAAAAAAATTTAATAGAATTTGCTGTTTGGATTGAGAATAATGCTTAAAAATGTATATATCATTGTACTATAAATTCAAACATAAAGATATCAATAAAATTTTGGATATCTTTTGAAGCAAACCAATTTTAGAATTCTATTCCAAGAATTGCATTCCATGTTCCATATTGAACCGAACACGGCCTTAGTGCTTTTTTTGTTCTTCAATTGTGTTTGACTGAGATGGTGTTAATTTTAGAAAATGACCCTCTGCACAGATTATTCAAGAGCGTAAAGGAAAGGATATTGATCGGAACCTGCTCAAGACTGTCTTTGGTTTTATGGGACCGGAAGGGAAAGGAGCTACAAATTATTATGAAAAGTTTGAGCAGATAATGCTTGCAGAAGCTGCAGCTTACTACTCTGAGTTGTCAATGGAATGGTGGTTTTGGCGCGATTCATTTACTAACTACCTGCAGAAGGTCACTATTACTTGGACTTTGCCAGCTTACCTAAGTCAATATGCTTGTATTTGTAAAGTTTGTATAACTAATAAATGACTCATTTTCTTTCAACACCTTCAGGTTGATTGGTGCTTGATTCAGGAAGGAGCCAGAGCAGAAGTTTATCCTTACAAGACAACAAAAGAAAAATTACTGAATGTATGTTGTTGTAGATTTATACAAAGTCATTTCTAACAATCATGCTTATCCCTTTTTATTATTTTGGTTTAACATATTTATAGTTTGGACATTTGCTGGTTTTTGGTTGAAACAATCGCTTATTTGCAGTGTCGATGAGAATTATGTACTCTGTGTTGCATATTTTGCAGGTGATAAAATATATACTGCTTGAACGAAATGCCAATAGATGGGCTCAGAATCAAAAGGCTCAAGGAGTGACAGCTGATGACAAGGTTGATTTTGACTGAAAAAATTGATGAATTTTCATATTGTTATTTTAATCTTCTAAACTAGCTCAATTAGATATTGATTATTCTAAATAAGCTCAATTGTTTACTGTAGCAACTTCTATCAAAATATGCCAGCTTAAGCCTTCTTGATGAGGGTGACCTTGCTTCTATGGACATGGCACCAGATCAGTGAAGATGGACTTCATTAGAGCACTATTTTGCTTCAGGCTCAATGTCAAATGAGTCTATGATTTGTAAGAATTAATATAGGTAGAAAGACAAATGCTGGTTTTTGGCACGGTGTGTTTGGAATTGCAGGATCATAATTTGCAAGGACTTACCTACAGTTGCTTGGTTGCTCATGTACTAAACTAATGAAAATGTTTTTTTCTCAAACAAAGACATTAACGATGGTTCACTTGGAAAAAATACATAAATAAAAAATCAATAATAATTTTTTAAAACAGTAATTTTTTAATTGACTTGATGTATTGAAAATTGATGTCTAATATTTATGGCTTGTTCCTTCTTTGTTTTTAGCATTATTATTGTTTAAGTAAAAATATATAAATAAAGTTTAACCTTTAATATTTATTGGCCCACGCTTCTACGTAAGTTCGGATAATTCTCGGTTGGGCCGACGAATACAATTGTAATTCGACCAATGAGAAGTCATTATGGCCCATTTATGGTAACAGTAACTGACCGACCCGTGAAATTACCTTACCAACCGTCTGCTAAGTTAATGTGTAAAAGATAAAATACTATTACTATTATTTTTCCTTTTCTAATAAATGGTCATAAATATTTTTGAATTGAAAATTATTTTTAATTAATTTATATTTAGATGGACAGTACATCAATAATAGATAAATTCTTTCTGTTATTTTCTCACATACTAATTTCTATAATCATATATTGCATGTTGTTTGTATACTATAAGTACTCGTAATTTAATTTTTTATATAATTTTAAAATTAATATTTTTTAAGATACAATATAATATAGTTCAGAAAAAAAAAACAGAACAAACAAAATAAAAAAAATTATATTTTGTGTTTTTTATTTTTTTTAATTAAAAAATTAAATTGTTAAAGATATTTTTATCTATGTTATTTAGGGTATTTTCGGCAATCAACAATTTTTTTGCTTTTAGTCAGTGAATAGTCAAGAATATCTTAATTTTGTCCTATAGGCAGTTTAGCGTACGGATACATCCATATGTAAGTTTTATCCATTTTTTAAGATATTTTTTACAGTGAAAAAACAACCAACGGCCCTCTGTGAAAGTCCTTCCCGCGAAAGTAAGGATTCCCTCCCGCGACTTTATACATGTATGACACCTGCCAAGCGTCGCCTAACTTCGCAAGCAAGTTGTTGGCCTTCTTCTGCAAGTTTGTTTTCACTTTACTTAAGTATCTCCGTAACAGCTCCCTCTTCTTTGTATACACCACATTCTCTTCTTCTTTCCTTATAAGGGTATTTGGTTCCATTTCCCAAAAGTTTTCTTCAGTTCTGAAGTTAGTAATAGACTGTTTATGGTGCTTCTGGTGCAGCAGCCCAGACCCAAGATGGCTATGCTTGTGACTTTGGAAGAAGGATTGAAGAAAATAGACGATGCGATTCTGAGGAAGAAAATGATCGCTGATGGTCGCTCTGTTTTGCCGTTTACAAGCGCACAAAACATGGAAATATATGAGTATCCTTTACACAAAATGCGGTCCATTTTTTGGTTAAAATTCATTTTTTTTTCTTTAATTTTATTTATGTGCTTTTTTTTTTCAATGTTGATGTGTGTTTTAGTGGGTAATTATGTGTCCTTAACATTTGCGCTAGCTGCGTTTTCAATCTGTGTGCACGGAACCCAAAGGTTTATTCAGAGAAGATTTATGAGAAATATATGTACCATTTAGAAGAGTGGATTATGGAAAAGGTGAGAGCTTGAATCTTTGTGACTCGATCACCAGTTTCTCTTTTATTTCCCAAGAAAATTTTTACGCATTAGTTTTAGGGAGAGGGTCTACCTTTTGAAAAGGTGTATGATCGATTGATTAGTAGTTTTGCAAATGGGTTCTTTGATATTTGATTTTAATGGTTGCCATTTTTTGCTTAGGTAATACCGAGATTGCTGGGCAAACATGGCGTTGCTCTGTTAGAAGAAGTTACAAAATCATGGTCAGAGTTCAAGGCATTTGCAGACTCTTCTTATAAGTTCTTTGAATACTTGGATCGTTACTACGTTCCTAGAAAAAGACTTCCACCAATGGTTGATGCCCCAAGACGCTACTTCTGCAACCTGGTAAGTAACAACCATCACACTTTCTTTTAGCTTCCTTTGTGCTTTATTAAGTTTTCCCTAAAATGTTCATTGGTTGATCCAATCCTAATTTTCAGGTCTGCGATAAGCTATATGGCCAAATTCAGGAAGCCACATTGAGTCTGGTTTGTTGACATTTACTTGTAGCGTTAGAGCTTGTTTGGATTGGTTCACATTTGCGTTTGAATGGGAATGAAAATGGATGTCTAAGTTTAAAGAATACAATTTCAAGTTTTTTTTTTTTCTTGAATATATCATTTTACTATAAATTCAAACATAAAGATATCAACAAAATTTAGGATTTCCTTGTAAATCAAACCAAAATTATAATCCTGTTCCAAGAATTGCATTCCGTCCCTAATTCTGGAGTGAACAAAACATGGACTTAGAGCTTTCTTTGTTATTTAACTTTGTTTGACTGTGATAGTGGCAATTTGAAAAAATGACTATCTGCACAGATTACTCAAGAGCGTGAAGGAAAGGTTATTGATCGGAACCTGCTGAAGGATGTCTTTGGTTTTATGGGATCAGAAGGAAAAGGAACTACAAATTATTATGAAAAGTTTGAGCAGATAATGCTTGCAGAAGCTGCCGCTTACTACTCTGAGCTGTCCATGGAATGGTGGTTTTGGCGGGACTCATTTACTAATTACCTGCGAAAGGTCATTATTATTTGGCCTTTGGCAGCTTACCTAAGTCAAATTTGTATGTATTTGTAATTTGTGTAACTGATGACTCATTTTCTTTCAACGCCTTCAGGTTGATTGGTGCTTGATTCAGGAGGAAGCCAGAGCAGAAGTTTATCCTCGCAAGAAAACAAAAGCAAAATTACTGAATGTAGGTTACTGTAGTTTTGTAAAAACCCTTTATAAATCATGCTTATCCCTTTCGAAAATTTAATAAATTTTGCTTTAATATATTTGTAGTTTGTACTTTTGCTGGGTTTGCTTACAGTTGAATTGGATTAATTTGAGCATGATACCAAATTGTATGGCAGGAAGCACTTATTGAATTTAGATGTTGACGCAGTCACTTTTTTGCGGTGTTGATGAAATTATGTGCTCTTTTTGGCATATTTTGCAGGTCATGAAATATATACTGCTGGAACGAAATGCCAATAGATGGGCTCAGAAGCGAAAGGCCGAAGAGATTACTGCTGATGATCAGGTTTGAATATGAACTTCCATATTGTAGTTTGCAATGGCCGAAGATGATATTTTATTTTAATCTTCTAAACAAGCTCAATCGCATATTGATTCTTCTAAATGAGCTCAATTTTTTGCTGCAGCAACTTTTATCAAAATATGCCAGCTTAAGCCTTCTTGATGAGGGTGACCTTGCTTCTGTGGGAGTGGAACCAGATCAGTGAAGAGGGATTTCACTAGAAGCGACTATTTTCCTTCAGGCTCAATGTGAAATGATGCTGTAGTAGGTTTTATTAGTTACTAGTATTTTGTCAGGACTCAGGAAAATTTGGTTTTTAATGGACTTAATTTTTGCCATCTGGGTAGAAAATAAATTCTGGTTTTTGATATGGTACTGTATGCATGAAGGATGAACTCTTTAAGTCTTAATATGAATTTTGCTCAGATATTTATCGAATGTTTTTGTGATTCGACTGATTAGTTAGACACTGGCATGAGTGCTGAGATAATTAATGCAGTTGGAATTCCTCTTTTAACTAAATGTCTGAAAATTGCCACGTTGATTCTTTTATTAACTAAAGGTTTTAAGTTCGAAACTTAGATATGAAAATTATGAAAATTGCCATGCTGAAACGGTATATGAAGTCATGTAGTCCTTGAGCAGCATGTTATATATAGTGAAAGGTAGGTAATTAACGTTGAAAAGCAAAATTATAAAGTTAAATGGCTATTATTGAGCTAGCAGAATCCTAACTGAGTCCAAGCTTAGTACATTCAAAAACAGCCAAAGTTTTGAGTTTGACTCAATAACCGTAAATGAACCGATTTCGATTTTGAGAACTACAAAATCAATTGCAAATCAAACAGCGTGGGTTTAGATCAATAAACTTATTGGACGCTGAGCTGAGCCCCAAGCAAATTACTTGTTTCTCAGGTCATTTACAGCCTAATAATCTATGAGTGGCACTTCAATGATAGCAATTTTTACGGTGAAAAGTGAGATCACTTGTATAAGATCAAGCCCGACTGTCTAAAACCTTACTGGGCTTTGGGCCCATAATAACTTTTTTGGCACAACAAGATAAGTCGTTTTCTGCGCTGGCTTCTTCGATTTAAGGAGGGAAAACTAAAACTTTTCCTATATACATATTGCCCTCCCTCTCCATGAGTCCATCAACTATCTGCAGAAACGTTGTCTCATCAAATCCTTTCAGTTCAGGTTTTTACCTTTTCTTTCTGGTCTTCTCCTTTTTATTTTGAATTTCAAATTACTCTTTGATTTTCTGCTTTAAATTAATCAACTGTGTGTCAGTGAGGTAACGTTTGTTTTGCTCATTGTTTCTGTTTGGTTACTGAGAAAGATACGGACAATACTTGTCTTCGATTCAATGAGCAATATCTGAAAATTTGATTGGTGACATCCACAATTCCATATTTGCTTAATTCCTTAGAGGACCGCTTTGGTTTCATTAATTCCTTACATATTTGCGTAATTATATACTTCTGAATTCTGTGCGGTATAGTAAGTAGAGAGCCCGCTTTGGTTTCCGTGTTTGATAATGTAACTTATTTTATTATATTCTATGGTGCTTGCAATTGCAAACTATGTTTATTCTTAGTTTAGTGGGTCATTGTTTGCTTATAGAATGTTTTTCCATTGATTTTTGTTTTTCTATAATTATCTTATTATTTTGTGTTAATTAGTTGCGTTGCAATTTATATCTTATTCACTGCTTATGCTAGGGATTAGAGGCAATCTAAATATGCTGCGAACGGTTTTAAATGGTTTCTTACTATGTCTAACTGATTTGAGTATTTTTTCAGCTCGTTTTTAGTGCTAAGATTTTTTTTTTTTTTAAATCTTTCTTGGTAAGTAATTGTTAATCTTTCTTGTTTTAGATACATCAAAAGAAGTAAGAAATATGATGGAAGCCAGACAGAATTTCCAAAAGATGGTGATTGAAAAAGCAATCGCAAAGGCTAAAAAGATCATGGAAGGACATCCAGAAACAAAGTTTACTATGGAAGAACAAATGCAGTTTCATTCGTATCCTTTATAAAATGGAGAAGATTTCATTGAAATTTTTCCTCTATTAATACTCCTATATCTTTGATTAATGATGTTTAGATGGATGAGATATCCTTCACTACATTGATAGATCTGCCTATGAACTGATTGTTGAGTCTATGGAAGGTTCAAATTGGCTATATGAAAGATTTAAGAAGACTATGGAAGAAAGTATCGTTTCAATAGTGAGTTGATTCTATTTAGGTTTGGAAGACACAGTGGAGTTATAATTTGCATCCTTTTCCATATGAATTTAAGTGCACAATACCAAATCTGCAAAGCAATTTGGCTTTCACTGGCTATATGAGTTCTAGTAAATTATTATAACTGTGTTTTGTAACCTTTATCTGATCAACAACCAGAAAACTTTCAGGCTGCTGCAAGAAATACTATTAATGCTATCATTTCTTTTCTGTTCTCAGGTGTTGCCATCTTTAGTGGGCAAAAATGATGACTCATTGTTGAGGGCACTCATCCCGATATGGTCAAATTACAAGTTGATGGCAAGGTGGCTTTGCAAATTTTTTGAGTATCTTGATCGATGCTTTCTCCCTCAAAATAAGTTTTCACTCGATGACACATCAAAAAATTGTTTCCAGGATTTGGTAAGCGGAATTTGTCATGTTCTTATATTGGACATCGAAGTTGTTTCTCTATGTTTTATTTAATTATATTTATATTGCTTTATCCCAGTTTTTAGATTGCATACCACGTTCAACATGTTAACTTTTCAATGATCCCATCCTAAATTTCAGGTTTTCAGGGAGTTATATCCTAGATGTGGGGTTGCTGCAATAACAATGGTGCGCAGATATGCTTTTCTATAAGGTTTGGAAGTCTGTCTGACAAACTAATATTTTAACTAAATTTCTTGTACAGATCAGGCAAGAGCGCAAGGGATTGCACATTGATCGGGATCTACTAAAGAATGTTCTCCTTCTCTTCATGGAAATATATGATAATAGTGTAAGCTATTATGAAGATTTTGAGAGGGAATTGCTTGAAGAAACTGCTGCTTACTACTGTCAATTGGCTGAGCAGTGGCTTCTTTGCTACTCAACTGAAGATTATATCCAAAAGGTATTTTTATATGTATCAATCTGTTTTTCTGTAGTCTTGAACTCTCCTTTTTCTTTTTTTGGTGGTATCAATCGTTTTTTACTGTAGTCTTGAACTCTCCTTTTCTCTTTTTTTGGTGGGGGGTGGGGGGAGGGGGCGGGGGGGTGAGGGAAGGAAGCATGCGAAGTGAGATCGGAAGGCATAGCAAAGCAAAAGCTTTGGGTTTCCTTTATTTAACTGGAGGTGGGGAAGGAAGCACGAGAAGTGAGATGGAAGGATAGAAAGAAAGCTTGGTTTCCTTTGTTTAACTGGATCCATTCAAAGAAAGGAAACTGAACCTTCCTTTTCTAGATTCTTAGCTCTTGGGTATGCATTTTGCAGTCAGTTCAAAAAAGGCAGATAAGAAAGGAAGGAGTACTCATCAATTTTTAAAATATGGTTTTCTAATTTTAGCCTCACTTGTCATTCAATAGCAAAACACCTCCCTCTTACTGATTTTAATTTCATGTTTTACCTTCCTTTAGTATCATATGTTTCCTTTTTTTCCTATATCATCCCAACCAAAGAAATCAGGATTAGGTTCGTTACTTTCCTTTCCTCTTAACCAAACAATTGGATGGATAATTAGATTTCATACTTCGTTCCCTCTTCCCTCCTTGTTATGTCTTCCCAAGTCCAAACAACACAGGCTTAATGTACATTTGGTACATTGTTTGACAAATAACTTTCAACTGATTCTATTGATTTTTCAGGTTTACTGGTGCTTGAATCAGGAGAAAGAAAGAGCTAGTTACTACTTTCCCTCCAGTGCAGAAAAATTATTGAAGGTATCTTTTATTGCTTTTTAGATATTCTTCATGCTGTAGAAATTGTTTAACAATTTCCTAGATGGCTTCTATACACTTCCCAGGAACTGCAATTTATCCTCTCTTTCCAGGTCTCTCTTTAGTATTTGAAACAAAAATTGACTTACGATATTAACTTGTCTTTAGATCCTTTATTTATTTATTTCACATTTGTTAACTATTATTTGGAGGCTTGGAGCATTATGTTTTTGAGATGTGACAATTCCAATTGCAACTCCTGAAGAATTATATGTGATATTAGAACTATATAATCTATTTCTGTTATGATTTTTATGTTACCTCTGCAGGTTGCCAGATACTATTTGTTGGATAAAACAGCGGACAAACTTATTGAGAAGCAGAAGGGTGAGAACTGCGGCTTGGTAACAGATTTTCAGGTGCTTATAAACTTTATGAAAAAATTGTGTTTTATTACTCTTCGGTGAAACCAAAATTTAAAGAAATTTCTTTTGGAAGCAGGCTGAAAAAACATTATACTGATCGTCCATGGTTCATCTAACATTCTTCAAATTATGAGGAGCCTTTTGCCCTTTTCTTTTTCGTCTGACAGATATATGGTTTGCTATTTTGATTATTTGTAGGATATGTTGTCAAAATGTGCTGGCATGAAAATTTGAGAGGGAAGCTCTGAGTCCTCACCGCAAGAATGGTTGACTGCCTTACTGGCAAGTTCAACTCGGTTAAGCTAGGATTGAGATGTCTCCTTGCCCCATGTTAGTTTAGTTAATAGTTTGTTTAAAATGACAGATTCCTCTCATTAAAAGGGGGAAAAACAAATAGAAACATTGTTATGATGCTTCGCAACAGATATAGCTGGCAGAGCAAATGTATATTTTCTCAGGTCTCAAAACAAACCATCATACTTTATTTTGTTAGTTTACGAAAGGGGGCTTATTGGTAATTTTGTGAAATTACTCGAAAAGAGTTTGGTTTTGCTTGTAGCTTTTATGGGCCTTTTTATCCCATTTAATTAGACTTCTAAATTCAGTGTCAGTACATCAGCCATTAAATTTTTATGATCATTTATCTAATCTAACGGTTACTGTTCTTGCATGTGTATGACTTATGAGGTTGTGCCTACATATAATAATGAGTACATGCATATATATGTATGATAAAAATTATACTAACCTTAAATATAATCCTATAATCTTAAGTTGAGAGAAGCTAATGTGTAATCCTGTAATAATTTTTTTTTTTCATTGTCTATCTCTTACACTTGTTGATCAATAAAAAATTGATTGAAAGTTTATATTTCTATTAAAGTAGTTAAAAAAAAAAAACTCAATTTTAAATAAATATACACTCTAAATAAATTTAGAATGGAAATTGGGCATTATTGAAAACTTATTATTTGATAAAATGAATAACTTAAAAGCCAAATTTTCTTTTTCCTCGAATAAATGAAATTGTGAAAATAAAAAACGGGAAAAAGGTCAGCCGAGTGCGGAGGGTGTCGCTGTCAAAAAAATGATTGTAGAAGAGACATTAGTAATCCAAAATCACAACGTTCAATCATTAGATTGGAATCTCGTAGTCAGGGGCCTAATTAAGGTCTATTCTTGCCTTCTAACCACCGGACCTAACGACTTTCATAATCCTTTTTACACGAGAGGCAGTTTGGTCTGTGATGTTGACACCTAAGCCCCCCGCCCTTTTTCACTTTCTTACTTTTTTAACCCTTTCACTCCAAATTAATGCCAAATTTAATTAAATCAAACTATGAATTTATATTCAAGAAACGCTAATTTTATCTTTTTCATAAGGGAAAATTATTATTTCATCCCTGAGGTTTTACATAATTTTTTAAATAGTCCTCGATATTTAGACATATATTTATAACGTCCTTAAGGTTTGCCACCGTCATATTAATTGGTCCTTCCGTAAAAAAAATACACTTTTTTAGTTAATTTTATGAAGAAAAGACGAAATTATCATTTGAAAAAATAATTATTTCGTCCCTGAGGTTTGCCATAATTATTAAGTAGTCCCCTACATTTATACAAATATTTATAATTTGAAAAAATAATTATTTCGTCCCTAGGGTTTGCCGACCTAAGTATTAAAGATTAGTCCCCTACATTTATACAAAGTATTTTATAACTGTCTCCTCGAGGTTAACTTCGTTCATAAGTTATTCGGTCCTGATCCATAAAAAAAAAAAATCCATTCCGTTAAATTTTAAGATAAAAAAGACGAAATTAATCCTTTATCAAGTATTTCATTGACATTATTTATTAATCTCTTTCCTCTAAAATACCTATAAACTCCAAATTTTCACCATAAACTCAAATTTTCACCATCTTTCTCAACCCAACGCGGTCTTCATTGCCACCACCGTGTCTCTGTCAAGTATCATCTCTATAACCAGATCACCAACAAAATTAAAATGAAAAATAATTATTTCATCGCTGAGGTTTGCCATAATTATTTAAGTAGTCCCCACCATTTATACAAATATTTATAACGTTCCTGAGGTTACTTTCGTCATATTACTTGTCCTTCCGTCCAAAAAACACACTTTTTGCTGTTAATTTTTAGTAGAATGACCAAACTAACCTAAATCCTCTAATCAAGGAGAGAGATAAATGGATGAAGGGGTAATGATGGTTTGAATGAGTTTGGATGTTTGGTTTTAGTTTTGGTGGTGATCTGGTTATGGAGATGATAGTTTTCATTGACACGGTGGTGGCAATGAAGACCGCATTGGGTTGAGGAAGATGGTGAAAATGAAGACCGCATTGGGTGAGGAAGATGTGTGAATAAGGTGAGTTTCCAGGTAATTTTAGACAGGAAAGAATTAATGACCTGAATGTCAATGAAACTTGATAAAAGGATAATATCGGTTTTTTTCACTCAAATTAACCGGAAAAATGTATTTGTTTTTTTATGAAGGACCAATTAATATGACGGAAGTAAACTCAGAGGACATGTATAGAAAATATTTATATACAATTGTTAGGAGACTACTTTTAATAATTAATGGCAACCTCAGGAACGAAATATTATTTTTTGTCCAAAAGATAATTTTCATTTTATTTCTTTCGTAAAAATTAACGAAAAAGTGTATTTTTTTTGAACGGAAGGACCATTAACTATGACGGTGGCAAACTTGCGGGACGTTATAGACCGCGAATACATATGCCTAAATATCAAGAGCTACTTAAATAATTATCGTGAAGATCTCACGGAAGGACCAATTAATATGACGGTGGCAAACTTCAGGGACGTTATAAATATATGCCTAAATATCAAAGACTACTTAAATAATTATGTAAAATCTCAGGATGAAATAATAATTTTCCCTTTTCATAATAAATCTTTTTATTATAATATAATTAAATGAATTTATAATGTAATTTTTAACATCGCTGATTCGGAAAAAAAGAACACTTCTTTCTTCCAAACGAGGCTGGGATGGGAATGATGGGATGATATGTTACCCGACTCACCCATCATTGCTCATTGATCACAGCAGGGCCCCACTTTCCAATCACTTCATCACCGTTCAATCTAATCAAGTCGTAGCTTTTCTGAACTAATTTTGTATGTATCTTAAGACATATTTCTTTGCAATTAGATGGACTAATAAAAAAGCATATATAATTAACAAAAATATATGTTTTACTTTAAATTTTTCTTTGCAATTAGAATAATAAATTATTTTTTAATTAAAAAAATACTTATTTTTTTTTTCTAAAATAAGTACTTTTTTAAGCTTACTAACAAATAAACAAAAAGATAGACATTTTTTAATTTTTTTATTTACTAATTTTACATAGAAGACAATAACTTGTCAAATTTAATGAATAATAAATTTTATCAACTATGTTCTTAGGTCAACTTTATACAAATAAGAAACTTCTAAAATAAAACTTTATAAGTATAAAAGGAGAAAAAAATAAATATACAATCTTTAAGAACAAAAATGAAAATAAAAAAGAAAATGTGTAAAGATGTATGTATATACGTTTAAACTGTTCTTCCTAGTTTTTACCGCGACCATTAATTATCATCGACTCTGCTTGCTTGTTTTCTTTTGTACGCTTTTTCTTTACTTCTTTTTTAATATATAAAATATAAATTATTTTTTTGTAGTTTGTGTTCTGTTTCTGTTTCTGTTTCTGTTGTTAATTCATCAGATTCCCTTCGTTCGTAGAAGTAAACCCACAAAGAATCTCTTTTGAGATCCAACGATACAATGCCAATTTACCTATAATTTCGCTTATATCAGAATTAGGGTTTTTCTCTCTCTATCATCCCCCAATTTCTGTCCAAATTACCACAAAATCCATTCCCCCCTCACCCAATTCTCTTTCGAAGTTTTCGGGTTACTAAATTAGATTCAGCTGTGAAGTCCATTTCTTTTTCAAATTTTTTGTTTTTTTTGGACTAGATCAAGGCTTGAACTGCTGTTGATTACAGTGTATTTTTGGTGGGTTTTCATGTCTGTCTGATTTTTTGACTTTCAAGTTTGAACTGCTGATCAGGAGCTGAGATTAACGGGATTTGTGTTAGCTTGGTGTTGCATGTAGGGAATTCTTGCAATTTGGGGCTCAATTTCAGTGCTTAATATTTTTTTGGTTGAATGTTGATAAGGAGATTAATCAGAAGTTTTGACAAGCTTTAGAGGTTTTAGGGTTTGGCTCTGATTTGGTACTCTGCATGTGTAAGCAGCAAGGGGTCCTCTACTAGACTGTGGAGGATCCCTATTAACTATTCCATTATTTTCCTAATTATTATTTTTGAAGAGATTGTGAAATGGAGAAATGCAAATAAGAATAAATAGTTGATTTGGAGTCCGTCTTTGGCAAGTTGAGGGCTTTTGCTTGGTTGGCATATTGTGGATTGGTATTGATTATTTACCATATTTATATAAACTATTTCTGGGAAGGAAATGTTCAGTTCTGGTCCAGTTACTGCCCATGACAATACTGGAGTAGTTCCCATGCGCTTTGTATGGCCGTATGGAGGGAGGAGTGTGTTTCTCAGTGGCTCGTTCACCGGGTGAGTTACTAAATTGTTAAGGTTTAGTTTCTGAACTACCTCGGATTTGTTTTTTGCCATTTGCAAGCAAATAAATGGTTTCTAGTCTTTAGTTATTTAATTATGTAGTAGATGTGTGATGGCCGTTTTGTATGGATTTGTATTCTGGACAGATGGACTGAACACATTCCTATGTCCCCAGTGGAGGGGTGCCCAACTGTTTTCCAAGTTGTTTGCAGCTTAACACCAGGATATCACCAGGTTAGTCTGCTGATATTAATATCATTCTTAGCTCATCTCTACAAAGGATTATTAGGTGGTAGGCAAATATAGATTGGCATTGTAATTGGTATTATTTCAAATTTTTATTGCACGTTGGGAGTTGTGAATGAGCTAGCGTATGTACTTCATAGCCATATGCAGTGTCTCAGTTAACACTAATGCTGACCAAAGGTGAACCGTGGCTGGAGCGAAAAGATGCAACTTCTTTATAGATTTTTGCAACTGAAGTATTAGACAAAAGTTGACCCCCATATCCTAATAAAAGGAAATAGACTAAAGAAAAATAGTATGTCTTTCTGCAGCATGCCATTCATTGTACAATTTATTCCTCCTCGAACTGAACAACAATGAAATAATAGTACTCAAAGGAAGTAAATGATTAGGACTCAGGAGCTCTCATTATTTGCCTTGATAAAGTTATCCTTTTGTGCTGTTAATCTGTCATTCCATCTCAGTCCTAGGTGTTATCTCAGGGTTATCAATTATTCAAATTAAGATGTGCCTGTCAACGGCCTACATCAACAACTAAGAGTTGTTGCTATATTGGAGATCACCTGTACTTATGGTAACCATGTAGTTTCTGATGTACAATTAACCCTGTCCTATCTACCCCTATATATACCCCTATAATAATGTGATTGATGGAGTATGTATATTATATATATATATATATATATATATTCCTTGATAAAAATGATGATGACTATATGTCAAGCTTAAGAGAAGATCTTTGTAGTGACATCATAATTGATTAATATTTTCAAATTACTCCCAATTTTATTGTTAAATAATAGAAATATTTTGTTTTTGTTTCTAAGGGTTCAAACCTACAGCAGTCTCCAGTTATGTTCAGACAGCTAGAAGATAACCTTTTGGGGTTTTTAAATGCATTATTAATGTGCTAGTTGGGTTTTTTTCCCCTTAATGGCATGCTTCAAAAAGACGTTTAGTTCTGACATTCAGATTTTTGCGTTCATGCAGTACAAGTTTTTTGTTGATGGAGAATGGCGACATGATGAGCACCAGCAATCTGTGAGTGGGAATTATGGGGTAGTAAATACTGTTTTCTTACCTAGGGAACCAGATATGGTTCCTTCAATTGTTAATCCTGAGACATCTGGATCTAATATGGAGCTGGATGATGTCTTTTTACGTCCGGTAAGAGTCAAATTCAATTTGTGGCTTGTCATCAAGCTCCATTAATTTGTCATCTTGATTTCATAGTATTCATGTCATCTCTGTGACCAGGATTTTGAGTATCCATTTCTTTTGGATCTGTTATTATCTTTTGGTCTTTTAATTTATGAATGTGTGCACATTTATATTTTAGCCTGTTATTCTTGTGTCTTTTTCATTTCCTATGTATCCATGATTCTGTATAGTCTTGGCTGTCAGCAAATGATGGTTTTAGATTTTCTTTTAGGCTTCTTACAAGAGGGCACTGATATTGACATTAAGGTAGCAACACAACGTTTAGTTTTAAAATATTGATTTTTGGACGGTGGAAAAGTCAAAATTGTAAATCTTACAGGAGAAATAATCTTGAGCTGTTGAATTCAATGGGCATCTTAAAATTATGAAATAAATGAGAGAATGGTGTTGCTTTCTTCTTTTCTTTTTGGCAAGTATAGTTATAGTCTCTCTCTCTCTCTCTCTCTCTCTCTCTCTCTCTCTCTCTCTCTTTATCTCTCTCCATGTGCTATTCTGTCAAAAAAAAGGTCACATTTTCTTGTGGTACTTCTCAGGAAGTAAGGCTAACAGAGGCTGATTTGGAGGTCTCTCGTCATCGTATTTCTGCATTTTTGTCCACGCATACTGCGTACGAGCTGCTTCCCGAGTCAGGCAAGGTTTGAATGCTTTACCTTCTTCACAGCTATTCATCTGGGTTCAACTACTTCAATTTTGCACACTGACTTCTTTCTCATTTTTAACTGTATAGGTTATTGCCTTGGATGTTAATTTACCTGTTAAGCAGGCATTTCATATTCTCTATGAACAGGTGAATCTCTAAGTACATGGACAGGAATCAATTTGCGACATGCATAATCACTTTAAATCGAGCTGAAGTGCTTCAGAATTTTATATTGAACCAACATTCCTTGTTTGATATCTGAAACTACTAATCTCCCTGGCCTCGCTTCAATTCTTCAGACTTTTGCAAAATGCATGAGTTGATTTTAGCATAGATTTCCATCTTTCTGATTTAAATTTAATCTACTTCAGGGTGTCCCTGTAGCTCCTCTCTGGGACTTTCCCAAGGGCCAGTTTGTTGGAGTTCTCAGTGCTTTGGATTTCATCTTGATTCTAAGGGAGGTGTGTGTTTTTCCAATTTTTGACTTTTAAAGATATTTATAATTTACTTTTTTAAAAGAATTTATCGATATTAGAAGAACTTGGAAATTCATAATGTTAATGTATGAGATGCTTATCTTGGTAAGAGACAAAACTATGACAGTATTGAGGTCTCTGTTGCTTATATGGCCTATTATTTTCTGTGGTTATATCTATAATAAGAAAGATGTTACTGCCTATAAAAAAAATCCTGATCAAGCTGTTCTTTTACCATTAGCCATTTGGCAATCACAATGCAGATTCTGATATTCTTTCTCTTGATGAAAATGTTATATTTTCATTTGCCATGGAGAATAACCGAAGAAATCTATGTTTATTTGAACCATACTTGCAAAGACTCTTCAAAATGTTTTGAGGTTGGCTTATAAAACAATCTCATTTGCAATTTAATAAATGATGCACTTCATGTTTTACAAACTCAAAGGAAAAATAGTTCAGTTAACTTTTTTTTTTTCTGCCTATGTTTTTCATGCTTTGAGTACCAAAGCTCATCCGACATATAGATTTTTTTAGTTTTTACCCTTAAGCAATATGTAAATTAGTCTTCATATTTGTGTTCACAAATGCATATTCACACTTGTTGAACTCCCAATACATATGTTTTTGTAAGATATGAAGCTTGAGTCATTTAGGGAATATCAAGCTGTTTCATAGTCTATGGTCTGTGTTTTATTCCTAGGGATTGTTAACATTTATGAAGCTATGGATTTCAGCTTGGAAATCATGGATCTAATTTGACGGAGGAAGAATTGGAGACGCACTCTATATCTGCTTGGAAGGAAGGGAAGTTACATCTTAATAGACAAATCGACGGCGATGGGAGAGCATATGCTAGACGTCTCATCCATGTGAGTTGCTTCCAAAGATTCCTTCCTATTATTATCTCGACAGCAAACAAACCTAACTCCTTAGATTTATTATTTTCCTGAGCATCTAACATGATGAACTTGACGTTTGACTGTGTGTTTATTTTATCAAGAAATGTTTGTATGTGAATTCAAATACATTTGAAAGGGCAGTTGCTATTAATATTTTTATTCTAATTCTGAAGATCTACAAATTCGTTAAGCACTTCACTCTGTGAGTCAGTGGTTTGCAAGGATAAAAAAAGATTAACTGCTTTCAATGATTATTGACCATTTGGTTGAACTACTTTTAGAGCAGGCTATTGCCAGCATACTTTTGTAGCAGAATTTGTGGATCTGACGGCACAAATGAATTGCTTGAGATAGGCATAATTTTGGAGTTAATCCTTATCTGGTCTTTACAATATGTCATCACTAGATTATCATCACAACTCCTGTGATATGCAGGCTGGGCCGTACGATTATCTGAAAGATGTTGCTCTGAAAATTTTGCAAAACAAAGTATCAATGGTTCCAATCATTCATTCTTCTTCACATGATGGTTCATTTCCACAGCTACTACATCTTGCTTCTCTGTCAGGAATACTAAAATGTAAGCTTTCTTGGTTATTGCTTCGGGGGTAATATAAAATGTTTACTAACTTGTGGACCTAAATTCCAGGCATATGCAGGCACTTTAGGCACTCTGCTAGCTCTTTGCCTGTTCTTCAACAACCGATTTGTACAATTCCTCTTGGCACATGGGTTCCAAAAATTGGAGAATCAAATCTACGGCCATTTGCTATGTTGCGACCAAATGCTTCTCTTGGTGATGCTCTATCTTTATTAGTTCAGGGTAATTCACACTCAGACAGAATTGCAGAACTTCAGATCTCTCTCTCTCTAGCTGATCAGTATGTTTTTCTTTAGTTTCATATGATATTGTATGATCTGTTGCAGCTGAAGTTAGTTCAATACCGATTGTAGATGACAATGATTCACTTGTGGACATATACTCCCGAAGGTAAGTTTCTCTAATAGTGTAATCTCCTTTCCACTGATGTACAGCTAACTCATGACACCTTTGTTATTTCCTCAACAGTGACATCACTGCTTTGGCAAAAGATAAAGCGTATGCACAGATTCATCTTGACGAAATCAGTATTCATCAGGTAATTTCTGATTTTTTTTTTTCCTTCTACAAATACATTTCATGCAATTGCAGACATCCATTTTGCCAATGGCCTCAATCAACCAACTGTATGGACTGCATAAACCTCCTTGTGCAAAAGGTTTGAGAACCAAGTCAGATGAAAATTTACAATACTGGAAGTGCATTGCTTTGGATACATGTGCTTGACTGAGAACTCACTGTGGTGGTCGGCCTTTATCTTGTACTAGGCTTTGCAATTGGGACAAGATGCGAGTTCACCATTCTACAATGGACAGAGATGTCACATGTGTTTGGGATCTGATCCTCTACACAAAGTGATGGAGCGGCTTGCTATTCCTGGTACTAATATACTGAGTTAGCTTTTATTTTTATGTAGTTTAACTAATGAAGTTGCACCACTTTTTAGCCATAACTTCCACTAATTTCTTTTGCATTATCTTTACAGGGGTTAGGAGAATTTTGATTGTGGAGGCTGGTACCAAGCGTGTAGAAGGGATAATCTCATTGAGTGATGTGTTCAGGTTTCTGCTTGGTTAGCCTAGGCATTAGCCATGATCTGTGTGGAATTGTTTGCTATAGTAACATTGGAGAAGGCTCATTTCTTTATCATCTGTTAAGTCTCTTTCATTGGAAGGGCCCCATGGTTATGAGCCCCACCCTCTTTTTAGGGTAGAAAATTCAGAAAAAAAAAAAAAAAAAAAAAAAAAAAAAGAGAAAAAAATTTGTAAATTGTGAGTATTCAAATTTTCCACCTTACGATCCAATTATTATCAACTCAATTGTGCTGCTGGAGAGCAGCTTCCATGTTTAGTTCCTACAGGCTTAAAGTGCAGGCAATTCTTGTGATTGATGCGCCTAATTCAGATGGCTAGTTTATATTTTATTTTCAATCTACTTTTGATCTTGTATATTGGAAATTGGACAGTAAAATGGAGTTCTTTATGGTGCAAGTAATCCGGCTTAATAATTGTCATCCCTGTCCTGAGGTGGTTTCTGAATATGGATGTGCAAACATCAGTTTATTCAATTTTTATTTTGTGATTCTGCAACATTTGTTAGAAATTCATATAACAAAGTGCAATTTGAAATTCCCATGGACAATCTTGCTTTAAGAATGATCTTCAATCACATGATGTTCAGCAATCGTCAATTTATGCTCTGCAACCAAATGGAAGGTAAACATTTTGAGGGATTGGGGACCATTAATTCACATAATCAACATTAATCAATTCATATAAAAGTCAAAATTTACTCGTTCAAAATGACCAAGTGAGAGCTACTGGGGGCCATTGATAGAATCTCAGCCGAATCGCTAAAAAGGGAAAAGGAGGAGCAGTGTTACAAGGGGAGGGGGGCAGAATATGAGAGATAATTAATATAGGTATGAATAGGTGTTTTCCCTGTCTCAGCAAGGGCAAATAAAAATTAAAAAAAAAAAAATTGAGGTTGGGAGCTCGATGGGGCATGTTTTGCCGAAACCAAAACTACAGCATAATATATACAAAATGCTGACTAGAGGGCGATTTTCGCCCCCAACGCGTGCAAGTAGAGCCCAAAGCATACTGGCCTCTTACGTTGGTATTAGAGATAATATCTGAGTCTTGATTTTTCCCATGCAGGATTGTATATCTCTATATATAGGCAAATTTTGAGGGCAGCATGGATGCAAGCTGGTAACAGCAGAATCAATTATCTGAGCCACTTCAGCTGGGGGATAATGTCGTTCGGTACATGTCTGCATATAATGAGCGAATTATACTTAGCACAAAGGAGCTAGCTAGAGAGAGAGAGAGAGAGAGAGAGAGAGAGAGAGGCGTGTTAGATATAAAAATCAAAATGTCATAATGAAGAACCTCCAGGTTACCTGTAACATGAGCAGAGTAGCAACACATGATTTTATAAGTTCTGAAGGGATTGCAGTCTCAACTTTCTCAGCATTATCTTGTGACTTGGGGTCAGATGTAGTACTGTTTGCCTGAGGATCTGATGTCCTGGAAATAAACTGATTTTGATGACTCAAAATGCCATTGACCTGCTCAGGTGATCTGATTACTTGTACCTTTGATTCTGATGCTAATTGTCTTTTATCAATAGAATCTAAAGCTTCCCCGATCTTCATAAAAGCATCTTCCCCTTCTTTCATGGACGAAATTGCCTGAAATGAAATTGCATCAGTAAGTTGTAGCTTACAGCAGTTCATACCGCAATGAAAACAAATTAATATTTGAACACAATTGGCATAAAAAATTCAAATGAAATGTCCTATAAACCCAAACTTTCTCTAATGTCGCTAGAAGAATTGTGTTATTCACTATTATAAATCATTTATCTGGTATTGAGTGTTCCCAAAAGCAAGGTGGTAGTCCATCCATCAAATCATATCCATGAATGAGAAGAATGCATTTTTTAACTTCCCAACCAATGCACAGATATTTTGAAAAGGCACACGTGTGCACCAAGGCTCATTACCTGAACAGCAGCATCAATCATTGTATGTGCCTTGTGTCTTGAACTTCTAACAATTTCAACCACGGCAGATCCTGATTCTTGAGAAATAAAACTATCGTGCAAACCTGGCAGGCCACCTGGTAAACTGATATTGGCTGGGGGCTTAAGCCAGGGAGGCAGGGTATTTCCTGAGAACGTATGATGCTGCCTCAGATTGACTAAAGCAGAAGAGGCCTGCAAGAGAGAACAAATCAATTGAGATGACACAAAAACAGAGAACTGAAATTATAAAGCAAGGACTTTATCATGTAAAGCAGTATATACAAATCCATGCGCAAGCCACAAGCCACAAGCCTGGCCACTGCTTTCCAGTATCTATACAAATACGGGGGGAATGGTTTCTTGGAAGGTCTGAATCTTTTAGAGAGTTCTCTTAATTCTTTTGATTTTTCCCATGTTTTATTTAACATGGAAAAACAGTGATCAAGAGAGAGAAAAGATGAGTATTATTATGTCCAATTCCAAGGAAATGGCTAACAGGTTCAATCAATTTACACAGTTATACAAAAACCAAAAGAAGTTAATGAAAGCTGAACCATGAAGGAAGATGGGAAAAATCGCCTGAAATGGAACCTATACCAAAATGGTCTGAGAGATGTATCAACTATCACAATCAAAGAATTGATCCAGCCGAATATTCAAGAGGTATGAACTACAGTCATATAATAGTTTATGCATATACTACATTTACCTTTTTATCAAGAGCACGATTCAGCTCAGAAAGAGCTTGTATATCAGCTTCCTTTGCTTGTACTTGTGTTGCAGCAGAAGGTTGACCATAGAAAATTTGTTGTGCATTTGCAATGTCCGTAGATGCTATTTTTGCTTGTAGATGATTTGCATCCACCTGTAAGCGTAAATAAATCAGATTGCTTAAGAATTAAAAAGATTTGGCTTCTTAATGCTCTACATCTGAAACTAATAGAAGGAAACAACCCACAAAATTTAATATTTCCTGCACCTGCTTTATCAGTGGATTCATGGGAGTTTGTGAGTTCTCTAAGTGCCTGGTTGAAGTAAACCCTCCAGTATTTGAACGCCCATTTGCTTGCAGTTCCTTAGATACAGAGAATCTGTGTCTCCTAATAGCTTCTGGCATGTTATCTACTGGATTTGAAGGCATGCAGTCTATATCCTGAAACGAAGGATGTCAAGTCATTCCCAAAGGATAGAAAGCTAATCCTAACATAGATGTTGGAATTAAGGACAAAAAAGTAACGTGTTACAACTTCAAGGCTAAGCAACATCAAATTTCAAACAATCTGGATGAATAATTGGGGATATAATCATTAAAGATGATAAGGTCAACCAAAAAAACGAAGCACTGTTTAGAAAAGCAATGATCAACAACTTCTAAATGAAGTCTTTCTAATGACAATCTTACAAGTTAAGATAAAAGATCCACTTCCAATTATAATCCATGAAAACCCTTCTATGGTTACAATTTAATATCATTGGAACTAAAAGAATACGGTTACCTACCGCCTTGCAAATTGTATGTTATTAACTTCAGTATAGGTAGGCTAACATATATGAAAGTTGAAATGATTCCAGTGAATAGCAAGGCTGCTCATAAAAAATCATGGCAAATAACTCACAGGAACACCATGCTATTGACTTCAACCACCCATCTCTTTAGCCCATAAGACTTATTTTGTGATAAGGTTACCACCAAAATATTTACAACAAACCACAGCCAACTTAACCCATCAAGCTTTATGAAACTATTAAAAACTAGTCATTATCAGTCTACATTGATTTAATTACTGTAGCCCAGTTAAGCGTTCAAAACAATAGCTACGAATGTTGTCTCCCAAGCAAGTAAACTACATTAGCAAAAAGGCGAATTTCTGATGGTATAGCAGAAGAAACTTATACTGTAACTGAAAGGAATATGTGCTGCCTTCACATGTTTCTGAAGAGAATAAAAAACAATGCAAATAGCAAATAACAGAATCCAAAGCACTGTTGAAATAGACATTATAAACATCAGAAGCTGTCATGACTATACAGTAGATAGTTCAACTACCTTGACAAATTCTACTCCCATCTCAGGAGAGTCAAATTGAACCCTGCACCTGTCATGATCTATTGTAAGTACACATCCATCGCGAAGTTCTCTTGTTTTGGGATACAAAGCAATTACTCGTTGTCCAACTGATAAAGGTCTTGCTAAATCCGTTGGAAGTCCTTCCCTGATACCAGTACAAAGTTCAGTATAATGTTTTCTCACAGAATCCCTATACTGTTTGAGTTTCTCCCTCTCTTCACATAAAAAATGTTCAGAAAACCTCCTAGGTTTACCAAGGGAACTGCATCAACAAGCAGACACAAAGTAAGGATGCTGTCCAACCAAGTTTCTCATAAATTCCACAACATAAATTCACTGATGGATATGCCTAATGGCAGTAGGAAAATAACATTATACCTTCTTATGACACCCCATTCCACTCGAGTTAATCTTGGAATGTGTCCAAGTCCAACATGATTTAAATATTCCACAAACTCCCTCTTAGCAAACCAAGGGTAGTCAATTGCACTATAGAACCACTCAAATGTACACCACCTGCGAACCATAGGAGATGAAAGACAACAAGAAAGCTTTTCCTGTAATTTCAAAAAAAGAAAAAAAAAGAAAAAAAGAAAAAAAGAAAAAAAAAGAAGGAAAAATTGTAAATTAGGTTCAGGACATTTGAGTTCAAAAGGAAATACATTGGATATATTTTACCTTCAGACAGAGTGCTGTATCTTGCAGGGAGGTGGAGTATCTATTAGCTTGATTTTTCAGTATGTTCTTAGAAGAATTCCCCTCTTTATGAATAAATGCTCTCTTCAGATCCATCTTGCGCCTGCTAGTTTTTCTAGTTGGCAAGGTATCTTGAGTTGCCACAAGAACTTGTGCTGTTGACGTTGCTACATCACTTGCAGAACTTTTCTGATCACCACTGAAAGATCGTTTTGGTACTCCAATTGCTTTTGATTGTTTTGAAACAGTGGAAATTTGGCCAGTTCGTTTTCCTTTAAGTGAAGATATAATCTCCTCTTCCTCTACAATCTACATCAAGTGCATCGGAAATAGTAAAACATAAATTCAACTGCCAAAGGATTAAAGACTAGCCTGCTGCGACTAATTGATGAATTCTAACAACAAAGCAGTTGAATTATATATATACATATATGCATTCAGACCAGAAACATACTCATTCAAGATGCATAACTTCAGCTTCAAATTCAAAATGCATAATAAACCATATCACCAGCTGGATAAGTTTTTTACATAGATACAAGTTTCTTGGACAGTTAATGCAACATTTTCTGTCGAAAGACAAGACATCAAAGTAGTGATATCACATGACAAACCAAAAACATTTAATAAGCTCATAGAACAGCAGCTGAAGTGCTTTTATATGAAAATTAGCTTCAACCCAAACAAGAAGGTTGTCATTAAAGGCAATGAATTTATGCTTTTTATGGGAAGAAAATATTGTAAAAGCAAACGAACAAGCTTTGATTAATTGAGAAAGATAGCTTCTGTTAATTTAATGAGAAGCTACAAACTCTTAACATTCTTTATAACACATGATTAAAAAAAAAAAAGGGCCAATCCACAAACCTTACAGTAAGTGGCAATTCTTGCCAAGCACTATACCAACCTAGATCAGGAAACCTAAATACTTGAACTGGATATTAACATACTGGAATGCAACATGGACTTTGGCTTCAGTTGCCAGAGAAACAAGGCACAAAATCAAGCTAAAAGCAACAAGGATTAAGCTTTTCTTATCATATCCATAGCATGCCTATTTATATACACCCTGCAAACTTTGTATCGTCCTTTAAGAAAAAAATAACATTGAACATCTGTGGGGGGACCAAAATAGCAGTGATTTACTAGAAAACATTGAAAGGATGAGTATCAAGTTTAGAACAAAAAAAAAAAAAAAACTTAATTGTCATACCTCGGCCTCCAATGATTTACTTAGATGTGAATTTTTGGGTGCTTCAGAATTTGGCACCTGCAATAAGAACGAAGATAATCATTTTCCCATGAATCTACCACCAAGCAATAGACCAACAAATACAACTGAATGAAAGAGATATTGTAAATACCTTTGATACCGAAGACTGACGTTTTCTTTTCAATGACTTGGAAGACTGGGGCCCTTGCTTTGCTTCAGAAACAGGTTTAGCACAAATTGCCATGTGTCTTCCCAGCTCAGATTTTCTTGAGGTACCCTCAACTTCACATTTCGTGCGAAGAACTTTTTCTTTCTGCACTAGGAGTTTATTTTTATCTCTATGATGGCTTGTAGATGTAGCTTCTGGAATGCTAGATTTGTCATCCACGTCAAATGCAGTTCTTCCTTCATTCAACTGGACAGATGATTCTAGACCAAATATTGAAAAGTAAAAAATGGATAAACCATTAAAGCACATGGAAGGAATAGAAAAAAAAACTAGGTCACCACAACAATTTTATAACCAACTTTCACAGTGACAGCATGAAACAAAATTTGAGGCCAAATTGGTTTTTATATTTCTATGTAAGGCAAGAAAATATTGTCACCAAATTCTTGCCATCCTAGGAAAAGATATATATGTAAATATGATAAACAAGTGTAGAAACAAACCATTTAAAACTGCCAAAAAATGTGCCAGTAAAACATTCATCAACGTGATGACACTATTTGTCTCTTGAATGTTCCATGTACACGTGCATATGCATATAAAGACAGATCAGTAAAGGTATCTCAAATTATGCAGATGAAGTCATGGAACAGGAGAGAGACACTTTGCAAGGAAAGAGTATGTTTTACTTAGTAGTGTGATGGAACAAAAGCACCACTTGCCAGCTTCAACTGAAAATTAGCACCTCTTGATGCCATATTATCAGTGATTTTTGTCAAATAAATTACTGTACTCTAATCCAACATTGTTCTGTCTCCTTCCATTACAGAAATATGAGCATATAGGCATTTGACACTCACCAGATTCCATTACAGAAATGTTAGCCAACGCATGCAACGCATCCAAGGCAGAGAATTCATCTGTGGAGTAGAAAAAAGAAATTTTATTTTAAGTAGATAGAATTACAACATTAATGCATATGCAAGATACAAAAATTCTAATTGCTGGGGAAGAATCCAGAAAGTATAGCTGCTCAATTCACAAGTTAAATTTGTCACATTTTGCCCTCTATTTTTGGTCCAATCACTGCCTACACATTGATAACTAGTATTTCTACTTTACGACACCTAGAATACAGTTCAGCTTGGTGGAAACAGAAATCAATTAGAGGCCTCCATGTATTCACTAGCTAAGTGGTGGTACCATTTTGCTTGAATGGTTTTGGTAATTAAATTAAATTGGCTGGTCAAAAATAGAAGAGAGAAAATGGTGTGCAGAGTCTAAAAAATGAGGAAAAATAAAAGCAACACTACCATATTGATAAGATGTGAAGTAACGAAATCTGGAACCTCTCCTACATGTAAAATTGCTAGGCTAACACAAAAAGTTAAACCACTTGGGCTGGGATCACTTTCAAAATGTTGCTTCTCTGGAAACAACAATCTGAATATCAGGAAAAGAGACCTTAAACCCTAATGTCTATATGTTTTTGGGACTCCTGATCGATAGAATTCCAGTGGTATCCTCATCCCTAGGCACATCCTCCAAGCTTACCAATAAAACACAACACCATAGAATTCCCAACGTGAGGTTATTCCTCAAATTTAGCACTTCTCATGATAGATTTGTAAGTCATCCAAAAACCTTATCAATCCCATTACCATCGATCACATGCCTCATTTATGCTTTTTGTGTTAAATCTCAAAGAGGTATCACAAAATGTATAGCTATAGATTCATATATCTAAAATGAAGTATAAGAATTTAAAATTATAGCAAAGTAAACCTCCAGTACTCAAAAAGGAAAAATAGCACCAGTATTGCTGAATTTTTTTTTTTAAAAAAAAAATGAATAGTCAAATTTGCAATTTCAGAAGGAAATGACGAGTATAACCTGACTATTATCAAGGAGTTGATTGCATGTCAACACCGTGGATGGGTGACTCTAGAGGACAAACATATAATGGAATTGCCCATTATGATTTCTTTTGAACTGGAAGAAATGATAATTTGAAATCCATTCTTAACTATTTGCAAAGAAGAATAGGACAAACAAAATTACCTCCAGAGAAGTGTTTGTTACTCCTCCTCTTTTGGGCCTGTGGGGAGGTGTCATCAATTTTTGCATTTGACTCATTAATATCAATTTCCCCCTTTAGAGCACGTACTTTTGGTCCTTCTTCAGTCCCACTACAAGCTTCGCCACCATCATCAGAATGACAATTCCCAGTCTCTTCAACCTTTACTCTTTTTCTATAAAACATTTTTCCCTTTCGATGAACTTCTACAGTACCTACACCTTCCATATCCACCAAGGAGCTTGTTTCCCTGGTATAAGCACCATCATCATCTCTCATGCTTACACCACCTTCAATCCATTCTTCATAAGTGGAACCATTGGAAAGCTTCGTATGAGATGATTTTGACTGTGGAAACTAATCAAACATACATAAAATTATCATATTGGTTGATATGAAAAGTAAAGGCAACAACAATGACAATACAATACTTAATAGTATTTCAACATACCATCCTGTCCCAGCTTCGAACAGGTGATGACTTAATGTGTTCTGTTCTTCTATGTGGTGTGAAAGAAACTTGGGTAGAACCTCCTCTTTGCAATGCCTCAGTTAATGCAAGTGCAGCAACATGTGCTACTTCATCATCATTAGCATCATTTTCTGATTTTTGACCCCAGTTGAGGGAAACATAATTTTCTCTATCATTTTTCTTATATGGATATGAAACAGCGATTCGAGGTGTCCTTTTCCCAACTGCACGAGGTTGAGCACCTAACATGAATATGAGAAACATCAGGCATTCAACTTGAGCCTTAGATGATATTATAATGATTGTATCATTCATTCATTGGCTTGGTTAAATTTTAAATATTCAAACTGCACCTATTTTATATGCAGAATTCTAAGGGGTGTCAAAATGGGTCATGACAAGGGAACACAATTCGCCTAACACAAAAATTAAACAGATTAGGGTGAATCTAAATGGATTCATGTCATAAACAAGTGACTCATATATAACACAAGTGTAAATGAGTTGTGTCACGGGTTGAATTGTGTAACCCGTCTAACTTGTCTAACCCATTTATTTAAGGATAAAAATGTAATTAATATAATATATATACATATATATATTAAGTGAGTTATGCAGGTTATACTTGTCGTGTTTTTTTGACCCGTATACGACTCATTTGATTAAATTTAGTTGAATCTTTTGACTCATATATGACATATTTAATTAAATGGGTTACACGTGTGCTGTTCGTGTCACACTCTCGTTTAATTTTTGTGTCGTGTTCGTATTTAAATATTTGATACGATTATTAAACGAGTCATGTCCGTGTTAACCCTAATCGTATCACATGTAAGCGGGTTCATACTGAACCCAACACGCTGATCCATTTTGTTACCCTTATAGAATTCAAATGACCATAACTGAGGAATTGACCAAGAAAAAGGGGAATCAAAATAGCAAGTCAACTTATGCACAACCACAATTTACAATGAATTTTAATCAATGCAAAAGCACATACAAATTGGAGGATTTCAAGCACAGCCAACATCAATAACAGTGCATGTAAGGGAAATCAAAAAGAACAAGGATAATATCCTCTATAAGCAGGTCAATTACCATAAAAGTTTCCTTTCTTCAACAACGATAAGTATCCATCATTTGAAGCAATTGAGTTAGACTGTACAACATCTTCTTTTGACGCACTAGGTTGAACTTTTGCCCGCTTGCGTTTCAGTGGTTTCCGTGACATTCCTGATACATCGTTGCTTTCTCGCTCGCTATCACTCACTTCCTATAGGTTCAATAATACGTGCACCCTTATTAGCATGTAGCAAGCATACACGTATGATTCAAACTAATCTATCAAGCAGAAGATTTAAGATCTTCCCTCCTACTAACCCACTGAGAATGTGGCTATGTACTAGCCTTATATTACATTACATTAGCACGAAGCACATTGAGTCCAATTTCTTCAACATAGGAGTTCTCAAGCATAAATACAACTCATTAGAATTTTGCAAAGAGACTTACCATCCTCAATTATGATACCCATCCCCCTCTTTGCTTGTCATAAAGTAACAAAAAATATCAAGCATGCATTACTACACAAAACTCAACTTTCTTTCAAGGAGAAAAATAAAATAAAATAACTTCAAAGAATATCATCCAAAAAATGATAAAAGGAAACTGAAAAATCCATTGATGATATGGTGGGTAACCAGTTTTTGGCAGCATTCACAGCATATCAACCATGGACTTGAGGACATCCAGATGACCTCCCACCCTAAACATAGAGAGAATGATCCAAGCTTACCAATGTATTATAATGATCAGTCATCATTGCAATAAGGCCAAACACAGAAGCTGTTCCCTCTGGCAGAGATAAGTACACCTGTGAAAATCACAACCATGTCGGAAACTTAAAATTATTAACCAAAGAAAACTAAACCTGCACACCTGGATAAAGAGTTGAACCTTCACCAACAATATAATAGCCAACAATTAACACGAAAGCACAAGTTTTACATATATCAGCATATCCTTATTTTCTAAAGTTTACAAACTCACTGACATGGACCCATGCAGGGATCAGTATCAGTAATATTAAGAGATGAATCCACCCAAAATTACTTTCTCTTGCATTGCCACTTTAAGCATTGCCCAAATTTTATAAGCCATTCTCTTGACATGCATTTTGAAACTCCTACAAAAAAAATTCTAGAGCAAACTATTCTTGAGAGAAAGAGAGAGAGAGAGAGAGAGAGAGAGAGAGATTTAAGGCCACAGTCAACTTTCTGGAAACTGATTGATTCATTTCAGACTTCATGCTTGCCAAATTAGTTGCAGACCAAAAACCAATGCCTATACATATAAAACCTAACCCCTGCTGGTCAACTGGAATTAAAAATCGGCAACTAGTTGTGGAAGCCATTAACACTTAAAACCACAGCACAATCACAAAAAAAGCGAACAGCATGCAAGTAAGGGGACTGGCCTCTAAAGTTAAGTGGGTCAAGTTATCCAGCTCATATAAAGAGGCACATTAAACACAAGCCACAATCATCAAGTCCGTAAAGATGCTTAGTAATTCCAGCAATCAACTAAGCCAGCACCTAAGCAACATGAGTACCTTATTCATCATAAAAAGGGCCAGCACCATGTCCACAGACCTATTAGGCACTTCGGCAGCAACCTGAACATCAGAAAGAATCAAGAAATTCAAAAAAAAAAAAAAAAAAAAAAAAAAAAAAATTAAGGTGGGTCAAGTTATCCAGCTCATAATAGAAGAGGCACAATTAAAAACATCAAGGCCACAATCATCAAGTCCGTAAAGGATGACTTAGTAATGATCCAAGCAATCAACCTAAGGCCAGCAGCGCTGAAGCAACAATGGAGTACGGCTTAATTTCATTCATGAAAAAGGCCAGCACCATGTCCACAGACGCTATTAGGCACTTTCGGGCAGCAACCTGAGACATCAGAAAGAATCAAGAAATTCAAAAAAAAAAAATAAAAAAAAAAAAAAAAGAAAAAAAAAAAAAAAAAAAAAAAAAAAAAAAAAAAACGTATTAGGGGTGAGATAAGTTCTTTTTGTTTAAATCTTAACATGAAATTTCACAGAATAAAAACAGTAAAACATTACATTTACAAGCAAAAAAATTAAGATAATACAAACTGAATCAAAACAATATATAATGCATACCTTCTTCCAATCCTCCCCATGGACCCTATATGCTTTGTAGAAACGCTGAAGCTCCCCCTCGCTCCATCGAGGTCCTAACTTATCAGAAAATCTTCTCTTCTGGAAATTTGCATTGAAATATCCACATTACTTTTGTGCAAAATTAAAAGACAACTGTTCATTACTCACGAATGTTGGAAAAAAGTGCAATGCGTTTGTCTGCCTAGATATAATAGTTGTTTCAAAATCAATTTCCTTTGCACCAAGGTTAAAAGGTGAAATTGAATGTCAATGTAACTCTGAAGACAATTGGGTGAGCCAACAACTACAGCATTGAGAACTAATCAAAATCATTAATAACTTTATGTAATAACACAATATATATTATTATATATATATATATATATATATATACACACGACACCACACACTACTAGCAGCTCATAGTATCAGGCAAACGGAAGCTTTGGCGAGACGAATTCAATTACTTCACCCCAGTCACCCGATCTTTGTTTTGTTCGAATTGCTGACCTCTTTAGTTGAGGTGAAACTTCACTTATATATATATATACACACACACACACACTACTACAGCTCATAGTATCAGCAAACGGAAGCTTTGGGAAACGAATTCAATACTCACCCCAGTCACCCGATCTTTGTTTTTGTTCGAATTCCTGACCTCTTTATGAGGTGAAACTTCATTCAGAAACCGCTTATTCACACTTTTTTTCCTTGCTGGTGCCATTTAGGACTTATCCTGAAACATCAAAATTAGCAAACCAAACCAGTTAAAGCTCATGATATATAAACGATTATAAAAAATGAGAATATAGCGATTGATGTCAGCTGTGGACACAAAATTTAGAAAACAACATCCAAAAAAGACCCACGTAAACACTATACAACTACAGTTTTACTTTCTATTAATTTATTTCTTGATCATGGTTCACAACATTGATTGTAACTCTCAATATTCCAACTAGATAAATTACATCAAAGCTTGTTAAATATGAATCACAAATCCAAGAGAAAAATTCTAAAACAAGATATCACTATCCACATCACAACGAACTTGCAGTTCAGTAAAATTTTGAGTCCACGCACCCCAACCTTGTTTGCACAATATAAATTTAAAAAGGTCAGTCGCAGCAATAAACCCAAAAGGCTTTTCCAACTACTAAACGGATTTATTAACATAAAACAACACCAAAAATACACATTCATTTCTTAAATGCCAACGTCAACCAAAATACCTTTATTCAAAAATCAGGGCAAAAAAATTCAAATGAAGCACTGTAAACAAGCAATCAATTGAAATATTAATTTTTAAACATCTCAAACACTTCCAGAAAAATTAGATCCTTGACATAAAATTTAAGTCAGCACACGCACAACACATTTCCCTCTCTCCCCACCCAAAACCCAAATTTAAATTTCACTGCTAAAACCCAATAACCAAATTATACACAGGTTGAGAAAGACATAATTAAAAAATAAATACAGAAAAAAAAAATGGAAAACAGTCCAAGCAACTTCAAAAAGATGTGAGAAAGCCCCGGCATTCAAGAAATATTTGAATGCCGTACATAAATATTTGAATGCCGTACATTACCAGAATGCCCTCCAAAATTGCAAATTTTCACCAAAATAACAAATAGAACAGTCACAAGTCAAATACTAGTTCAACACCCACTTTACAAAACCCACCGAAAAAAGTATCACACCACTAAAAGGAACAGAAAAAATTCGGAATTAGTGAGTAAAATCTTCAAATTCATCTCGTATATCCAAGCAAAAACCTTAGAACAGGGTCACTTTAGATCCCTAATTCACAGATCCGATACCGTAAACTCACCGATTTCAGGTTTGGGTTGAAACCATAGAGAAAGAGAGAGATAAATACTTCGGTTGTGAGAGAGAGCAAGTCTTAGAGAGAGAAACAAAGAGTGTGAGAGAGAGACATAGGTGCGCTCTTAGAGAGAGAAAGAGGGAGTTGCCGCGAAACTTGAATATAAAGGTGGCATAACCAATGAGATTCTTTGGGTTTGATTTTTCTCTTTATATCTTGGGTTTTTTATCTTTTGATTTAATGGGTGGGCTGTTGATTGCGCGCTAATCACCGTACACGTAGGAAATGGAATGGTTTTCACGGTGCGATTGTGCCTACTGTTTTAGGCTTTGATGGATTATCGCACTGGATTAAATTTGAAAAATTTGCTGATAATTTCAGGAAGTGTCCCTCAATCTCTACCTATTTCATTATTTTCCACAATACTTTGAGAAATATTACTTGTTGGCTTTAACTATTCATTATTAACCCAAAAAAAAAAAAAAAACCTAGAATAAGACTTAATTTTTCTCCTCAACAATATGCAATTTGCTCAAAAAATAATTTTTTATATAATTTACTTCCTAAACTTACACCAAGAGATAAAAAAGCTCAATTTCTTACTTAAAAAATAAATATTTTATTTAAATCAAATATAATTAAAAATAGTAAATATTCTTCAAACCAAATATTCAATATAACCAAAACATTTTTCTAATTATGTAATTTTTTAAATCAAATATGTTGTTTAATTATTTTTTAAACTAAAGATAAGACAGTTTTTTTTATAATTATTGTTGTATTTTAAAATTTTGTTATTTTCTAATTTTAAACTTTTTAAATAAGTTTTTGTTAGTTAAAAATATTTAAAATTATTTTTAAAAAAATAAAATTTTTTTATTCATTCCGAGTGTAACTTATAACAAAAGTTAACTTTTTAACAAATTGTATATTGCTTTCGAATTCACGGTGCAAATTGAGTTTTATTCCACAAAAACTTCTCACAATTTATGAAATTTACACTTCATGCATTAATAAATAAATTCAATAGTTATATCCTTGTTCAAATATATTATATTATTTAATTTATGACATTTCATGTAATTATATCAAACCAAACATGTGTTCTTCTCATTTTCTCATCACATAACTATCGAAAATAATAATAAAATAATTCATAAGTTCATTTGAAAAGATAGAGAACAAAATGTTAAGTGAAATTTTATTGCGAGGAAATAAGAGGAGAACAATGAAAATTTATCCAAAGAGGGAGAGTGGAAAATAAATTGGGGAAATAGTGAACTTGGATTGGACCCAAAATTGAAAATATTTTTATTTATATATATATATTTTTTTGTATCCTTCTCCATGTTGAAGATTTTTTTTTTTTTTAAATGTTCATTTAGATATACAATTTCTCATAAAAAAAAAATTTCACTCAAAAATATTTACTATTAAATTTAAAGGATAATGATACAAAAGTTAGTTTGAACATATCCAAGAGTTGTTTTATTTAAAACATCATTCAATTTACGTGATATATATCCCCTATTTTTTCTCAATTTGTAGTATTTCTCTATTTTTTTTCCCAATAATATTATATTACATGTCAATTTTCATTTGTTCTATTAAATTAATTATTTTTTTTATCAAATTAAAAAACCCACATATAATATATTGTTCATACCTGAAAAAAAAAAAATCAACCTTATAAATGGAAACTAAATTCATATATAAATTGAAAAAAGATTTGATGGGTTTGATATGAAAATAAATTATATTTCCATTGGAAATTAAAAATTCGAAGAAAATTATATATCAAGAAGTGTTTATATTAAAGAAAGAGAGTGGGGGAAGCTATTCTCAGTCTGGCTAGAGATGAGGACGTCATATGTATTTTTATGGCAAAAAAAGACGAAAGGTTTATATTGTCTTGACTCATATCACCAATTTCTATTTTTCGGATAAACGCAAAGTTAAAATAATAATTATATTTTATTTTATACAAAATTAGATATGTGCTGGTAGGAAGGTCCAAAATCACCGGTCGTACCAAACCCATCAATTTCTATTCGGTTCGATCAAGAGAAGTTCAATTTGTCGCATTAATTGAGTTGAACCGAATTTGTGGTTTTGATTCAAATTGATTTCATAGAAATTAATGGATTGAGTATAAAACTGAGTTGAGATGTAAAAACCGATCAAACCAATGTCGGTTCAATTTGGTCTATCGTCCGGTTTTCATTTTTTGACCTTGGATTCGGCCAATGATATGAGCTGAAGTCACTGCCTGCACAACGTCAACCACCTTGAGCCAATTTCAGAACAATTAGAGCAATTTGATCATAACAAATATTTCATTTTTTATTATTATTTTTTTAAAATTTATCTTACCAAAAATAAAAAGAGCATTTTGTCCAGAAAATATGACTGCTAAAAATCCATTTTAGGCTTTAATAACAATCTTTTCATTAAAAAACTTCAATCCCAAAATTACAGCTTCAAATTCTCAAATAGACTCATTACCATTTTTGCTTGTTTGGGCTTCCACAGTACTACCAAGCCCATCATTACTTAATTGGACCTCCACATTTCCAGCCCCATTAATTGTCTGTCCTTCCTCAAACTCCATAATCAAATCATGATCAACATTCTCTCCAGGCTCCCACGTGGCTTCTTCAATATCCGTCCATTTAACAAGATACTCATTTTTCCCATCATCACCTACTCTCTTCCCAATCACTCCTTCTGCTACAGCATATTCTAATCCAGCCTCAAAATCCCTAACTAAATCCTCACCGATGAATCTAGCTTTGACCCACTCATTATCACCACCATCCTTCCATTTGACCAAATATTCTACTTGATCGCCCTTCCCTCGCTTCTCCATAATCTCCTGCACCTCCGCGTACTCAAACAGTTCCTCGTCTAAAATCCTAATTACATTTTCTAACCCCAGTCTTCTAGCAAATTGCATTGGATTACCCTTTGGGGTAACTTTCAAGATCTCTTTAGCCAAATCCAACGGCGTCAATCCTCGATCGTCTTCTACTTCCGGATCCGCTCCAAGATCCAATAATAACTTAACAACACCCGGCTGCACGTACCCGGCTGCCATGTGGAGCGCCGTTAAGCCGCCACTGTTATCAGGGTAGTTCAAATTTGCGCCGGCTTCTGCTAGAAGCTTAACACACGGCTCGGAGCCGAGACCCGATACGAAAAGTAATGCGGTGCGTCCATAACTGTCGACAGCATCAACGTCACGTCCATCATCGGCGGCAATAATTTCGCTAAGAGCATTGTGGTCGGCCTTTTTAGCGGCGGTCCACCATGGAGTTTCATACTCCGCCACCACATCTTTAGCTATATAATCTGATGGGACCCATGAAGGGGTATGGCCATCTTTCCATTCTATCAAGTACTCCATGCCTGTCCCATCTTGAAGAGCTTTGCTACCAATGATCTTGCTAACTTCGCCGTAAGATTCGTCATCTTCAGTAGCGCGGTTGTTTTTGGTGTTATCTTTAAGTGGGTTCTGTGTTTCTTGGTTTTGCAGGGCAAAAAGTGTGAAGCTTGGCTTCTGAATATGGGTTGTTCTTAGGTTTGGGAATTGATGGGAGAAGAAAGAGGACGAATGGATTGTGAGATTTGGAGAGATTTTGAGACGAGAAAGGCATTGATTAGCAAGCAGGCTCTCCATTAAAAGTCTGTTACTGTACGCTGTTTTTCTAGTTTTTGGTTTGGTGGTTGTTAATGGAGGGGGAGAGAGAGAAAACGAAGGGGATAAGAAATCTGTTAGCCCATCCATTTCTATGGATAAGACAGTCGTAGAACTATGCAGTTTGATTTTGTTGGTCCACGTAAGTTATTTTAATAATAAAAACAATAATTACAAAATTCCCTGATCACACTTTTCATAGATGTTCGCATATGTCAATTTATTTTTACTACATATGGGCTGTTAGGCACCGTCAATGATTCTGCTACTAATTCAAACCTTCATTTTTATTAATCTGACGGCCGAGGCAAATAGTTTTGAACTTCACGTCCGAGAAAGACAGCAAAAATAACCTTCGATCTGTAATTTTTGTCCAAAATCAATCATAAATTTCTCCTTCAACAGCATTTCTGTGGCAGGAATATAATATGCCATGTTACTGTACCAGCAGCCCAACATATGAACCCAAAATCAACTTGTATTACATGAAACGAAACAAAAATTCTAGGTGCCTACACTCCGACTGAATTTTCATAACAGACTAACTTAAAATCCAATTCGATATGCTATCCTTGCACTAATCTGATTGACACGGGCGCAAATATAGCAGGCATGTGTTCCACCTGGATGAAGCAGCTAGTTGCAGTCTGCTTACGCCCTAAAATTTCTTATTCATTCATCTGATGGAGAATTTGTATTGCAGATTGGGAGATAACCACAGTTACCGTTCTAACAATTCCTGATTTGGGTCAAAGACTTTCACACAAGTAAATCCGTGCTGATAATTGGGAGCTGAAATGCTAGTCATCTGCATAATCAGCATTGCAATCAACAATGTATGGAGATGACAATCATCTTTGGATCAAAATTACCTTTCAATAACTCGCCGGCTATTTCTAATCTCCCCGAAATCACTATCCCTGTCCATATTATAATCTCGGGACTTTCCTTGTCGCTGATTTCGAAATCCTTCTTGTTTTGATCCCTTGAAATTCTGAAATTTGCCGCCTCTACTGTTTGTTCTCTGCCCAGAACGATCGTTACCATGCAATCCTCTATTTACACTATTAGATCTATCAAAGTCATCATTCCAAGATTTCCTTCCGCGCCCTATCTTACCATTGGATCTTCCATAACGATCTCCTCCAAAGTCATTATTACCACGACCTTTGAAGTTGTCATGTCGTCTACCAACTTCCATTTTGTTCCTTCCATACCTATTACCTCGAGAAAATTGCTCATCATTCTCAGATTCTGAAGCAGAAAAGTTCAAGTCGGAACTTCTTTGATAGTTCCTTCTGCCAAAACCCTGTTTATTTCCTTTCCTTTTGCTGGAGCTAAAATCCTCATCAAAATCATCTGCATCAGAATCAAGCACAATTTCTTCATCTGAACCATAACTCAATCCCCTGGCCTTGGATAGGCCAGCTCGGCCCCTGCCTCTGTTCATGTGTCTAGCATCAGCAACATGACTAGATTTCCATTTGGGATTAACTGAAAGTTCTTCGTCTGAATCAATATCCAGTTCATCATCTCCAGAACCAGAGGAAGTTGCCTTCTTATGCATAGGCTTAGATGGCTTGGAGTAAAATGGGGGACTTGTCCTTGGATGAGTGTGAAAATCATCACCAGATTCTGCACCATCTTCCAATTCAGAGTACCCTTGTTGAGAAAAAGTATTTCGAGAATCCTTAAATGTAGGCCTATTGTTTTCAGTATCTAACTCGTAACTGTCAACATCATCTTCATCATCAAAATCATCAAACCCTGTCCCAAGTCTATTATGACCAGGATCAGAATATTCTCTTTCCTGAACCCTTGGAACTCTGCTGGTTCTGTTAAGATCATCGTCAAACCCTCTAAAATTTCCTCCCTGAGCTGCAGTACCTAAAGAAGAGTCATTGTTCATTGCTGCAGGATCTGCATATTCAAAAGCAGCAACATCTGCCCCATCAGATTCATTGTCATCAAAGTCAAAATTCCAGGCATTAGAAACTTCTGGCCGGCTGGCAACCTTCTCCAACCTTGTTCGACCATGCTGCCTCTCTTCCATTCTGTTTTCAGTAAATTCATCAGGTGGGCGCTTGCAATCACAATGGAAACATGTCATATTTCTCCTGTAGTTTAAGAAGTTGCACCTGCCATAGAATAAACCAACAAAGAGAAATATTATTCAATTAATTTAAATTAAAAATTCTGAATCCCTTTGTTTGCAATGCTAGGATCCAATGCAACATTAATGAATTTTACAAACTGCATATCTTTTCTTATAACAGGTAAACTTATAATGATCTGTCTCAACAGCAGTGACAAGAAAGGGAAAAGAAACAGTAATTCTTTGAGATTGAAAAGCTTACTCTGGGCATTCCCATTCTCCTGGAAGCAACTGTTTCTTTGGTTGCTTGGCATCACATTGTAAGCACACTTTATTTTTGGCAAAATTCATGAAGTCGCACCTGGAAACATACAGTGAACATTATTAGCAGCTAAGATAAAAAACAATGACAAAAAAAAAAAAAAAAAAAAAAAATCCCAGTTGGTTCAATGCGATCCATGAGAATCCACATGGGCTCAAAACAGGCATCTAACTAAATGACACCATTTAGCGAGTGACACTGGCCACTTATACCTTTCATTCATCACACAAATTTAAACCCTAATCACAATAGAACGTCAAATGCCAACCAGAGCCAAAAAGTTAGGATCCACAAAAACAAAAGGAACAAATAGAAAATACCTAATCATTCATTTGAGAGGACAGATAAAGCATAATCGCAGATGGAGTCATTCGATCAAAAAATTCATAATTGGACTTGCCAATGTAAATTAAACATCCATTCTAAATTGCAATTAAAAATAATTAAATAAATAATATACAATAACAGCAACGATTAAATAAATAATAAATAAATAATAATAAACTAGTATAATGACAAGTTGTAGTTAAATCACTTTAATTTATTATGTATCAAATTGTAGAAATTTATCTACATAAGCTTAATGTTGTTATGTTAGTTAATTGAAAATTTGGTCTAAATTCTGTCAAATTTCGGCATGCACCTCCCTTAAAAAATTGGGCCTATCTACCTGCTCATATATCACAATATTATCATAATCTTTATCAATCAGTGCACACAGCCCTTCCGTCGGGCAAATCAAGTCATATTTAAATCCCATCCTCCTTCCAAAAAACAACAATATAACACTCCATCAAAATTTACAAACTAATTCTAATAATATCCATATAAGATATTTATTTAAGTCATTAGTTAACTAAATTATTAGTTTTACCGGAATAATTTGTTAAGGCAAGCTAAAACATATTTTAACAATAACTAAATTATAACTACTACCTATTAAAATTCGGTTTTTATATCAATATCAGACAATGGCTAGGCCTCCCAAATCTTGATTAATAAAATTTTCTCGGATCTCTATACTCTATTGCTATCCAGGACAGCTAAAACTCGTTTGCCCTTCTTTTCACGTTTTTTCTCTTGGAGGTGCATATCAAATCAGCATTAGTTTTTTAAAAAACACACTAACGTTTTATTTTATCTATTTTTATAGGGGCAAAATTACAATAATGAAGGCGCACCTAGGAGATATCAATTTCTCCACCGCAGTGAACATCTAATATTAGTGCACAGCCTATTAATGATACATTAAAAACAACTCGAATAAGATATAAAATAATTATAATTAAAAAAATATTACAAAAAGGTAAGATATTGTACAATATTATATTCCTTGATCTGAAAGTACCAATGTATTAAATTAAAATAGTTTTACATAGCACAAAAGATATTTAGTGCTCTTTGAATTCCACACGATTCTTAACCCATTACGAAAATTAATGACGTAATTTTTCTTAAACTTTCTGAGTAGTATCATTCCATAGTATATAGACGAGTGAACCTAGGGATCTTATTTAGGAGTCGCAACACACAGTAAGATTTTGAAGAATAGGGGTACTATCTAAGAACTGCAAAAATGGTCCCAATGATGATCATAAACACACGTGCCAGAGCAATATAGTGGCACAGTTGTATCTATTTCTGGTTTTCCTTTCTTTGTACGACGGGCATATTTTCCAAAAGAAAAGGAGAATGCTTGGCGGGGAGTGTCGCCGACAAATTCCCGAATCACGTGGAAAAAATGTCTCCGAGGAAAGCCAATGTCCGTCCACCTTAAGAACCACAATAACAGAGCATCTAACCGTTTATAATAACAATGTGCAACGGTGGCAAACGCAGATAGGAGTCAATAATAGGCTAAGTAGGACCCACATGCCATCACAGAAAAAATTTGCAGAACAGTAGTCTCACTGCGGGCAGATTTAATCCCCCATCCGACTCCTTTCATCACTACATTTCAACAGCCAGAGGAGCACGCTAAACTAATGCGGTCTACTCTTTGAAGGAGGTTGGTAGGTGTTGTATGCCTCTCGTGTGCACTGCTTTGGCGGTGCGTCTTTTTTGTAAGTAACTGTGCGAAGGTAAAGGGCAAAAAGGGCCCAGACGAGAACTCCAATTTGGAACTGTCACCACTCTCACAGCCTTTACAACCTCAAATGAAGTTTATTTGACCCATGGACAGCGATGATTTTTTTCTAGTAGATTTTTCTTTCCTTAAGCAATATATATTCACAATGAGACTGAGTTTTTCCTTACTGGAAGATGGATATCGTCATTCTCAATCATACGAAAGCAAAGACCCGCAAGAGAGATTATACGCGAGAGTAACTCCGGCGATTACATCTACTAGCTTGATTCGTCTGGTGGCCATACAAACTGCCTGGATCAAGTGAGGTCTTTTAACACGGACCTATATCTCAAAGTCTGTTGGAGCGAAAGTTTGTCCGGAGTTGTTTCAACACAGCTAGCTTTTTCTCACAACGCTTCGCGCAGTTTGCAGCCACGATAAACTCTTATATTACGATGTGATATGAAGGAGGGCACACCATGTTAAATATCTGCGGGTCTCAGATAATTAAGAATTATTACAAAGATTACCCATTGGGCAAGGCCATATGTCTTCTTAAAGAGTTAAGATCTGTATTAACAGCAACAAACTACTATTAATAGATAGGGGTAAAATATATTTTTCATTTTAACCCAACAAAGGAATTGGCTGAGAGATCCGAATTCAAGCGCAAGAATGAGGAAACACGTGGACACAAAGAAAAGCGTGAGGAGAAGAAGAGAGGCAGAGGAAACGAGGATTTACACGCCAGAGCATAGCAGACGCAGACATGAACAGGATAGAAGAAATGAAAGCGACGATATATTGAAAAATGTATAAAAAAAGAATAAAGAAAAATACGAGAAGAGGTATTATACGTTCTTCTAGACATTCCGGTTCGTCAGAACAGGGACGGATCTAACTATTAATTGATGGTGAGTAAGTTAAAATCTCGTATTTTTAGCCTCACACGCTCTTGACACGTAATTTTCTTACCAGGTCTATACGTGGTGAGATTTTTAACTAAAAACCGAAAAGGTACCTAGGGACTAATAATTCGAGTACACAGAGATTCACAAATTTCTTCATAATATATTAATATATACAGGTCTGACAGATATAATTTAATTACTAAATAAACAAAATAAAATAAAAGGAACCATAATTGAGAGACAATAATTAAGATTATCTTATAAGGAGCCATAAAATTGACTCTTACTAACAAAGTAAAAAATATCACTATATCACCATCATTAATTGCATCTCAGAGGAATTGGACACCTCGGATGCAGAGAAAACACAACCAATATTCTATATCTTATATACTGTGGTGGCATCCATAAGCCAACTAGAAAATCCATATAGATTTAATATCGACAAATTTAGTCATTTTGGCTTTCGAGAGGGCACTCACTATGGATAATGTCTAAAACTTGTTATTATTAGATATCTTCTAACAAATTGGCTATATCACGCTAGATTTACGGCCATACACAAAGTCAACAAAATACCAAAGATTTTTGGATTAGAATATTCATAAATAGAAAATTCGATAAACAAGTATCGAAAATAGAATTACTAATGAGAGAACTGGATGTTATCCATAATCTCCCGCCACCCCTTTATAAGACAATATATTTGACTCTCAAGTATAGATTGGAAATTCTAGTTAGTTGGAGGAGCAGATATATAGAAATGAAACACAACAGAACGAATACTTACATTAAAAAATGCTATCCACGAAATCCTTACTCCCCTCGCCTCCTCTAAAATCACAAAGTGGCACACATTGCGTGACGAAGATTGAGTAACGCATTAAATGGTAATATAATGAACCCTATAGGAAAAGGAGGGAAATTGATAAGGTCAAGTCATAACCTATAAACCGTCAAATGTGATTAAAATTATTTCACGTTAAGCTCCAGCCGATGCGGATTGACAGTTTCAATTATAATTTACGCTGGCCAAATACACATATAAATCAAACCTAACGATATAGCTATCGAGACTAATCCACACATAGATTTGAGTTTATTACCTAATATCTCACAATCACTATTACTCTTTAGAAAGCGCGGATGACTCCCACCGACTGAAAATTTTAGAAAAATGCTTGTCTTTGAATAATATAATTATGAACTAGATCACAAACACTTAGTATTGATATCAGGGAAAGGTACATGTGCATAATACGTACAATATTTTAGGAGTTGATTATTTCTTAAGAATTTTTGAACTAGTGGGACAATTTTGAAAAAATTTAAAAATCTCTTTAGTTAGCAGACACAGTCTGTGTCCGTCTGTGGAGGCCAAACTAATTTATAGAGGCAGAACAATTGTAATTCTACTTTACTTACAATCATAAGATTAACTCATTCAATTCACATTGTTTATTAATAAACCTTATTAATCAAACTTTGAAAACTGGTTGCTCATTACTTCAAAACTTTAGGCAAAATCGTCTGTAACTTCTGCAATATCTATTATATTCCAAGGCCGCTTCGAAATAACTGTTTTTTGTTTCTCATCTATGCAAATTCGATTGTCCCTATAATATCTTTACTGATGGATTTAGTTATGTGTTATTAAAGCTCCTAATCAACTGCATCCCTTAGCTATCTCAAATCCTATATGCAAAAATTTTCACATCCTTACCATAACAATAACCGCTTATTCTTATGTCGCGCCTTATGATACTACATCAACGAAAATTTAACTGCAATTATATATCTCTAGTAATCGCACTTCCGTTCACAACTAAATCTCATTTGAATAACCTTCCATTCTACTGATGTTGCCTATTATTTTGTTAAGGATAGAGAGATTCTATTAATTATTTGTCTCCTAATCATCCATTAATCGCGATCTATCTAATCACCAATAATTCAACTTAGTATTTATTACCTTCCTTTAATATTCACCTTATCTAATACTATCAACAAAACACAGATTTTTCAATTAAATTTCGTTAAATTCCCACCTAATACTACCTTTACATCAAATTAATTAAGTTTGATCTCAATAAACTCCTCATTGTCAATTTAATTATTTACTATTAACTCTCACTTCTGTTCATAGCCTAAATTAGAATTTACAACTATCAGTTCTAATATTTTTTAATTAGAACTTATTTTAAAACAAAAGTTCAGATTCCTCTATGTGGAATATTAACTTCAAGATTCGCATCTACTTATCACTAACCCTTACGTCAATTCCATATCCAACTTACCTATTTTATTTAATACTTTATCAAATCAAAGTCTTTCGCCTTTTCAAGTCTAGTAAAGGTATTTATAAATTCTTAAATCTTTTATCTACCACTTACTCCTCATATATATTACAACTCAGTTTATATATAGTCATTTCTATACCATAAATCATTAATCCATTTCCTAATGTTAATGTCTTCCATGTATTTACATTAAACAACCCTATATCCAACATCTACTTCGCACTTACTTCTATAACCAAAAACGGATACCCAACAATTTCAGCGTTAGTTCTCAACTTGACTACTAACTGTTTTACTTTATTATTATATCACCCACCAAGTCCCTTATTCTTCTTTTTCCAATCTTCTTTCAGAATTTTTTTTTTTTTTTTATCCTTGTATCATTTCATTTTATGATCTAATCCAAATTGGCCCCGTGATTAAATAGACAGCTTTCAAAATACTTTTCTATATAAATAATCAATTTCAAATTATTTATCATAAAACAATTTGAATTCAAAATAAAATGGGGTTTTTAAATTTAAAATGTCAGGTAAATAAAATGAAAACAAAAATTAAAAGGTTTATATTATTTGAATAACTCTTAAGATAATTCAGTAGCTGTGTTTGAAAACTAGACACATAATTTCTAAATTAACCCTCAAAGTTATTATTTGTATTATGGAAATTTTACCATACCAATAGAAAATCCTATTTATCTCCTACACTATCACTCTCACTGACAAGAATAGAGTTTCACATAAAAGTATGTAACTGGGTGATCAGAAGCCAATCATACCATCAGGTTTACTAACTAATTCCACTAAGCTAAGGGTTGACTACCATTCTAGCCACCTTAATAGGTACTAAAAAGGAAGAAAAAGACGATGGAATTGTCTTCTGTCTACTGCTTTCAACTAAAAAAAAAAAAAAAAAAAAAAAGGAATAATTCAATTCCTGTCTGAAAGCATATTTAGAAAGTTTATGGTAAATATTGCCTCAGATCTGCCTAGCAAAGCAATTTTCTGCTCTGAGATATTCCATGGATGCATATGAGACCATGATATTATCATACATAGATAAGGTTATCTAGATAGCAAATGCCAATGAATATGACACAGTCCAACATATACAGTTTTTTTTTTTTTAGCATATTTTTCCAAAGAAAAGGAGAATGTTGGGGAAAAATTCCAGTGGAAAAAATGTTCCAAAATGGCAATTCACTTAAACACAATAAACAGCTAACCGTTTATAATAACAATAACGAGATAAGTCAATTAGCAAGGCAAGTTATATTGTAACATACTTGGGGCAGATCCAATCCCCCCTTTTCATCTCAACATCATCACGTCCAACTCGTCTCTTTGGAGGAGGTGGAGGTTGCTTCACTTTTGGCGGGGGCTTTTTGATAACTGGAGGGGGAAGGTTAGGATCAATTGGAACTGCACTCAGCTTTACAACCTCATGAAGTAATTTACGGACTACAGTTTTTAGTGATTTTTGTTTCAGAAGAGACTTATTGGCTACTGATCCATTTATGGGATCAAAACCATAAGTTAGCAGAACCCGCATTACATCTACTGTTCGTGCTTCATCCTCCTTGTTGGTTAGCAGATATGCTCTTTCACACGAGCTTCTCAAACTGCAGTTGCTACAAACCTGAAATATTAATAGCACACTTAAAATTGTCGTTCATAATTATTACAAGATTATCCCATTGCAAATGCCATATTTTCAAAATTAATTATAAAAAATATATAATAGAAGGGGAAAATATATTTTTTTTAACCCAACAAAGGAATGTTGGGGAGAATAAATCAACGAAAAGAAAAACATGACAGCAAAAGGAACCAAAACAAGAAACATAAGCAGAATAGAGAGAAGAAGCAATGAAGAATACCTTTTTATTTATGTAAGATCACCTTATTCAAGACAACATGAAAGTAAAATGTTAAATATTTTTACTACTAATTTTAACAGGCAAAGAGTCAATTTATGGCACTTAATAACCGAGGACCTTGACTAGGACCAACATGAGAATACAATCCTCTCTGAATTAAATGCAAGCTACATCGACGGTTCAATTATAAAACATCAAAATAATAAGAAAGAACCATCAAAATTGATACATCAGTTTTAAAGCATGCCAAAACCACTAACAAGAAAGTAACACTTACATCACCTTCATCAAGGTGGACATGCTTCCTTAGAAGTTTTGCAGAGAAAACAACCTTCTTATCTGCACTTGGGCATCCATAGCCAACTAAAACTTGTATATCCTGCCTCTTCAATGACCTGAAATTAATTTTATGTCTCACCATATGGCATATGCCAATCCAAATGACAACACTTGGAACAACATTACAAAGAATGTAACTACAACGAATCTAGAGAACTAACCATGAGCTTAAAAACATTTACATCAGTATATGATTTTGAGCAGATAAAAATAAACTAACAATTAAAAGATTATTCCCCCTCCCCCCTCGCCCCTAATTAGTGATTGAGATAACCTATGTATATAAACCTAAGTGGATAAACCCTCCAAAACGCAGATAACTATAGTAAGCAATGGATTGAGTTCAATACTGCCAATAATATAAATCACTAACCTAACGATATCGAACCGGTCCTTGCCAAAATTGACAACAGCATTCTGTACAGTCTTGAAATCCTTAAAATCAATTCCAACATCGTCATCTCCAAGCTCATGTGCATTAAAACCTAATTCTCGAACCATTTTATCCTCATCTTTCCTCCTATGGTCAAAGTAATTCTGGTGCACCAATCTCTCCATCAATTCAATCCATTCAGGCCACGGATGGACCACCTCAACCTCAGTTTTCTTCTTTAGCTCACCATAATTAGACTCGGGCGTCAAATTTGAACTAGAATCATTATTATCCGTAAATCCAGATTCTATACATTCATTTTGAGAGCTTAATATTTCCGAACTTTGGGTACTTACGGTTTCTAGGTTTTGTTGCTCGCGCTGTACGGTATTTTTGGATTGGCGCCAAGCTCGGATTTTTTTGAGGGTTTCATCTTTTTGGGCACGATCACGTTCGATGGCATCGATTTGATCGAAGACAAAGCTCATGCGGGCGGAGAGAGAAGAGGGCTTTGGGGTATCCGGTAAGGGAGAGGAAGTGGAGTAGGGTTTAAGGAAGAGATTTCGATAAAGGTTAAGTGGGTAAGAGAATGCGGGTTTAGGGTTTTTGGGGTTTTGAATTATGCGTCTCATGAGGAGGAAAGAGATTGGGGTTTGCGCCATTTTTTGAGAAAGAAAGGTTAGTATCCGGAGTTAGAAAAATCCTGCATTTAGCATTTGAGAATGAATGGGATGGACGGAGGGAGAAGCCTAAACCCTTCTTGGTTTTGTTCGGCCACCGAGAAACTGAATTTAGCAACGTTGGGCCTAATGGGCCCACAATAATATAAGAGTTTTAAACTTGAACATAGGAAAATGCCTATGGGCCGCTAATTACTTAACACATGGGCTTAGGCCCAGTTTTCTCCAGCAAATGAATGTCATAAAGGTCGTATTCGTTGTCTGCCTCGAAACGCAAGAAGCAAGACATCCTGTAACTGTAAGCCGTGGAAAAGCTGCCTAAGATAAAATGACTGGATAGGTTACATAAATGAGGAACATATATATAATTAAATACAGATTCATTACCAGGATATTCACATGATACAACAACAGTTTTCTATATGGTTGGAAGGGTAAAGCAGTTAGAAGCTATACAACAAGAAAAGAGGGTTACATCAGGAAAAGCTTTTGTTGGTTAAAAACTTTGAATGTTCTTACTTGAAGATGATATCCAAGCCAGGGATGTACAAACAGCAGACAGTCAAAACCACTCAACCATACACTTGGGGTAGAAACCTTTATCTGCAGCTACAGCAGAGAGACCCTGTAGTTCTTTCTGAACTTTACGCCTCTCGTAGAACACTGAGCAAGCAAGCGAATTGCACTTGACCCCACTTTCCACAATCCAATCCCCACCTCCACAATGTCGACATACCTGTAGAAGAGAATTAAAAATCGCTTGATATAATCAAATGAAAAAAAAAAAAAAAAAAAAAATTAAAAAAATCGCTTTGATATAATCCAAATGAAAAAAAAAAAAAAAAAGAAATCAGGAAGAGAAAAAGAGAGGAGCAATTCATCATGAATATTTCAATCTAACTGAAAAAAAAAAAAAAAAAAAAAAGAAATCAGGAAGAGAAAGAGAGGAGCAATTCAATCATGATATTCAATCTAACTGAAATAAGCAAGTAGTTGCAATTCACAAACATAATCTGAATAATGCTTTTATGCAACGAAAATGCTCTCACGTGCAACATGGGTGATTCATTAAAGAATTTACAAAGTTCAATATTGTGATTCATAGTCCAAGAATTTACTCCCAAGCTCAATGAACGCCAGTGGTCTACGGAAAGAAAAATACTGGTACATATTACACTAGGACATAGCATGTAGAATAACCAAAGCTCAAGAAATTATAACTACCGTTGACCATAAAGAATTGCTACAATTCCCAACAGGATGGTCATCATACTTACAGCAGCAAGGTGTTGCATCTCCCTCTCCAATTTTGATGTCCTTCCAATTACAGCTGTTGCAGCAGCAGTTTCCTTCTGTGAACATTTATTGCATATATGTGTTGATGTGTGGACCAACTCACCACAGAGCATACAATGTTTCGAAAGATAGTAAAAATCAATTCTGGTGCGTTGGGGATTCGAAGCATATGATTGGCGCTTAGCAAAAGCATCCCTTCCTGGTCGAGGCATCTCTGAAAACCACTGATTTAAGTCAGCACCAAGAAGTCCAAATACTCGCTGCAGCGCTGGAATTATCTGTTTGCTAATGTAATATATATCATTTAATCTGAAAGGAGAATCAATAGCCAAAAGCTCCAATGGATCCACAACCATATCAACCAGACGGACACCTGGTTCACCATGGATCACAACATAAGGCACTCGCTCTGCATACCGTGGTTCTGCCCTGGGATCTGCTCTCATAGCTTTAGCAGCCACAATTGCTGCTGGTGGGAGTGATGAAGATACCCTTGTGCTGTAAGTGCCCAATCGAACCTCTTTTGCAAAAATGAAATCTTGAATAGAAACTCTGCCAGATAGAATCCTAGTCCATTGACGCTGCAAATATTCTTTAATCTGCATACAAAACATGGACATTCACTTGGTCAAAAAAATAAATATATATTGCAAAGGAGAAATTCTAGCAGAAACAAAGATTAAAAAAGGCCTTTTGTATCGCCAAAAAGAAGGTTAATACAGACGAAACACCAATAGTTTCGGGAAAAAATTATCAGCTTAGAGTTATAAGAAACTGGTAAAAGTCTGCTTTCCACCTCAGACATGTTCTGATGTTCAAAAAAGAGTCTCAATGACTGCTCCATCATTTTTGCAACTGCACCACAAGTATCTCTGCGAACAGTCTCAATACCTTTGGCATCAAAGACAGGTTCAATCTGGTCTGCATTCTCGTAGCTGTAGCCAACATAGCGTTTCTTCGTAAGAAGGAAACATGGATGGTAGACTTTCTCCAATTTCAAGGTGACAGGATTTGGATTCATGGCAGTTACAGCAGAAGCTATCTCATTCCCAATTTGAAAAGATTCTTTAACAGTGCGTCCCTTCAGGAGGACAAACATGCTGCACAAAACAAACCCCAAAGATAAGAGCTGTCAAAACAAAATGAGACCACAGCCTTTCTTGTAACTAATTTAACCCTCCAGTCACCTAAAGTTATGATAAACTTCTATGAATTTGGTTCAAGATAAAATTACATGGTCACAGGTTTTTAATCCCTAATATAGTAACTAATGTTGAATACCTGTCAGTATCACCGTATATAACCTTAGCATTCCACTTATCATTTGCATTTACCAAAGAAATAGCCTTTTCCAGTGTGCTACGGCCACATTGAACAATACTGTCAGCAAGCTCAGCGCATGGCATGCGACCACTAAATCCAGCAGCAGTATAACCGTAGGTTACATTTGCTATCAGCTTCAAAGCAAGCTGTCTTGCATTAAATATCTGAAAGAATATATGAAAATTAGTGCTTAAACTATTTTATGCTCGGTAAGTATTCTTGTGCAGCATTACCCTGTGAAGCACTAGTTCTGTGGGAGCCAACTTCTTCATTGCTTGTTTCACCATTATTCTGGTTGACAATATTTCCTCCAACAAACGGGGTAGTACACCTTTACGAACCTGTAAATGCAAGGAATGGGTATGACTTTCTTTCCTTTTCTCTCTCCCCCATTTTAACAGACAGGAAGACATGCTAATCATGAAAAAATTTTTTATTTTAAGTTGAAAAATAACCAGATTTTTACTGAGCATAAAATAAGAACACTAGCTACAGCAAAAAAAAGAAACAGAACATTCTAATCCGATTACAATCACAAATGAACTGTTTAAAATTACACCTAGTATTTTTAGATCAACAGAGACTCATATTTTAACTTGAGCAATACATTAGCAGCCTCAATGTCTTTCTCTGATCAGAAGTCAACTGTTTTGGGACCCAAAGGAAAAAGAAGAAAAAGAAAACACAACAGGACAACTTAGGCACATTACAGGTAAGCGACAAAGATTATGCTATGATGATTTATACATGGAAGTTAAAAGTAAATTTTCTGGGAAGGAAAGAGGAAAAATAATATCTAAGCAATAAGAAAGTTTTCCCTTCTTATACAAGAATACAATTCATGAATTGTGTAAGCGTTTCAATCTGGAATATCTTCCATTGAGCTTCATTAACAATAATTATAGATTTGTTGTCTAGAAACATTCCACAGAAAGCGAGTTAAAGTTACCATATGCAAGGCATTTACCAATAAAAACTTATTTTATATTAGAAACAAAAAGCAACTAACTGAATTACCTCTGGAGGCACATACATAACTCCGTTTGGAGTGAGCAGTAATTTATCTATCAAATCCCTTAGAACATGTGGCTCTGGTGAAAACGAACTAACTCCTAGCGTTTTTGCCTTTGAAGGTGTAACATTTCCGAGACAAGTGGAAAAGCAAAGGTTGTATGCAATTATCATTGATGGATAAAGAGACTGGAAATCCAAGACGACAACTGGGTCAGCATAAAAACCAGATTCTGGCTCCATTACTAGAGGTAAACACTCCATCGCAGGTTGAGAAGCAACCTATATGTACATGAAGTAGAGTCATTACTCAAACAGTTAGAATGCAAAACTCAAGTATAGGTCAGAAAAGAAAAGAAAGCAGAAATCATCATTCCATGATGATAATCTCAGAAAGAATGCCGAGGGGGAGGTTAGATTACCAAATGCTGAATCTAGAAAATGAAGATAGCTGATTTTCAACAGCAGGACACATAAAAGAAAGTATCAGTCAAGTCTTCAGGATAAAAAATGTTAGTAGAATAATATGGCGGTAAAATTTGGAAGTGCATGTTTGATCACATGTGAAAAGGAGCCAAATTAACATAACATTTCATCAGGTAACAAATGGTGAAACAAAGTCTATTCAGCAATAACCTGGTGATTCCCAGGAGAAATGGCAAGATAGTTCTGTGAATGTGCCAGTCTGAGCATCATAGATTCAACGCGGTACTGCGAGCCTCGTGAGAGAACAGAAAAAAAATCAATGCCGAATACACGAGCAAGCTCTGAAGTACGATTTATCTGCAAAACCAGCCACACCAAGATCAATATCAGCTGTCCAGAATTCAAATAGAGAGGAAAAAAGGTGGTTTTTTTTTTTTTTTTTTTCCAGAATTCAATAGAGAAGGAAAAAAGGGTTGGTTTTTTTTTTTTTTTTTTGGGAGGGGGCAGTTCCTAGATACTCCTCTTTCCACACTTAAAATTTTTATATTTCCTTCAGCTACAACACTCAATAGGATGTGGATGTGCTGTAAATACACCCTGTAAAAAGAGTAACTGGTGAAAAAGGTGATGGTCAAGAAGCACTACCATTAAAAGGCCCATGATTACAAACTAAAGTGATTTCCTGAAGCAAGAAAAAGAAAAAGGAACCTTCATGGAAAGTTGAATATACAGAAACTCTTCTCTGATTCAAATTAAGTATCAATTCAAGCCAAACTATTATTATGCTCTTTGGACTAAAGAATGAGCAATAAACTAGAGTTCATAGAAAATTTCAATTCATTCTAGGCATAGCCACTAGTTTATTTTGAACCGGAACCGAACAGTACTGTAGATGAACCGGAACCGGACCTGAACCATTGGTTCAAGGGCCGGTTAAAGTTCATGTGAATGTTAAAATTTGAATCTGAACCGGTGGTAAACCGGCGGTTCCAGGCCAGTTCGAACTGAAAATTTTCTATTTTTATTTTCAAAATGATAATCACTTATTTTATTCTATATATCTCTAAAAGTCTAAATAACATTTTACTACATTATATACTTAAGATTTTTTTTTTTTTTTTTTTTTTTTTTTTTTTTTTTTTTTTTTTTTTTTGAAAATACACCTTTACTTTAAAAGCTAAAAATCTAAAAGTAAAATGGTGAAAAAAAAGAGAGAAATATTTAGCCCTAAACTTATATTTGTTTTAACTTCTTTTTTTATCTTTAAATTGTTCACTAAGTTCAAAAATTAATATTCTTTTGAAGCATCTTTTTCCAAAATTTTCTAATAAATTTATTTATTAAATAATATTTAGACAAATAAGTGATATTTAATTTGATTATTTTGTAATTAATTAATTTTAATTCTTATATGAGTATGAGCATTCTAAAATTTATTTAAATAAACTTTACCCAAGTATTTTGGAGACTCATATTAATATATTCGAAAGAAAAATATAATATTGGAATCAATTTTTTTTTTAAAAAAAATATATATATATATATATATGTCGGAAACCATAAAAAAAATATATATATATATATATATCGTCGGAAACCATGATCGGAACCGTCGGTCCATCGGAACCACACTGGAGCCAGAATCGGACTGGAACCGGCGGTTCAAGGGCCAGTTCAGGTTCAACATTTTAAAATTTTTGAACTGCCAGTTCCGTGAACCAAAACCGGCAGTTCAATGAACCAGCCATGCCTAATTCATTCAATCAATTCCTACAATCAGCCTAGATGGTAAAAGTGAGTGCCAGGAATGAACCAAAGGTGATGTCCATGTAAAACCAACCTAATATGAATTTTTGAATGAAAAAAAAAAATGATTTAACTAATCTAGAGCCTCATATATCACTCAACATACGACATAATTTAAGGGGAAGAATTGAGGCCAGCAAACCTAAAAATGCAAATATATATAAAATAACATTAGATTTCAAATCTTTCCTGTCTTACCATATCAAGTTGATTCATTATCTCAAGGTTCAGCTTTGCCCTCTGAATCACATACTCAATGCATCTATATCTTGCTCGTCCAGCACCACTTAAAAACCATTTTGTCAATACTCTATATGGAATTGATGGAATTTTTCGTCTTAACACAGCTTCACTAACAGCTTCAACATTATACATGTTAAGCTTAACTTCACCACGCATCAGTCTCCATATGTTAAGGACAACTCTGCCACCAACATGGACACCACTGGCATGAGTTCTGCCCCATTCATCTTCAATTACTGCCTGCTCTACCAAACCAGAGTCTGCAATTAATGGCTCATGCAGCATAATATCCACCTCTCCCTTATCAGAAATTTCTGTTGGCCCAGTCTCTATATTGGCTGTTAATGGTGTCCGAGAAATCTTATTAAGCAAGCCCATACCAAGATTTGCAGCCCTCTCAGCCAAAAATCCAAGAGAACCACCTTGAATATCCCAACCCATTAAAATATCAGGATCAAATGAACCTAAGATCCTTATAAAATAGCTAAATACATGCTTTTCCTCAGAGAAATAAAGCACCTTATTTACAGATATTCCATCAGAACTCCTGCAAAACAAATTACGATGAGGGCAATGATTAAATTACTATGTAAAAGATTTCAAACATGGAATAGGCCATAAACTAGAGAAAACCGAATTCTAAATTTTGAAAAAAAGATTCCCTGCAAAACCACAAAACACAGCAAACTGTAGATAGGACTTAAAATAATGGTCCAAATTGGAACTGGAGCCACCTTGAAGGCCCTAAACCAAAAATATCAGCCAAAAGAACTTGGTACACCCTATGGTTCCTTCTTATTCAACCAAAAGAACATCCTCCAGAATTTGCAGCAATTTTGTTTTTTCTTTCCTGGTTTGTGCTTGGATTAGTTAATTTCACCAATCCTTTTCCTCAAGAAAGCCCAACCAGTACATTGGTCATGTAATGCAAATGTAGAAAACAGATCTAAAGAAAGAAAGAAAGTAAAGCAAATATCAGTGCCTGATAATATTGATCATACCTCTGATAAGATTCTGTATGACTATGTAAAAGCACATAGACCTCAACAGCAGGATCACCATCACTCTGAAAAGCAAGAGCTATTACATTGATAGCATCAAACCGAGGATCTGGCCTGAGATCTCCTCTAGATTCAGCCTGAACCTGTCAGCATGTGATTCCATAAACCGCTTTATTTATTTATGTATTTTTTCCAACCGAGTACTAAATTATATGGTAGCAATTCACCAAGGCTTGAGTTGCCTACTAAATTTTCATCTCAAAATATGAAGGTTGATGGAAATGCAAATGCCAATACAAACAAAAAACCATCATAAGAGGTGAAACCCTACACGTGCTATTATCAATACCTCTATACTTAACAAGGTTAGTTGCTGCCCAGCACCAATGCTAGCAGGATCACGAAATCCAATTTGACTGAGGGGAGTAGGCCTTGATCTTCCATTTGGGCCTGAAATTTGAGATAAATCTACAGAGCCATCAGTGCATGCATCCAGGTTTACATTATTTCGTTCACCATGCAATGTCATTTGAACCTTGCTATGAATAGGCTCCGAATTATCATTTTGATGTATTTCTTGTTGCACTTGATTCTGTATAGGTATCAAGTGAGATAAAGAACCTGATTCCATTGAAACCTTGTTACCACAAACAGGTGAAGAACCTTGTGAACCCATCTCAGGAGACCCTGTAAGAAGCAGCGGAGTTAACAAGATTCTTAGCTTCATGGTCCTACATAAATAAAGGATTTGGATGATCTACCTTTAATGGGTAAAGTCTCTGCTGACGATGCATTTCTCTCTCCAGGAATATCTGGAAAACCACAAATAAGGTTTTAGACATGAAATCCAAGTTGTTGGAAAGGACTGGAAACATCAGTTAGCAAATTCTAGCTCGTACCTTTATTATCACCTGCTAACCATCTAAATACACAATCTGCAGAAGGGGGTGAATAAATGGGTGTCAAAAGGTACAGGAGTGAACCGTCATTTTGATGGTGGGTTGGGACACCCATGATAGCTTCTTTCTCAACATTTAAGTCACCGTTTGAAAGTGAATCATTCTGAACTACTTTCTTCTCTTGACAGTCCTCTTCAAAAAATGGGAGAAGTTCATCCAACACATTTCCTACAAGTTATTTGATTGTTGTTGAGTTCCAAAACCAAAAGTAAGTCATAAAACCCTATGCCCATCTAAAAAGCTCTCAATCCTAATAACAAGTATAATTAACTTTAACCAAATCCATATATATACATGTCAAAAGAAGCAGGGAGGAGGAAAGGCTAAATATGACAAGGGAAATGGAAAACCTGAAGTTTCATTTTTGTTGTACTTATTAATAAGAGAAGTGTGACAAGATACAGCAGCTATACATGAAGCATTTTCACATGTTCCATCTTTCCAATCCACGATGGGAGGTTTCTTGTTGAAGGTCATGCCAATTAAGCTTCCAGACACTCCTTCCATGCTAACAACCTTGGATCTGGAGTTGTCGAGTGCCAAGAAACCTGGATCTCTACCATATTTAGCAACACAACTTTTTACATTCTCTAGAACAGCGGTGTCAGCTGACATGTGCTTGCCCATAGGTTTTTCATTAGAAATTTCATTGCATTTTGCCACCGAAATTCTGCCTTTGTGGCAATTTTTTGGCTCATTATCATCTCTCACAAACATCTCATGCTCAATAAGAGAAGCTGACAAAGAGTATGGACCGATGTGTTCCTTTGGCTCCACTCGCTCAATGACCAAATTAACATCTTTACATAACAAATTGTCAGATAAAGAATCTGATCTGGATCTATAGATATTAGAAGTTATAGCATCGGTTGAGGTTGCACCTTTGCAGTCAAAGTCTTCACCGTTATTCATTTCATAATGGTACATGGCAATTGCAGATTCTTGGCTGTTGGACTTATCCAGCGTTTGTAATTCTTTCATCCCTGTATCTACCAAAGAAGGATGAGTACTATGCTGCAATGCACCACCACTGCCTGATACATAAGGTGCTTCCACATATGTGTGACAACTAGGATGAACAGATATAAAACTGTAACCCTCAGGAAATTCTGTTTGTTTGTCAGTTATTGAAGGCCTAAAGTTGGCAGACCCAAGAGGTTTGTTGCCATGCTCTTCATTTACTGCATGTAAATCCAATTGATTTGGCATGAGAATATTGTCTGGTTCGTGTTCCCCTACTGCACAAACTTTTTTGACCCCACTATTTCCACATTCCTGCTGAGCTATTCGGTGGCATCGCTTTCTTCTCATTAAGTCCCGCACAGAGCATCCAACTAAGTCACCTATTTGACAAAAATCTGTGTCAGGATTTTTCATTGGAGTATCAGAATGTTTCCCCCCTTCGTTTCTAGGCATGGATGTGCCAATGCAATCTTGACCTTCAACAACACATGCGTCAGCTATGTTGGACCAAACAGCTTCTGATTCATCGGTCCCCTTTTGGGTCATGGAGAAGGGTAATGAGCCCCATAATGATTTCTCCCTTTTGCGCTTATTAGTAACTTGCGTGATAGTAGTCTGCAGTACTTGGTGTTGAAAATACCTTTTGGAATCGTCTTTCATCTCTATCTTTGATGAATTTCCAGAAGATCTGGAAGTAGATGAGAGCAAACCATCCCCTTGATGAGTTTCTGATGAAGTTTGATTATGATTGATACAATCAATAGAACGCAAAGCTGTCTCCTTCAAATCCTCAATTGAATCTAGAATGTCCTGACACTCTTGTTGAGACTCACTCTCATACTCCATATTGGCTTTCTCCAGCACGTTCTCAATTGTTCTTGCAAGTAACAATGGACTTAGAATGGTCTCGCGAACAAGATCATCATCAGAGTTTATATCTTCAGCAGCCTGAGAAGTGGCAAGCCACCTCAAAAGACCCAAAGCTTCTGTATCTGCAGTCTGAAAACAAATGAATTTTAAGAACATCCGAAACCTGTAATATGTGCAGCCAAAATGGGAGACTGAATAGCTTCTGAAGATATAGAAGCTTAGGGTGATGAAACCCAAATGTGTCTTCATGATTATTTTTTAGGTAAGAGTAAGATTGTCGGAAATGGAAATATAGATAGAAAGATAGAAATGCTAATCATGAGAACTACCTTTGGATCCAATGTTTCATTTGTTTCAGATTCTGCATCCTGCCTTTCTGTAGGTGTAGTGTCTAACTCATCGTCACATGAAGAACCCATAAGTGATGAAACCCCAACAGCGTCTCCTTTTGTGTAAAACTTCTGAGGTCCTTCATCAATACTGTTAGAATTGATGATTCCACGTTCAACCAAATTTTCTTTATTAGCTGAAGATATCGATGACTGCTGAAATTTTACATTATCCCCCATCAAAGATAAGTTTTCTACTATTGATTTACTGCACAACTCTAAAAGATTTCTCTCAAACTCAGGAACATGGAACAGAGTTTTCAAAACGTCCTCAGCAAGTGGCTTTCCAGGATCAGGTGGCATAGCTGCCCCATGCACCCCAGTCCTTTCATATTCTTCCTACATAACCAGAAAGTAAGTTTAATTAAGGACAAAACAGCCGCTGTGACATCCAATGTTGCATATAAAACACCAGCACGACAGAAAGCAGGCACACCTCCCAGATGGGTATAAGGGATTGCACCATCTTTACGTCTGAACAATTTTGAGAAGGGGATATAAATGTTTTGAATTGCTGATTCAAAATCTCTGTAAACCACAAAAGGTTAACAATATGGGCAATGAAATCATGAATGAAATAAGTTAAAGTGGCATAGCCATGGACCAAAACTAACCATCTACAATTGCATCTCCCTCAAGTTCACAAATGCTTTGACGTTTAATCTGGTGAAGACCTTGATCTGACGGCACCTCAAATTCACTGGAAAAGTTCCACATCCAATCACCTGGAATAGTAGAAGATATCCAAAAGGGAGAATCGAAGGACTCACCACTACTCAAACCTGCCTAATGAAATCATCCACAGTATCATTCACAATTAGAACATAACCGGTATGAATATATTCCAAGATACCCTAAAAGCATTGGATATGGAAAAAGAGACAAAGATGACCTGAAATTCAGTGGACATGCAAGTAACCTTTGCCATCTCCAGTCCATGTTGGCTATTGCAATTAAATTTTCTTGGCATAAAAACATCAGGTACTGGATGACGGAACTTCATCTTTGATAGATGGACATGGCCCATTCCATACAAGTTGTAGTCAATCTGAAATAAAAGAGGACCTCAACAATCCACAGATACAAATGAGGCAATTCACAACATAATGATGCCTGAGTTCTGACAAAACCATAAATAAGATATTTTGTATCATTTAAAGTGAGTTTTGAGTCATACTTGAGAATGGAAAATTACCAAAAGGAAAGAAAGCAAAAGGTACATATAAATCTGTCCTGTGGATTACAATAATATTATCAAACACACAATCAAGTTGCCTTGTATTGACGTTTAAATGTGAAGAGTAGTTCATGTCTAAACACAAGTATCTCCCCAGATGAAATCTTCCAGGATCGAATAGATGTTAGGGAATTGTCAGCCAAATTTAGATCACACAGTTAGCAATTCAGCATACAAAAGGATTAGCCTGGTTGGCAAGTCAGCGTGCTACCCACGTCTTGAAACAGGATTTGATTCCTCAGCCATGCCACCAGTATTTTCCTCATAAATCCCCTAGTCCAAACATGAACGGCTTGTCTTTGAATAGACTAAGAAGGAGGCCTACCTTTGGTATTGGGATACTACTTATCAAAATACAAAATAAAATACCATACAAGCATATGGCACTTGATGAACTTATCTAGCAGTTATTCAACAGTTTGTTCTATAAGCTTGCCAGGACCAAGAAAAGAACAGTCCATAAAGAAAGCCATAAAAGTGGTCAAACACCAAAAGCAAATTTATGATACAACCAACAATTATAATGACATCAATAGTCATGAACATCCAGTCTGATTCTTGTGATAAAAGAACTTCATTCAATGAATTCAAATATAAAACAACATTTACCATAAACTGGAGAATGAAAGGGATATGAGATTCATGAGGCTTCAAACTTTTATCTAGAACTGCTCCTCCCTGGAAATTAGTGGTTTAATGGTAAAATGATCCTTGTGCCCAAACACAAAATTTGAAATGAAAAGAATGAAACTATGACTTAGTACTATTGGCTGGTTCAATAATGGTACCAGAAGAAGATTAGCAGCACGAGAGACATCATGTGGATAATAGCTAAGATTTTGTCAAGGTGTTATGCAATGTAATTCCCAAAGTACTATAAAATTTCATTCAAATGTACCAAAAAAGAGTACTATAAAAATGAAAAAACTGCATGACAATCTGAAGAGAATAAGCAAACATAAGGATACAGGTATATCTTGACAAACAACTCTTCTGATGAATTGTAACCATAAAATTTCCTTGCTCGGACAAGACTGCAGCCATGCACATACTGTCTTTTCGAACCAGAATTACCTTTAAGCTGTGAGTCAACCAAAGTAATCTCATATCACATATAAGGTGTCATCCATGTAAAAAAAAGACAATAAAATATTAAAAAGAAAGGAACTCAGCAGTGGAATTAACGAAGCATACTTTCAGGGATTTCTCAAGGGCAAGAGCAATTGCATTTGTGTATGAATCACCTGCAAAATTCAGCAAGTTAAAGAGAGTATATATATTTTGACTATCATGTGCTAACTGAAGCAAATCACATTATAAATGCAGGACAGAATAACAACCAATACTAGTATAGCCATACCTTCTTGATCTGGATGAAGTGGTATGTCTGAACATGGGACATATAAATAGGGAAAAGCCTACAGCAACCAACACAGGCAGCTTAGATAAGTACATTACGCAATTCAATACTCTAAGGAGCTTCAAAGGCGTCGTCGGACAGCACTTTGAGCATTTAAGGAATGAAAAATGTGTTAAATCACCAAAAGAAGAAGAAGAAGAAGAAGAAGAAGAAGAAGCTAAGAAGAACTAGTAACCCAAGAAGATTGAGGCTTGCAACTACACATAGCATTAAGTGAGCATAGCAATCTTACCCTGTGAATATGCAAGCAAGTCTTTTGACCAGCAGGAGTTGAGCCATAAACCCTTACAACAGGAACCTCGTTCACCTTTCCACCTTCGTTCAACAAGTCCGTTTCAGTAAAGGGCAGCGAGTTCAATAATAAAAGCAAATTAGAAACCCCAATACCCCCAATTTGCTTACAGGAAAACTAAAATATCATAAGGTCTCAACTTCAAACTCCATTACAATTTTGAAAACACTGAAAGCTAACCTTGAAAGCTACTATAGCAAATATCGGTGTTAGGGATCGGCGGTGCCATGTAGTAATCGATCGATACGATTCGGACGCTGAAAATTTTCGAATCCGGCCGCGAATTCGCCATCGATTCTCCACTCAAATTATAAATTTGGCGCCAGGTCAAAGTGTATATGCAAGTCGATTATCAACTTCCAGCGTACTCTTCTGTGGATGACATGTCGGTTTTGTTCTTTGATGAATAACGATCACACGACAACAGATCTGTCCTCGAACGACCGCGTACAAATTAGAAGTAGCGTCGCATGATAGCATATGGCTTTTATGTCACTGATTTACGAAACGAGATGTGTTGAACAACCGTCCTTTAATGATATAAACGACAAAGGGGGTTCGGTTGTTGAACGACCGCGCGTAAACCTAATCCTGAGCCTCATATTCTATTTGTGAACAGTGGATCCTCTCCCGGTCCGTACTCCATTTCCTTCCTATTCTATTGCCAAGACCGTCCTTTTGGTAAATGGGCTCAGGCCCACTTTACTTGAACAATAACATCAGTGAGGAATTGTGAATAAATTCAAAAAAAAACAAGAAAATTCCTCAAATACAAACAGATTCGGTGTAACTAATAATCGATTTGCATAATTAAAAATAAAAATAATGTTAAAGAAAGATTACAATTAAATTCACTTGTCTCTGCAAGAGGATACAACGTATTTATTATTTTTTTTATTTCTTTCCATTTCTGCCCAATGCAATGTTGAATATTTTTTTCATTCATTTAATATTGTCACTTGAGAGTTCCATTTGTAATTATTACTTATTATATGCATTTTCTCTTTTTGGAAATGAATTCAATTGCCCAAATTTATTTTATTTTTATTTATTTTATTGATTTCTCACCAAATATCATATTTCGTAATTTATTTCAGAATCAGTAAATAGTTTCTATTTCAGTATTAAGCCCATTATAAATAGCTGTTTATATTTCCCTATCAATAACCAAATAATAAGTGAGAATTTATTCTATCAAGAGTTTCATATTCTTTGTTCTACTCTTTTGAGAGAGCCTCCAAATAAATTTTTTATCGTGATCTTAAACCTGATATTTCTCTGCGAGTTTCTTCACTTGTCATTACGGATATTAAGTTGGGGCCTCCAAATTATTTCTTTGTGATGATTTTCAACTTGATGTTTCTAATTTATCTGGGTTAGTTCCCATATCTTTTTGTTAAGTTCTTTTTAATAAAACTGTTGTCTGAAAAGAAAGAGCTTGATTGACTCAAAAGTAGCAAGTTGTGTGCTTGAAACCAATCAGCAGAACCCTGGCATTCTCCGCTGCTTAGAAGCTCGCTACATGTTGTACAGCTGCCTTGAAGGTATGTATATTGGAGAAACCTTCTTAAAGGTTTAGGTTTTCATGATTTTTGCATCTTCATTTATGAAATAATCTAACAGTTCTAACTCCTGAAAATAAACGGAAAAATGCAAAGAATTCCAAAGCCTGAATCTTTTCTTACTTTTTCTTGCATTTTCTGTTCAACCAAACGGAAAGGTGCAGTTTTTTCCAATGGGGGTGGATTACTCTTATCCAAGGTTCACAAGGCTCACTCTAGACGGGTGTGTTTTTCATCTTGGGATCATGAACCTTACAACTAAGAAATTGCAGAACTGGTTCGTATAAATGGCAACAAGAATGAAACCCTCGAGTGTCCTTACTGTCGTCGTATGAATGAGTTGTTTATATATGTCCTCCCTCTGGAAATTAATCCTCACATTGTGTATGGCATTTTTATTCTTTGTACTAATGTTAGACAACAAAGTATCCATTTATGAAGTTTTATTACCTTAAGCATATATATGACATTTGACTATGACACTACATAAACATTTGCTTGAAAGTTGTAAAAAGTTCGGATTTTTTACACGCAAGTGCATTAATATGAAACCAGAACAGGAAAATCCTACAGGGAAAGTTATTTAGCCCTCAGATAGAAACACTGTTAGGAATTCCTCTACCAGTGAGTCCAACTTCACTGCTAGGAACTAACAAAGTGTAAGTCATCAAAACAGGACCAACACGGTTCTTCAATTGCACATCTTTATTCATCTCTATAATACCCTCCTCAATCTTTTCCAGCTTCTTTCCAAATTGTTTAAAGGCCTCTAATGGCTTCTCATCTGTTGTCCATTCAGGTGTGTCTCGCTGCCCAAGATAAACTTCATCTGAAGCATGCCTTGACAGAATTTCTATAAGAGAAATGCCAAGAACAGTTTGCAACTGAGCAGTAATAGTTTTAAGGAAGGCTTTTTCGGGGTTCGACTTAAGCTCTTCATACTCAGGAGTGTCTTTTTCAGGCAAAAACCTGCGGCTTATGCTAGGTCTATTAGGAAGGTAGCCTCCATAAGGATATTGACCAAAGTTGATTGCTGCATGAAGAGCAGATGCTATCCAAATGATAATAGTGCATGATTCTATTAGCTCTTCTCTTGTATGCATCTTGGGCCACCAAGGCTCTTCTTTCTTGTCACCATGGCCTACTTCACGGATTTCTTTCCACCATGACTGAAGTTCAGGATCCTTTATGACCATATCATCTGTTTCATAGTAAAAGGAGCAATAGTCTTTAACCCATTCTCTTATTGCTGACCATATTTCAAGCCCATCAACAGCAAAGGGATAGTCTTTTATCAGTAAAGAAAGACCGTGCGGCGCTTTTGGATCCTCAACTGCTATCCCTCTACATACAACAAAGAGTTGATTTTCATGTCATTAAATGATGTAGAAAATATTTATGGCCTATAATTAGTGAAATAATATTTATTTACCTTTTCTTTAAATCTTCAGGAAGTGCTTGCTCTCTAAAATTCCAGCTTTTGTAAGCAATTGATGTCATTTCCATAGAATACTTTGCTGGAAAAACTGTGAACTCCAATAATCCACCAGCATTAATAAGTATCTGTCTAGCAACTGCATTTATGTTCATCGTGTCACGGAAGTGAGGATGTAGAAGTTTGTGTATTGGATGAAGCACACTTAATTGCCTATTTGTTGCAATCACAATTGGCTCGATTGTTGCATGAGTGTGCAACCTGTTAACAAAGGAAGAACTTTTTCAGAAATTAATTTCAGTTGTATTAACCAAATACTGTTTCTTAATTTAGTTTTTCATTTTTCTTTTATTTTTCTGGTCAAATTCATACCAGTGACTGATAAGCTGGTGAACGCCAGAGTCGACTACACCCACATAAGCTTTAGCCAACAGCCAAATAGAACCTTCAACACCATCCTCAGCTGGTGTGCATACTTTGCTAACGGCTCCGAATTGATCACCTTCAGGATGAGGCAAGCTTAACTCAATTGCTAATGGCTTCAAAGTCTCGTCAGCTTTCAAGAAAAGCAGTGTTCTTGATGCATATGTCTTTGTGGAGGTAGCATTTATCCGCCTTAGGTATGGCATCACTGTATCATGGTGATCTAATATGTATAGCTTGTTGTTCTTTAATGCCTGTTAACCGTTGTGATTTAGTTATATATGTGCAAAATATCTGATGATTCTGACTCAACTCATTGAAGAAACAAATAGATGAATGTTACCTCATCTACTGTCAGTCCATCCAGATTATTCTTTATGTGATCTTCTGTTATTGAACTGTTTTGATTGCCATATTGTTTGTTGTTTAGCTTGCTTTTTGGAGGGAATTCCTGCAGTCAAATTCAACAGTATATATAAGCAAAACCAGAAAATCAATCTCTTTTCTCTGCTTGGTGAAAGTAATATAGCTTTAATGTTTACCTCAAGACGACGGATAATGACAGGATTTATACCAGCTAACATTTCTCTACCAAATTCCTCATCAGTCCTCCAAGCAGTCTTGCTCTCTGCCCCAATTGTCACAGAATCACAATTTAAAAAAAAAAAAATGCAGAAAGACATACTGTGCACAATTAAGGTTAATAATGGCATTTAATGGCGGAGAACATTATGATACCTTTAATTACTTGAGGCATTGGAAACTTGAAAAGCCGCTCTCCATCAGTTCGGAAAATTTCCTTAAGCATCTCGAAAGGAATGTTTTTCATAACATTATCTAGTAAAGGTCCATCAGGAAGCTTAATACCTCCTTCATAGAGTTTTAATATATCATCAAAGGAGTCAAACTCATTGGGAGTGCTATCAAATAGAGCTTCTAGCTCAGGTTTAAGAAACTGGGCTATGGATTTTAGTGCATAAGCAAGAAAATCAGACATCTTCAAGTGACCAAATCGTTCGTCCCGTGGAACATATATGTTCAAGCTCATTAGTAGTGATAGCCTGCTTTCATAATTAGGATCTGGTCATAAATGATTATAATCAGAAAACAGAATAACAGACTGGTTTAACTGAAAATGCAAATTGAGAGTGTTCAGAATCACTGTGTTGGCTCAGTGTGCTTGTGTTGTCTCAGGAACTGTAAAGCTAGAATAGTTGTCAGCAGCAGAAAATAAGAACCTGATTCTGCTGGTGCCCGGCCTGTTCTTCCTCTGCGAGGATAAGGATATTCAGAAGACCCTCCAAGAATCGGGCGAACATATTTAGGACCCTTCTTAGGATCTCCTAAATCATTGTAGTAAGCATAATCATACACACGATCCCATTCTTGCAGCTCTCCTTTTCCATCTCCTCTCAAATTCTCGAGCTCTTCCTCTCTGTACTTGCGCAAAGGCATTGGTGTCTCATGTGGCAGAAATGTCTGCACAAGCATATTAAGAAATTAAGTAACATCAACTTACAGCATTCTCCAAACTCCAATATCACAAAAAGAAAAGAAAAGAAAAAAAAAATGATCTTGATTTACCTTGTTAGCGAAGAAAATGCGATCTTTCTTGTAATGTTTGGCAGGATAAACCCATGAATTGCATACAAAATGGATTCTACCTTGTCCAGGAACATCTTCAAGAGTGAGAGTTTTGAGGTAAAATTCACTGTGATGGTTGTTTTTAATTATGAATGCTCCTGGAATTCCAATTTCCTCATTCCAATCAAATGTAACTTTGAATGCTGAATCTCCTGGTGTCAAGGGAGCTATTGTAGTAATCCAATCTTCCAAATATGCAGGTTCTCCTACTTTCCCTTGCAGACCATTCTCTAGAGAGCCATATAACAAGTAGAATCAGAGGCGGCTGTTCTGATGAATTATAAATTACATATAATAGTAGTCAACCGAAGCTCATTGATGATTTATGATCAATCATCAGGAAAATTTTTTACTTTCTGGGCTAAATTAAGACATAATTCCATAATTAATTACTAATAATTAGTTTTTTCAATAAAAATAATGCACCGACAAGAACTTTCCGTAATTGACTCATTGTCCATGGGAGGTGTAATGGCAACTGCGACCTGGTGTGGGTCTCTTCTGACATTCTTCAACCTTTTCCCCCCATTGATTAATAAAAAGAGACTAACATATGGCCGTGACTTTTTACTGTCACAGCGTGTATTCATGTTTCCTACTATGGATCATCATAACAAATCGAAAGGGCAGAAATTATCACAAGTAATGTCTGTGATATGAACTATTTTTCTGGTTTTGTGCAAAGAAAAGCTAATTTCGTTAAACTTTTCTTCATGAAAACTGATAAAAGAGGGACAGAGAGAGACATATAAAGTTGAAAAGAATAGTAATATGGTAAGTTTATGACATAATTTCATTCTTTCTTTTCCTTTTTTTGTTTTCTAATTTGTCTTTTCTTTTCTTTTTATGTACCTATATTAAGATTCTTGAACACAATTAAATTAAATATGAAAACCAAGAAACTGACAGATCATGAACTGAATCTCTTTCTCTAGTTACTCTATTTTCTATAATCCAATAGTATGATCAGTTAATTGAGAATAACATATCTACTGATTAACATACCAAGAAACGAAATTAAAAAAAGAAACTTACCAGACTCACTAGTAACAGAACTAATGAGTTGCAGAGAAACTCCATGGCCAAACAACTCATGAACACGATCAAGAAGTGAAGCATGAAAATCATTGAAGTCTAAAACATTCTTTTTCATCAAAACAACACTGCCTGTGATCTTTTTGCACTCACCACTAACACATTTTATCTTCTTGCTGCCATTACTGTCGCCAGTAATGGCACCAACTATGTTTTGAAGCATTCTTGATGATCAGTTGCTTCAGGAGGTAACCAAAGAATCTAGTTGAGGAGAGAAAGATCAGAGGTGGGCACCAAAGCAAAGTTATCAATTTGAGTTTGGGTAAGTGTGAGGTGATAGATATAGACTGTATTTATAGAGGAAAATAAAAAAAAGAAAAGGAAAGAAATGGAATTGACTGAGAAGTTTCATTTTTTATTGTGGGTTCATATTGGAGTGGTTCCATCTCCTTTTCTTTAGAGTGACTTTAGGTTAGTCTTTGCTAACTTATTATCTGAGGGTGAGATGCTTCAACCATTTAGCGATGCTCAATGACTTGCTGGTCATTCAGTACGTTTATGGAGCGTGCAGTACACTTCCATGCTTTTATCGTGAGTTTTTTACTTCATTTAATTAATCCACAATTTAATATTTAATTATGTATGGCCAATTTTATTCGAAGAAAAATCACATATGATTTATGTGGTTTGTAAAATAAGAGTCTGTTCATGTATTTTTAAAAATATATTAGTTTATCCTTATATTTGCTCCGTTACACTATTAAGTCATTTTATTTAATTTTTGCATCTTTTACGTCAAGTCAATAAAAAAACATAAAAGTCAAATTAGATATACTAAAATATTATACCAGAAAAATTACAGTGTAATCCATATATTTTGAAAAATACATTTAGTCCGTTCCTATATTTTTAAAAAAATAGACGAAAGGACATCATAATTTGACGGAAGTAAACTATAAAAATATTTTAATCTATTTCTCAAAAAACAAAGATGAATTAATTGTATTTCGCAAATTATAGGAATCGTACTATAACTTTCCCTTTTTTCATTACATATTTATCTACAAAGAATATACTCATTCAAGCTAAATTTGAGCTAAGTTTCGAACTTAATAGATTGGAAATCAGCTCGACTCGTTTTATTTATACCTATACTCATGCATATCACGTGCACCAAATGTTAAGGAAGGTGCATAATTCACTAACTAATCCACAGAAATTTCACTTATTACCGGTAGTAATTAAGTACGGATTTCATGTAATTAATAACCTCATTGGAACTGCTATTTTGATTTATTTATGCAAAGTGGAAATTGGGGCAGATAAGACATGAATATGTGCCAAGATTTGGTGTTACAAATCTTAGTCTATCATGTCATTCTTTCTTCCCTGTGGAGTCTAGCGCCCAGCGGCTGAAGACCGAATCTTACAACCCTAAAATATAAATTGATTTAAAGTTATTATTTTATTTAAAATATAAATCATTTTGAATATTTTAACGAGTAATATATTAAAATAATATTATTTTTTAAATATTAGATATAATAATTATTTTATTAATTAATTTTAATTTTAAAATAAAAAATAATTTGATTACTAATTTATGAAAATTAATTATTTTTTAATTTAAAAAAATTTAACAATTTATATTTTAAAACAAATAATTTTAATTTGCTAAAAAAACCGTAATTTTCTTATAATAATACCTCTAATAAAAAAAAAAAGTAATATTTATTATTCTGCATGACTTCTCACGTGGAGTCCTTTTAATATCAAAAAGAGAGAAAGTTCTTATTGGGAGTCTTGTTTAGTAGCCTTAATGGAATTTCCATAATTTTTTTTTTAGATTTTCTTGAGTCTTTTAAGGATTAATATAATATATGGACAAGTGTGAACGTGTGATTTCGAATAAAATAATAAAATATTAGACATTTGTTTAACAGAATCATATATATTATTACTAAAAGCAATTTGCATCAGATAAAGAAAGAGGCCACTATCAAATGTCCCCCAAAAGGAAGGGAAGGGGTGAATATGACCAAGAAATTTAATCCTAAAGCTCTGTTGGTAAGTGGGAATCAATAATATGTTTAAGCAATATTCTTTTTTATATATATACATGCACCGAGTATTTAGATTTGTATCCATTTTCTTGCCTTCAGGGATAAAAGAGTTGGTCCGGATGAATTTACATTGCAGAAAATTACATCCATGATCTTAAACCATGGTAATTAACTACGCAAATACTGTTCACCGTTGAGATATCCATTTGGATTTAAGCAATATTTTTTTTACACTTTCTTTTTTATTTTCTTTGACATGTTTTAGCTCTCCCTATCTAATTATAGCATTTGATATCTACCGTCCATTTAATCTTAGGATTTTTTTTTTTTTTTTTTTTTTAATTTTGATTTACTTTAATTTATTGAAAAAAAAATTTTTTATTATTTTTTTTTTTTTTTTTTTTTAAAATTTTAAAAAAATTTAACAATTATTATATTTTAAAAACAATAATTTTAATTTGACTAAAAAACCGTAATTTTTCTTATAATAATAACCTCTAATTAAAAAAAAAAAGTAATGTAATATTATTATTCTTGTGCATGACTTCTCACGTGTCGGAGTCCTTATTAATTATCCCAAAAAGGAGAGGAAAGTTCTTATTGGAGTCTTGTTTTTAGTAGCACTTAATGGAATTCCATAATTTTTTTTTTAGATTTTCTTTGAGGTCTTTTTAAGGATTTAATATATATATGGAACAAGTTGGTGAACGTTGTGATTTTCAATAAAATAATAAAAATATTAGACAGTTTGTTTAACAGAATCATATTATATTAATATACTAAAAGCAACATTTGCTATCAGATAAAGATAAGAGGTCCCACTATCAAATGTCCCCAAAAAGGAAGGGGATAAAGGGCGGTGAATTTATGACCCAAGAAGAAATTTAATCCTAAAGCTCTGTGGTAAGTTGGGAATCAATAATATGTTTAAGCAATATTCTTTGTTTACTATATATACATTGCACCGAGTTTATTTAAGATTTGTATCCCATTTTTCTTTGCCTTCAGGGATAAAAGAGGTTGGTCCTGGGATGTAGAATTACATTGCAGAAAATTACATCCATGAATCTTAATACCATGTAATAACTACGCAAATTAACTTTCACCGTTGAGATATCCATTTGGAATTTAAGCAATTATTTTTTTTACACTTTCTTTTTTTTTATTTTCTTTGACTGGTTTTTAGCTCTCTTCCTATCTAATTATAGCATTTGATATTCTATCCGTCCATTTAAATCTTAGGATTTTTTTTTTTTTTTTTTTCTTTTGAAGTTTGACATTTTAACTAGCAATTAAAAAAAAAAAAAAAATAAGGGGATAAAGTAGTTGGTTATCTGTTTGTGGTTCCTAGTTGACACTTCATTGCTATTGTAAACATTGGCTTGTTTATTTATGGTTGGCTAACAATAAATTGTTACTCATTCCTATTAAGCCCTTTCTTTTTTAATTGTTTATCTTTAAAAAAAAAAAAAAAAAAAAGGGATAAGTAGTTGGTTATTGTTTGTGGTTCCTAGTTGGACACTTCATTGCTATTGAAACATGGCTTGTTTATTTATGGTTGGCTAACAATAAATGTTACCTCATTCCTATTAAGCCCTCTTTTTAATTTTTATCTTTTTCTTTTAAGGTAGGATGTGCTCTCAGTGTCCAAAAATATAAATTATGTAAAGTTGTTGCATGCTAATTAAATTATGTAAAGTTATTGCATGCTAATTAAGGAAATAATTAAGGAAACTTATAAAAAAATATTTAATTAGATTAATTTATCTTTTAGAAATTATAAAATTAATTATTGTATTTAATATAAATAATGGATAAATTAAAAAAAAAAACATCATTAGTTACTTTTTGATGTTCTCAAAACAGTTTACCTTTACATATAAAAAAATTATTCTAAAACGATGTATATCTGTGACCAGGCCAAGTAAAAATTGAAAAATTAGAATTTGAAAATTACACTGACGAAAGTAATACAATACGGGCAAAATGGATGGAAATGTAAAACTATAATAAATTAACTAAATTAATTGAATTAACTGAATTAACTAAAGGAGTCTATTCATAATTAATTTGATTGATAACTCCAAGTGTCGATTATATATCCATGTCACTGAAATTGACTTGCCCAACAGAAACGGTCATCGTTTAACTATACTACACATAGCATGACTTTTGGTAGCTTTAAGTTTAGTCAGTCACGTGATCTGATAGTGTTTATACTGAAAATCCAAACTGTCCACATAAAATTTATGTTTTATTCTCACCGTCCACAATTATTTGGTTCAAGATATTTGTACCATAATTTTAAAAATTATCAATTTTGGCCCCTTAATTTTAAAAATTTTCTGTTGGCCCCCTCTAATTTTGGAGTCTAGATTAGCATGAAACCGATAATTTTATATTATCTAAAACTCTAAAATTAATTGAAATATTTTAATGGTAGTAATTGTCTGTCAATTCATCTAAAACTATAATATAAGTACGTACACGTGGACAAATAAATTGAAAGAATTTCTAGTTTTATGTCACTTGGTAATAAGACACTTTGCAAATGATGATTTGGTAAAACATATGTGGTGGGATGAGATCACTCCATTTTTTAAAGGGAAATGAGATCATTCTATTTTAAGAAAATGATAAACCAAGTAGAAAACTACCGAGTCAATTCAATTGCAATTCAAAGACATGTAATGTTTGAGGGAAAAAATATTATCAATTGGGTTGGCTTAGTTGAAAATTATAAATTCTATAATTAAAATATTATAGATAAATAGAGATTTAAGCAATGTTAGGAATTGGTCCATAGTCAAAATAAACCAAACTTCTCAGAAATTTTATATAATAAAATCATATCAAATCATTTATTTCTTCTCTCGTGCTTGGTCCCCCTTTAGTCTATTTTTCATCATGAGACTTGTTTGGCTGCCATTCATTTAATTGAAGCACGGAAGGAAAATTGGTTTTTGCCATTATATATTTTCCTAGCACATAGAAAAGGAGAGTTGTTTACAAAAATTTTGACACTTCGATACATAATTATCATGATTTTATATGATATTTACTCTTTTTTTTTTAAAACCAAGTTGTTATAAGTTATAAGATTATCAATAAGAGCCCATTAATAAAAAAAAAAAAAATAATTGTCACGTATTTTAATTTTTAAACACAATCTCATATAATGGGCCAAGCCCATTATAGTTATCTAAATTTGCAATTCTGTAGCCGTTTCAGGTTAAATGGGCCAATGCCCATCCTCTGTTGGGCTGTAACGAGTAACAACTAATAATTCCCAAGGCCATACGAATATTTCTTTCGTCGCAGAAGGAGATTCGATTGGATTCGATTCGCTATGATCTGTTATGCACATTCCGGAGTAATATGCTGTCGTTCGACCACAGAACATTGAAGTTGTCGTTTAGCATTAAAAAATCGTTGTTAAACAAACGGCACGAATTAACAGCAAACTAAAGAATTTTTTAAAAAAGCAACTTTGGATTTCTATTACCTATACCGGAACAACATGTACAACAATTGTGATGATTATGATAAATTTAGCAATTGAAATTGAAAATTGATTAACAGAATGATTAAAAATATATAATCAATGAGTCAGAATTGAATTTCACAAACAAGTACATCAAATATTTTCCAGTTTTTATATAAAATTAAAGGTGATTTAATTTGCATAATCACCACAAATCAACATGAATTCTTAATTTTTCATAAAAAAAAAGAAAAAAAAAATTACAAAATGGCATTATATATATATATATATAAAATAATAATTATTTTCCATAGCCCCAAAAGTCCATTTCTCCACGCAATGAAAGCTGATTAATTGTATGAACTGAAGATCCATTTCCATCTTCAAACCTAACAGCACCTCCTGCTTTAGAAGAATCATCATTTCCAAGATCATGGGAAGTAACAATCCGATCAAGCATTGCCCAATGGTCATGATTCATCTGCTGTTGTTGATGATGATGATGATGATTCGGCTCGCAAGTACCCACCTCTAGCCCCGCCTCAGGGTACCTAAGACTTTCACTGCCTGCACTTTCACAGTCTCTACCATTCGACATCAATTGCTTTGCCGCCATAACCGGAGAGCTTGAAGCAAGAGCCGGTGAGTAATCATAGCCTATAGGCTTTGGCAATAAGTTTTGGGATTGGAAAAGAGAATACTGAGTAGGAGGCATGTGAGTGTAGTGAAGAGAAAGTTCAGGATGATGATGTGTAGTTGTTAGGGTTTGGTTTTGACGTAGTAAATTGAATTGGTTGTCTCTGTGCATGAAATTATTATTATTGTTGCGAAAAGAGTTTATGTTGTTTGAGGTGTTGAGTTGTTGATCAGAAGAATTGATGCTCGTTTCTGCTCCTTCATTGTTATTACTGTTAATCTTGAACAGGTTCTTCTTCTTGAAGACTCTACATACCACCCAACCATCCTCCTATATACAGTGAAATATCATCAGCAACCTTCATCATCATTTCTTCATATATATATCAAAAGTTCTTGAATATGATTTTGTTGAAGAGAAGAGAAATTAAGGAAAATTGACTTACAGGAGAGTTTGATTGAAGATCATCAGCATCTTCGAGGCGATACTCATGCATGATCCAGTCAGTCTTTTGGCCATGGGGGGCTCTTCCTCTATAGAAAACAAGAGTTTTTCTCATACCAATCTTCTTGTAGCTGTTTCTAATGCACTTGTCCCTTCCTGTTGCTTTCCAGAATCCTGCATTTGTAGCCCTATTTGTTCTTGATCCTGTTGGGTACTTTCTGTCTTTGTGACTGAAAAAGTACCACTCATTTTGAGGAGTTGATCCAATTCTACACCTCTCTATTTGTATTTACATACATGCACATGCACAACCACCACATTAATTCATATATTATATTTTATATATCAAACCAAAATTAACTATCATCGAAAGAATCAAAGGTAAATCTCAATTGAAGGAAAATAATATAAAATATTTTCATCATAGGGCATTTCAATCTTTTCAATTTTTCCACAATTAATAATTTATGTTTTAATTATAGATAATTGAGAATAAGAGACACCAAGAGTTTAAATTGAAGAAGCAAATGGTTAAAGACTCGAAGAAAATAAGTGCAAGCAATTGCAATTAATAATTTCTTTTTCTTTTTCTTTTTTTTTTAATTTTTTTTTTTTTTAAGGAGAGAGAGCAATTCCTTCAGTATAACATGGCTAGAGTATTATTTCCTTAATATATGAGATTAATTTTCATATAATTGCATGAATCAATTCCAAAAATTGTTTAATTCAGAAAGATGATATGTTATGAAAAGAAATAACTACTAAATATTTATAGAAATCACATGCAAATACCATAAATATATACATAAATATGAAAGTAGAGTATACCTTGTAATTCCCAAGGCTCCATCTTATTCAAATCCACCTCCCTGATAACCTCCATGTCAAACTTCTGAAATGAAACCTTCTTCTTCAAGTAGTAATGAAGCAGCTCTTCATCGGTCGGGTGGAACCGGAATCCAGGAGGCACACCACCACTAGATGAAGCCATTACCATCTAATCAACTAGTACTAATAATATATCTAAGTTTTGAAAGAATATATATATGTGTGAAGATAGAGATTCACAGCGTGCGATCAGTTTACAAAAATGGTGTAGCAAATTCGAAGACCTTACATATATATATCCTTTCTTCTATAAGTTATAGTTACAGCCTAGTCTAGTTATAATTAACTAAATTATTGAAAGTCAATTAATCAATAAACGATCCCGAGAAAGTAATAAAAACCATATGTTGATTGCTTAGAGAACAATTAATCAAATGGGTTTCTTCAAGAAAGTGATATATCCTGGTTTATTTGTATATTATATATATATAATTTGATTGTTTCGAAAGCAAGAATTGGAAAAACAGCTACTAAGGCTTCTTGGGATTTTCGCGCCTGATTGGCATTTCATATTTTATGTAACAACAGTAGGAGACGCAGTCGCCATAGCTTGAGCACTTGCACATGTGGGTATGACCTTGAGAGGTTTCAGATTAATTTGCTTGATTCAATTTTACGCATTCTTTCTGTTTTTTTGAGTGATTTATTATCCTAAATAATCAACTTGTAATGACTAAGACTAATAATTCATTTTTCAAACTTTGATTTTTCTTCTCTTTCCGAAACTTCGGAATTCTTTAAAAGAAATGAGTTATTAAAGTTTAGATTCTTGATGACGTCTATTATGAGGTAGACATTCGATTATTAAGTTAGGTGTACATTCAAATTTCCAGAACTTGCAAGTTCATTCTTTTAAACAACTTCAAAACACTGTACTTGGGCAGGATCATCTCGTGTTGTTTTTCTTTTCTTGGAACGCTGATTGGAAAACCTATCATCAGTGTGGTTCTCAGATCACTAAACTGATATAATTACAATGTCAAAACGTACAAATTAGAGAATATATATATATATATATAGAGAGAGAGAGAGAGAGAGAGCAATTCTAACGGTTTGTTGAATCTCCATCACCTATAAAAGAGAACTAAAGAAGTTTGCTTTGCCATATCAAGAAAATTCCCAGATTTTATATATTCTGTAATGGCACGCAAAACAGAACCATCCCTGTCCAATAAGTTATAGAAAGATAATGTAAAAACACAGCGAAAAATGAAAATAGAATATTGAGTTATAACACATTCAGATTTGGACAAATTCACTTTTCATTTGATAAATACAAATCGAACAAGATAGTCAAGTCGGTTCACACTTGTGTACTTCACATATACAATACAAGTAACCATTAACTTGAGGCAGTGGTAAAATACAAAACAGGAAGCCAGAGCAGTTGAAGTAGAGTAGGTCACAATTAACATCAGGGAAGACACACATGCTTTTAGCATCATCAAAGATTCAAAAGTAAGAGGATCTCAGCTCAACTGTTGAATCAAAGATTAATATCCTCAAGGAAGATGAATGAGATATTAACACCTTGCTCTTTGCTCACTCTAGCATTATGTTGTTGAGAAAAGGAATGTCAAACCCTGATCCAAAACAATTTTTTTTTTTTTTTTTTTTTAAATATCCGATTGAACAACAACTTCACAGTTCCAAACTTGAACTAGCTGCCGAAGCCTGTTTGCCTCTCCCACCTAAGGTCTGCAGAAAACTCCGTGAGAGCAGCGCGAGGGTCACCATTTGAAATAGACAAGTAGTATTGGGCAGTCCCATCATCAACTTGCATGCTTCTCTTTAAAGAGTCAAGAACCCTTCTCTTGCCTTGGTTGGAGGTTGCCCTGTTTGACAAATAGCTGAACCTCTTGTCAGGCTCACCCTCCAGATACAGCACTGCCACTTCCCGTTTTGCGCAGGTATCAAGCTCAATGTAGCATGTACCATTCATGAGAATATCTGGATTGCTTATAGGGATCAATAGCCTCTCCCTTGAATATATGCCATGGTCACTCATCATGTTATTTAATCTTTTTATGTCCATAACCTGTATACAGAAGAAAATATATTGAAACTCAAAGCAAAAATCTTTAAATTGTCTTAAAAGAAATAAAATAAATAGTTCAAGAAAGTAAGGTTTTAGTTGACAAAAAGGTTGTGAGCGTGTAGAAGAGAACTTCAATATCTAAGATTCACTTTCATCCCCATCCAACTGACCCTCCTTAGACTACCATTTTTCCTTTCCAAACCCTTGATGATACATGTTGGATTTGATTTAAGTCAATCTTGAATATTTTCCCATTTTTTTTCATCCCTATAAAAGGAATGGAGGAAAAACCAGAAAATTATAATTTATGTTTCAGCTGATCAAATTGTCTCCAATGTCACCATAATCAGAGGCAGGGCTATACCTTTTCCTCAAGACATTAATTCAGAATGCAAACCTAAGCAACTATGAAGCCTGATACTTCCTGCCCCAAGTTACTAGCTCGTGCTAGCCATGTGACCATTGAATTAGGGAAGCACCTTTTACCAACAATCTACAAGGTTCACTAGATCCATCCACCAACTAAATGTGTCTCACCCTTGTCACCTGGTCCATAACATCATGCAACTTAGGTTCTCATTTACTACTTGAAATTTAGATTCTAGGACCACCCCAATGGACATCGTTTTACTTGAACAGCCTCAACTCTGTAGAATAGAATGATTCCAAATCATTACATGCAATCAATGAGCTCTAATATACCTTTTGATGAAGAACTCGTAAATTTTCAATAGCAAATCTCATTCCATTCTTTGTTTTGTCTACCAAGCACAACGATCGACACATTTGTTGAATTCCAGAAACTCTTTAACAATCATCAAAGATTGGAAAAGGAAAAACATGTCATGATATCAACAGTGAATAAGCTCTATGAAGCATTTACAAGCCAAATAAGGTCATCAATCACTTCTCATGCACCAAAAGTAACCAAATTGCATTTTATTGCTTTATTGGTTTTTCATATTCCACCCACTTTCACACCCTTCAACACACCATTTCTCCTAATATATCAGCAAAGATGAACAAGACCTTCTTTTTCCTAAATATTGTGAGTTATACCAACAAAAAAAACTCCATGGAGTTAGCTTATCTTTTTTTCTTGCCCGTTGCTATTAACTCAAAAATACTTAAAGAACTCAACTTGAGCAATCGAACCAAAACGAAGCATAAGTTACAATACATACTTTCATACTGAGAAAATCACAAAAATAAATTGAATCCTAAGGCTGTTCTAGCCACTAAAATGCCCTTAATAAGCCAAATGAAAGTACTTGAAAACCATAAAGAATTTCAAAATTGTACAATACCTGAACCGAATACTTGACAGCAAGACTAGCAACTGTATCCCCTCTCACAATCTTATGCGAAATAGCGAACTTCCAGATGTCATTATCTCTCCAGAAACAGCTTGACACGGGCTTCCCCACCACCTCCTTCAATTTCCACGGTTCCATAAACGCGCTACGCACAATCTCACCATCCGAAGCTACCGAGTTCCAGACCCTGCAAACGCAGCTCGCTCGCGCCAAGTCCGCCACCGGAAGCTTCTCGAATATCAGCCGTAGTGTGTCCCGGCACGTGAGCGCAGAGAAGTGAGAGTTCATTGGAGAGATAGTAATCGTTGTCTCCGCCGAGATTTGGTTTGAAAAATCCGCCGGGTTTAGATGCTGTGTTAGAATCGGAATTGGATCATCTTCGTCTTTGTCGCCACAACAGCCCATTTGTTTTTGAGAGAGAAAAAAAGAGACGGAGGATAGATTGCACATTAAAAGTAACAGCAGCATGAATGGTAGGCGAGTCACCACGCCATACGTAAGCATTGACGTCAGAGTGTCGTACCGACAGAAGTAACTGTTGTTGTCGTTGCTTGTGTTTTTGCCTTGAATTCGAACGACAGGTTTTTTGCCTGTCGTATGCCTGTAAAGGGAAAGTTTTCCTTTTGGTGTCTGAAATTTCCTTCATCTAGCAAATAAAATCCAAATGAAAGGCAAAATTTTGGAGAACAAAAAAATCCTAGTAATGCGTCAATTGAAAATGTTTACGTTACATACAATTACAGAATAAAGCTCCATTTGTTTCTAAAAACTAATTTGTCTAGAAAATATATTTTCATATTTTCCGATATTTGAAGTGTAAAAAAAATCACTCTAACAAAATATATTTTTCTGGTAAAATAAAAAACTAATCTCTCTCAGAAAATAGAAAAAAAAAAAAAAATCTTGCTTCCATTGCTGTAATCCATGTGCGACAGAAAGAATATAATTCATTTGAAGAAAACTGGAGCGGTCAAAGTATTTTATTGCAAAAATAAGCTGGCCATTACAAAAAGAAATTGCATATATAGGCCCCAAATTAACTATCAATGGTATCGCAAAATCTGGTCATAGCAGAAGTATTTGGTACAACAATATACTATATCACACAAAGGATAATGCCATTCCAGTTCAACTTCTAATGGATGACCATTATACACCATCTGAAACAAGAGAATAAAAATAGATCAAGTCCCCCATCCATGGCTGTGTCCATAACCATCCATGTAGCCAGCTGCGTGCATATGGGCATGACCATGATGGTGATCGTGATGATTGCCCTCTTTTGCTTCGTCAAGAATTTTCTGGATATGGTCCGGAATAGGTTCCTCTTCAACTTTCCTAATAGATTTTGGTAAAGAGGATACAAACTTAACAATGTTATCGGCTAGCTCATCTGCAGTGTTTTCCTGAAATCACCAAGACAAGGAACAAAAATGATTTTCAATTCAAATGCAGGGACTGTGCTACATCATCCAAATGATAATAAAAAGAAACACAGACGTTTTTTGAATAATTTAATAATTTAATGTAATATGCATATATAAAATGAATGTAGGGAGAATTATGGGAATTATACCCTCTAAAACACCCAATGAGAGGAAACAAATTAATCAATTACCGGCTGAAAGAAAAAAAAAAAATCTTGCACCAAAAGAAGAAGGAAAAAGGAATTGTATAGAGTCTATCTTGATCCTAAGAAGAGGGGGATGTGCAGTTGGACAAATCTCAAGCAATTGGGGACAACTTTGAGCCTTAGGAGAATATGATATGACAACAATCAAAAACTCGTGAAAAAAGCAACCTTCTAATGCATATTCTTCTCTTCATGCTTGCTCTGGTTCAACCAAGGAAGCTATTCAACATATGTGGTCGAGTGATTAGCGCATTAGTGGCCCTATTCAACCATTCTCTTCAAGCAAGCAAGCACAGGGGGAAAGGTAATGGAAAAAATAGCCACATTGTAAGTTTAGAACAGGAGGACTTGAACTGGTGAAGGTGAACTCCAAGGGGATGAAGAATACGTTTCAAGGTTAGACTAGCATTTCTCTGCCACCAGTCAAAATCAAAACACCACAAACCCCATGCATAAATACATATATGGTCAGCCTCCAACACTCTCATCCAACGACAATCTGTGACAAACAAAGTTCAATTCTCTGCTTGCTTCTACCAACAAATTCATTCCTTGAAGTTCTTTTTCAGTTGATCAAATCATTATGTACGGCAATTTTAAGCCCATTCTTTTCATGATAACATTGGATAGAGACAGAAAAGGCACACGATTAGGAGGATTAAAATTTATGGAGGAGATTATTCAAGTCAATAATAAATAATAACATCTAGAACATTGAATCCTCAATCATTCACATACATTTTTAACTCTTTCTCTAGCAATGGATTTAGTTCATGAGACGACAGCATCCACTTTGTCATTGAAGTCGCTTCCAGTCTCCAAATGCATTGCACGAGTTATTTAACTTCCATTTAACTTGGAACTAAAGATAGAGCTACAACAAGCCAAATTATATATATGCATCGATCAAAAACTTAAATGTTAAACCATTTCCAGAATCAAAATTTCTAAGCATTTCAAGAGAGCGCCACATAAAACAAATCAAAATGCAGATCAAATTTTGCAAATTGTGCCAAAGTACACATTTTTAAAAGAAAGTAAGTATATTAGACGATAACAAATTCTCACCTGAGGCCACCGTCCACCAGAGTGAAAAACAAATTTTGCTTGAGATAGAGCCTCAGCTACCCTGCGTCCCTCCTCGCTCCACTCCTTAGACCAACTATTAGACCAAATCACCTGAATTGGAATTCCCTTTATTCCATCCGAATTACCCCATTCTGCCACATTAAAGCTAGAATTCAACTTGCTTTCCAAACCCACAACCGCTCTCCTCCCATCCCTTCCTTTCAAAATCACTCTATGTGCCTCCAAATCCAAACCAGCAATCCCCTTTGAACAACACAAGTGAACCAATCTCTCGTATGCAAAATTTGACCCCAGAACAACCTCTCTGACTACTGGTATCTTCAAAACCCACAGAGGCAAGGCTGGTCTTGACCCAGTATCTATAAGGGTCACACTTCTAACCAACTTTGAATTCTCCATGATCCAATTTGCCACCATTCCTAAACTTGAATCATGCAAAACCAAATGCACAGGGGCTAATCCCATTGTTTCAATTAATTGCTCCAAAATTCTGCCCATCTCTTCACTACCCAATGCAATAGGCTTAACGACACTCCTCAAGTTATTATAATGGGACACAATTTCTTGATAAGGAACCTCACCTGTTTCAACCATGTTATCAAAAGCCCAAAACAGACCCTTCTCTTTAATCAAACTATAGGCATCCCATAACCTCTCAAAAATCCCGTTTCCTCTCTCCTCAAACACCTCCATTGATTTATCAGAGAATCCATTTCCGGGCAAATCAAAAACGACCCCATGAATACCTTTGAAGCCCAAAAAGTCAATCACTTTTCTAAAAGAAAAGGAACTGAGACCCAACCCATGAAGAATCAGTACCTTCTCGGTAGCATAACCTTTGCTCGCACTTTCCAAAGCGAAAATCTCGGTAAGTGGTAGGTTTTGGCCGAGCTGAACTTTAATGATACGGCCTTTAGAGTAATGGTGGCGCAGAGGAGTTGAAAGGGAGAGGAAAAACGATCTGGGATCTGACGAGGAAGAGAAAGAGGACAAAATGATAACTGAGAGAGTGATCAGAGACACGGAAAGAGCGAAGTAGAACCAGAAAATAAACGGGTTGTTTCGTGTCTGCGTTTGAGACTCTGCTTTGGGATTTGGGGTTTCAGGTGGTAAAGTTTGTTCATTTCTTCCTTTTCGTTTTTTAAGCTGTGGGGCTGGTGCTGGTTCTGGTTCTTCTGTGATTATCGCCATTAAGGGAGCTGCGAGTGATGGAAAGATCGCAGACAGTATTTAAAAGAGTGAACTTTACAAGAATCAAGGATCAAGATTCGCGTAAACGACATCGTACTTAATAGCTAGAAGTTAAAAATACGTCCTTTTCCTCGAAACGTCGGCGTTTAGAAGTTCAAATAAGCTTGATCGTCATCATAATCACATTCGTTGCTGTTTAATCCATTTTCTGGCGCTGCGAAGCAGGGAACTTTACTCCTCTCAAACAGACCTTATCCTCTGTCTCTTATTTCTCTGTGCATTTTGCTATTATGCACTCGCTTGCATCGCCTGTTATGCAGCCTCTCGCCTTTTCCGCGTCTCTTACTCAATCTTCTCGCTCTTTCTACTCTCGTTTTTTCTGTAGCTCGCTTTCGAGGTCAATTTTCCCGAAGATCGATACACGTCCTAAATACTATACTAATTTCACCAAATTCCCTCTTTTAATAAAAAATTGCAGTCCTATAACCGCGAAACCTTCTTCTCAGATTCGCAGGAGTCGCACCAATAAATCCGAGCCGGACGAGAAGCTCCTTGCTCTCCGCGAGCTGTTCTCCAAGCCTGGAATTGGCATCGACGCTTATATTATACCTTCTCAGGATGCTCACCAGGTTCATTTCTCATGTAGCGTTTGTTATGAGAAATATGATCCTTTTATGGATTCCAATCTTTGAAATTTAGTTTGTTAGATCTAATATTTGTTTGAATTGTATCTTTATTTAAGATTTTTTTTTTTTTTTGAAAGAGCGTGTTTTGACATTCTTACTTGTAAAAATTGAGAGGGTTCTGAGTATCATTAATCCTTGGATTATATTAAATTTGGTGATTTTTGCGAATGAGTTTTGGTATTTAGGATTGTTGACTCTGCTTATAGAGTTGTCAGATATTTTTATAATCATTCTAATTAGCCTTTTCATTGTGGTTGCTAGAGTGAATTCATTGCTGAATGTTATATGCGGAGGGCTTATATATCAGGGTTTACTGGTAGCGCTGGCACTGCTGTTGTCACAAAGGAAAATGCAGTTCTTTGGACAGATGGTCGTTATTTTCTTCAGGTTTGTGAAAAATATGCATTAATTTACCCTTATGCCCGTTTTATTTTGCCACATTCTGGGGCATTGGTTATATCCTACTTGTATAATCAAACTCTGTTGTGGGCCAAGTTTCTGTGACTTTGGTGCTTATTGAAAGTGGGGATTGAATTCTACTAATAGCTACAAATAAAAAGGGCAGTTGATATTTATTTTCTCTTATGCTTAGGCTGAGAAGCAGCTGAACTCTAACTGGACCCTCATGCGGGCTGGTAATCTTGGAGTCCCAACTACAATTGAATGGCTTAATGATGTTTTGTCTCCTGGGGCAAAAGTTGGCATTGATCCCGTGAGCAATTTCTCAACTCTGAATTCTTCCTAAGACTCATTTAAGCCTTGAGGAGATTTATGTTACATTTAAATATAATTTTCACCATCTGCAATTATTCCTTTTTTTTTTTTTTTTTTTTTATGGCTTTAAATGAATGTTTTGTCCCTCCTGGGGCAAAAAGTTGCAATTGATCCCGTGAGCAATTTTTCCCTCAACTCTGAATTCTTTCCTAAGAAGCTCATTTAAGCCCTTGAGGAGATTATCGTACATTTAAATATAAATTTTCCAACCATCTGCAATTAATTCCTTTTTTTTTTTTTTTTTTTTTTTTTTTTGTATGTTGTATTTTATCACTTGTTAATCATATATTGAATGTTTAATTCGCAGTATCTGTTTTACAAGTTATAATTGATTAAACAAATTTTTTTCTTTAGTTTCTCTGTGCCTTTTTTTTTTATCTCAATTTAATAATACTTCTGTGTACTTTTTTTTCTCCATCCTTCCAAATGTGTGATGCCATCTTGTCTGACTTCCTGAAGGGAGCAGTTTCTTTTTTCTTTTGATGCTGCTGAGGAGTTGAAGGAGGCCATTGCTAGGAAGAATCACAAGTTGGTCTACCTTTATGATCTGAATCTTGTGGATGAAATATGGAAGGAATCAAGGCCAAATCCTCCAAACAAACCAATTAGAGTACATCACCTAAAATATGCTGGTGTGGATGTAGTATCAAAGTTGTCTTTCTTAAGATCTGAGCTTCTTGATGCCGGTTCATCTGCGATTGTTATTTCCATGCTTGATGAAATTGCCTGGCTGCTGAACTTGGTAATATTTTCAAACCGATGTTTTGGAACAATATCAGTTATCTTAAATAAAAATGGGGAGGGAACACTGTTTAGGGATCTTACGTGCCATTTATCTATAATTTTTGGAATTTATGCTATGATAAAAGTAATCTAGAAAATGGAAGTGTTATTTTACTGTAAAATTTAGAACAGTTTAGCCATCGTATGCAAATCGAGAATATATTTTATGATTCTTGCAGAGAGGAGGTGATGTACCCCATTCACCCGTTATGTACGCGTACTTAATAGTGGAGATTGATGGAGCCAAATTATTTGTGGACAATTCTAAAGTCACACCTGAGGTATTGGATCATTTGAAGAGTGCAGGAGTCGAATTGAGGCCTTATGATGCTATCCTTTCTGAGATAGAAAGGTAAGTTTCATAGCTCCTGTGCTTTAGCTGTGGCAATTGAAAAATACTTCTGCATATTTTTAGGAAGAGCTTACAGTTTCCACTTTTGTAATCATGAGAGACAAGATTTCCTTCTGTTGCATCGTCTAATTTATGCACATAAGCATGGAACTTTGCAACAGGGAAGTGGCCTTGGAGTCAATTATTACAAGGATAAGATATGTGAAACTGGTGTCTATGAGAAGTATGAACCATGCCATATTTCACAACATGGGAATTGGTGCCCATTTAAATGCTTGCTTTAACACCTCCTCTCATTTCAATTTGCAAACATATTTTTGAATCACCTGTATTCTAAAATATGCTTTCCTCTCAGTTTGGCTGCACGGGGGGCTGAACTTTGGTTGGATACATCATCTGTTAATGCTGCTATAGTCAACATCTACAAGTCTGCCTCTGATAGACATCTCGAGAACCTTGGAAGTAAAAATAATGGTAAAACTAAGATATATAACAGCTCCAATGGTCAATCATTAGGACCATCTGGAGTTTATAAGGCATCACCTATCTCATTAGCAAAAGCATTGAAAAATCCAGCTGAATTAGAAGGCATGCGGAATTCCCACTTAAGGTAGCTACTTCCTTTCTTGGGACATGATTTTATGAGAATAATTGAGTTGCAATTGCATGCAGGTTCCAGATGTATTGTCAGTCATGAAACAAATATGACTAGAGAACTTTATAATATGTATTCTTATTAATATATTTAATATGCAGGGATGCAGCTGCTCTAGCACAGTTTTGGACCTGGCTGGAAGAGGAAATTCACAAGGATGTTAAACTGACAGAGGTAGATGTTGCAGATAAACTACTTGAATTTCGCTCAAATCAGGCTGGTTTCATTGATACTAGCTTTGATACAATAAGTGGTACATCTCACTTCAGTATTCTCTCGAATATGGCTACCCATTCAAAATAATTGCTTTTAGTAGCTTTTCTCCCACTTGAGTGTTCACTGTTAGGATGATCTTTACAGGTTCTGGTGCAAATGGTGCTATCATACACTACAAACCTGAACCGGAGACTTGTAGCATTGTGGATTCAAAAAAGCTCTTTCTATTAGACAGTGGAGCTCAGTATATTGATGGAACAACTGACATAACCAGGACAGTGCACTTTGGTGAACCTAGTGCATATGAGAAAGAGTGCTTCACCAGAGTTCTGCAGGTGCTGAACCTTTTTGGATCTGTCTTATATATAATAGATGTTCAATAGTCAAAATATAGGAAGGGTAGTTGTGGAGAAAATCTTATTGTAGGTCACAGAATTACTTGCTAGAGATGTTTAGGAATATATATTGACCATAATTTCAATGTTCTACTTTCTTCATGTCCAATTTTGGCATTTAAGTACAAGATAATATTGTCCTAATTGAGTTGCAAATGCAGGGTCATATTGCTCTTGATCAGGCAGTATTCCCAGAAAATACACCTGGTTTTGTGCTGGATTCTTTTGCTCGTTCTTCGCTGTGGAAGATAGGGCTTGACTACCGCCATGGTACTTGTCCTGCAGCTCCTGCCTTTCTGTTGGCTATTATTATCTGATTCAAAATTTTTTGCATGTCACAAAATGTAGTCAAAGGGAAAACAGAATTTCTGACTTGTATTTTTCTTTCTCTTTCAATCTTTTAGGGACTGGACATGGTGTAGGAGCTGCATTAAACGTTCATGAAGGCCCTCAAAGTATTAGCTTTCGTTATGGAAATATGACTCCGTTGCAAAAAGGCATGATCGTAAGCAATGAACCAGGGTATTATGAAGACCATGCTTTTGGTATTCGGATTGAGGTACTACTTTCACTGATGCACTAAAAAAATTTCGACTTAGATGAAACATTGCTGGATGCTTAATTCGAAAGATGACAGATTGAGTTTATTTAATTGATATTAATTTGTTTCTCTGGCTTTCTTCGCCCGGTCCTTGATGTAATTTTTCTGAAGGGCCTGGCGATATACAAACATTGAAGTGATGATAAAAAAGAAAAGATTTGTTAGTGATGGTTGATGCATGACTGTACCTATTGCATATAATTTGGATTATATTGATGACTGTTATTTGTGCTTACCATTCTGGTAGTAGGTGGAAATATGTTCATTTTCCTTTATTGTGCATTTTCTTGCTTTCAGTTTTCTTTTAGCTAATATACTCTCTTTAATTTTTTTTTTTTTTTTTTTTTTTTTTTTTTTTTTTTTTTTTTTTTTTTTTTTTTGGCAAGGCAGTTGAGGATAATATGAGTACTCTTTTTGCAGAATTTACTTCATGTGAAAAGTATTGACACTCCAAATCGTTTTGGAGGGACAGAATATCTGGGATTTGAAAAACTCACGTTTTTCCCCATTCAGGTATGCTGATGGTTGCAACCTTGTTGCAAATTTTGATGCAAAATACTGGTTCATGTATTCTCTTGTTCATTGACCAGCAACAAAGATAAATTAAACTTGCGCTAGGAAAATAGCTAAGAAAAACACTATTTCTTATTATATTTTGTCTGGGAGGTACCAAATTATTCAACCTTTTGTCAAAATGCTTAAAAATTAATTTTTAATGGCTATACAAGACTTTTATGTGAAAGGAAAAAAGTGGTTGTAGTTGAGTGTTTTTGCAAAGAATTTTATTTTTCTTATTGCTAATATGACTTGGTTTGTTGCTTTTACAGGCTAAACTGGTAGATTTATCATTGCTCTCAGCTAGCGAAATTGATTGGCTTAATGATTACCATTCACAGGTTTGGGAAAAGGTAAGCACAGAAAAAGAAACGTCTGCGGTTCGATTCTTAGATCACAAGCAGCAAAGAATATAAAAAAAATTCTGCAAAAAATATTCGGATGCTGTTTAAATTTTAAATTTCGGTCTTCTCTTATAGAGAACTTTAAAGAGGAGAGGGAATTTTTTATTAGCTCTGATATATAAGCTTTCTTGTCCTCACGTTTTGCGTATATTGGTTTGGGTTTATCTGGTGCATTTGCAATTTATACAAATTAACACAAGTTCTCACAGGTTTCGCCGTTGCTGGATGGTCCCGCTCGTCAGTGGCTCTGGAACAACACACGACCACTTATAGAACAGTGAATCCCATCTAGTTTCAATATTGTTGTTGCATGTCCCAAACTTCTGAATGGCAAAAATATATAGGAGGGATATTTTTTCTGACGGACATTTGTACGTGTAAAATAGATATTTTACTAAATAAAATATTTTATTTGTATAGATATATTGATCTGCCTAATGTTATTGGATTGGCAAGTCTATAAAACATAAGTTTAGCAACAACAGGTATACTCCTTGTGCATTTCCAGGACCCAAGAGTCTGTGGTCAACAATGAAGTCAAAATGTATGTAAAATTTAAATGGTATTATTCTGTATTCTGTATTCATCAATGATTATTCTACAAGGAAAACTTCCACAATAAAAAAATGAGATGCAAAATGCTCTGGATGATGCAAATGTAGCTGCAACTCATCACAGTTTCTGTGGTATTGGATCTGAAGTAGGAAGCTGAGCATACATATTTGATATGGCTTTGGCAAAGTATTCCTTTGCTTGAGGCCTCTTGATCTGCAAGACATGCGAATCAGCACAGGCACAAAAAAAAAAAAAAAAAAAGCTTGAGGCCTTTGATCTGCAAGACATGCGAATACAGCACAGGCACAAAAAAAAAAAAAAAAAAAAAGCGTTCAACTAGACAAATATAAAATAATCGTCAGCAATGGTTTTAAGAACCAGGGTTTTAGAAATGGAACAACCCCTTTAGCAAAAAAAAAAAAAAAAAAAAAGCGTCAACTAGACAAATATAAAAATAATCGTCAGCAATGTTTTAAGAACCAGGGTTTAGAAATGGAACAACTAGCCAACTAGGGACCATTCCATGAGCCAGTTCAATTTACTAGATATCTGTTACGTTCTGAAAACCCATCAAGGACCAGTCAAATTGACCAGCTAATTGCTAATGCAATTTAGCTGGTAGTGGGTTCAAGTGGAATTGTACTGAACCAAGGTTGCCATATGGCATATTATTAAAATTCTATCATTTTGTTTGCAGATCAAGGTGGTCAACCACAATAAACAGAGGCTCTTAAAGATTGCCAACCAATGCGCTGAACTAAAATTGATTCCAGTAACATCTCCCACTTATATAGTTCGAGGACCAGGCTGGCTTTGAAAAATATGAACAACAATTTACCTTGAAAGTTGGAGTAAGGAGGCCATTCTCCATAGAAAATGGTTCAAGCACAAGTGTTACAGCTTTTGCAAATTCGAAACCTCTCAACTGCAAAATTGTAAGAGAAGAAAGATAAATTGAAGGTAACAGTACAAGGTGAGGATTGGGGAGCAGAATTTTGAAAAGGTTACCTGGGCTTCCTTTCCAACCTCATCCATCTCAGCAAGCACTGCAGCTCTTGCTCTTGGATCATTGCACAACTGTCCTAAATCATCATACTGTGAAAATGGAATTCAGAAGGAATACAGAACAGTCAAAATCACCATTAAGAAAAGTATCCAGTTATGAAAAATAATTCCAAGGTGAAATCTCCCAAAGTCACATTTGTTGCCTGCTAAAAATAAATAATCCACCTTAATCCCCTCATATGCAGCCCAATCTCTCAACACATCTGGCTCCACAACAACTACAGCTACTAAAAAGGAGTTAAAGCTGTCACCTATAAACAAATTTAGCAGTCAATGAGTAATAAAATCACAGCTAAGAACATTGCTACAGAACACAAACACAACCTTCCTTACCATATACAAAACACTGGGAAACAAATCTGCATTTGGCATATACATTCTCAATCTTTTCTGGTGCTATATACTCGCCTTGGGCCAATTTGAAAATGTTCTTTTTCCTGTCAGAAGTTGGCTATAGAGCGTCAATAAGATTCTAATACTTCTAAACTTGAAAAATGTCCTTAGCTTTGTTGGACATGCCGTCACTTAAAATAGATGTGCAGTTAGTTTGATACGAACTAAAACAATATAATTAACATATATCCAAAATATATGAAGTAAACAGTCTAACCTATCAATAATCTTGAGGCGTCCTCCAGGTAACCACAAGCCAATATCTCCAGTGTGCAACCAACCCTCATCATCTAACACTTCCTTCCTGTCCAATTAAGCAGGCAGTTAAATAACTGGAAACTTAAAGACGTATCTAATAACAAGATCAAACAGGGTATGGAAGTTGAATACGTTTGGGCATCCTCTTTGTAGTAACCTTGGAATATGATGGGACCCCTGACACAGATTTCTCCACGTGGATATGGCTGATCCTCAGATGTGTAGTTCATTTCAGGAACATCCACTAGTTTTATTTCTGAAATGGGAAATCACACACCAAGTTATCAGGAAGGCCTCTTAATAACCAGTATGTTAAAGCAAAATTCTGAAAAAATAACATGCCACGACAATATTTAGTCTAATAAAGCTTCTCAACATCCGCAAGAGAAGCATAAATTGAAATGAAAGGAACAAAGCCTATCATTACTTTTCAAAAGCTTGACAGGGTAATCACCATTTAAATACTTTAACAAGTCCTAAGATTTTTCACTTTGAAGAATGAATAAACAAAGTCTTCAGACTGGCTGCAAGATACCAGTCAGATGCAAAATCCTATTCCCAACCCCAATCAAAATCAAGTGATCCTACTTCTACACCTTCCTTATCATTTTTCCTCTTGTTCAAGGGTTTTAACTCACATAAATCTCCACAACCATATGTTCCCTCTCCTCTCCCTCCCCCTCTCTATCTGCCCACAAACACAGATGACAAAAGAATTAATTATACTGTCTACAAACAGGTAGTAAACAAATAGATTTAATTGATTTCCAAGCAAAAGCCAACCACTGACCACAGGCAGGATTGGGAGATCCAACATGACCAGATAAATTGTCCCCCAGATCCATAGCACTTATTACACAAGAAGTCTCAGTCATTCCATATCCCTCAATTATTTGACAGCCAAAGCACCTGCAATCAAAGAAGCTTATGTCTCACAACTAGCACATGCATGCACATGTACTCAAATACAGTGATGCATTAGGCTAAAGATCTACTTACACCCTTAAAAAGTCCATTATATCGGCTGACAAAGGGGAAGCTCCTGATGCCATAATACGGACACGCCCCCCTAGTTTTTCCTTTATTTTATTAAATACTAGTTTGTCCCACATTGGTGATGGGTTCCGACCTGAAACAGAAATGTTAAACATAAAACCAAAGCACTAGATAGCAACAAGCACACGACATGTCATTCTCCAACTAAGAGAAAAAAGTAAGTTTAAGTACCTACCTACAGAAGTTATAGAATACAGAGATATGAACTCTGCTACTTTGCATGTATAATTATCATATTATCAATTCCGCATAACCGGTAATCTGAAGAGCCAATAAAAAGATTCTTCATGTAAAGCTAGAGTCTAGTAATTCACACATACCACTCATTATAGCTTGCTTCTTCGAGTTGTAGGCAGCTCTAAAGAGCCTCTCCTTTAAAACCCCAGAATTCTTCACAGCATTTGTAATTCTATAATAATTAACTTAATTAAACGGACCTGATAAGAGCATGTTATTTATAGTCAAATAAATTATGCAGCTCTTTATCACAATCTTACCCATCATATATGCGATTATACAACCGTGGAACACTGGAAAATATAGTTGGTCTTAGAGCAGCCAGATCATCCATTAATTTTAGGTTGTCCTGCAACGAACAGATACCAGTCCTGTGCTTAAAAACTCTGCTAACACACTGAATTCCTCCAATGTAATCAAGATATTTAAGGTCTTCACAAATCAACATTAAGCAAAGGTCTCATTAAATTGTGTCACATACCCCCTGATAGAAACCAACAGCAACACCATACTGAATTGCTGCGATTTGGTTGGTTCGTTCATAGATGTGTGCCAAAGGAAGATAGGATATATAACTGTTAAGAAGCAACCATAGTTCCTCAGAAAAAGAACAGACGTTTTGTCTACTTCAATAAGACATTCGCTTTATTTAGATTAAATTATATAGAGAACTTACATATCTGAGGGATTGAATTGAATAGCTAGACTGAAACCAGCGACATTTGCAATCAAGTTTCCATGTGTCAGGACAACTCCCTTTTCAGAAAGAGGCAAATCATTAAGGACATATCGATTTAGCTGCCGGATCCGAAAAGCATACTTCAAAACGATAAGTTCCCTACCTTTGGTGTCCCAGTAGTACCACTGGTGTAACATATTGTTGCAATATCCTCAGGTTTAGGAGGCACAAAAGGCTGCCTGTTCCTGCAGCCCTAAAACAAAACAATTTGTTAAGTGATGACTATCCATAACAACAAGTTTGACCACAGTTCCAATTGATGATTGGCTAGTCAGACGACAACTTTAAACTTATGATAGAGTGCAATCCACAACTTTGATTTTCATACCATGCTAACAATTTGTCTTATTAGAAATCCAAGCAAAAACCATGTATGTGCTACAGATAAGTGCGTATAAAGTTGCATTTATCTCATGCTACACACTTTTAATTCACTCAACATAAAACTTCTCAGTACTGTGCTACAGATAAATATAAAATGAGGTACATTTTAGAAAGGGAAGTTACCTCATCAAACAGTTTTAGATATGATATAAGCTTGACTCCAGATGTTGAAGGTAGAGATGGTAAGTGTTCATCTACACCTCCCACTACCTGTCATGAATAGGATAAAATTTAGAAGGAATTAGGATTAGAAAGTTAGAAACCAACCTAAATTTCTAGTAAATTAAGAACTCTTTGAAGAGATTAAGAAGTACATACCACTATAAGTCGCACAATTGGAATCTCAGATAGAAAGCTCAGCAACTGCAAGTTTTAAATGAGAGTGAACATGAAATGCATCACAAAATTTAAATAAAACTATGACATAAATTGAGCACGGTGCATTTGCCATAGGATTCCAGCTTCAATTAGCAATTAGACAAACAAAAAGTCATATCACAATCACAAGTTACAAGAATATGTATCTTATATAGGCCAATACAAAAGTATTAGAAAAATCTGTGATATATATTAAAAGAAACTCTTTCTATCTGGTATGTCATGTCTGTAGCCCGACCTGGCAAAAGCAACAGCAGACTCATGTTTTCACATAGTATAATCCATGCATCACAGGCATGTTGACATAAAACCATGATTTAAGAATTAAAATATTCATAGCCAATAGTTTCTTCATGTTTTGCTGAGCAATAGTCAAATGAAAATATTCTTACTCAAAACCAGAGTTTTCAGTCGATAGACTAATAGAAATGCAGAACTCCCTGCAAAACATATTATGTGAGCGTAAAGGAAGTATTAAAGAAGCAAAGATAAAACTGACAGTGTTCAAAGTCTCCGGGACACAAAAGATTGCCTGCACATCAGCGTGATTGACAACATACTTAACAGCATCAGGGCCTGTATATGAAATCAATACAGCACATCACGCGAGAGCCATTTTCTTCGGCAAAAATCTATCTATAAAGATGTGTCTCAACAGTCTGATGCATACCAAGAGTGTCGTACAAGGGAACCGATATGAACGAATATGCCGCACAAGCATGATCCACTATCATCCACTCTGGTCTATTTATGAAATAGATTCCAACGCAAGCTCCCTGTTAAAGAAGAAACCAATTGCAATGCCAAGGAAGACATCATGTGGAAGCACAATATTCTATTCATTCAAGCTTGCTTAACTAAAGAGGCTGATAACAGAGAGTAAGAGCTAGTACATCAAAATGGGAAATTATCCATCACCATCACCTGGATGTGTACTCACTTTTTGCATCCCATGATAACAAAGGCCAGAACCTATTGCCTCTCTAGCAGTGCCCGCTTCTCCATATGTCATCCATGTGTACCTTTCATTTGCAAAGAACATGTGATGCAATCTCAATTTAAAATTGTTTATTACATAGAATAAATGAGGCACATCGCTTAATGTAAATATCTCACTCTCCAATTGTTCCGTCCTGCCTAACTCGTGTGCCCAAATACTTGTAATCTTGATAAGTTTCAACAGCATGCCTATATAAATAAGAAACATTCATATACTTCAATTTTCATTTGGTCGTTCATAGACTAAAAATGAGAATATCGTAACAAATAATTTAAGCATAACAGTCAAAAGAGATACTCACGCAAAGTTATCGTGCAATGTCCCTATCTCAGGATGATCAGGGAACCTGCTCACAAGCCTCAAAGGAGACCGCGCAGACCTGCCCATAAGATAAATGATATAACAAAAGCTACTCAATCATACAACCGTAGCTAAAAGTAGGTGAATGAAACAGACGTACCTATAGACATTCCACTTCCCTGTTTGCAACTTCTCAGGTAGAACTACACTGTAGCTTTGATCTGCACATTAATTAAATTTTGCACTTCGATTCACCAAAAGCGTCTAAAGAAATCAACACATAGTACCTTGGAAGTGAATCTAAAACAGACTATCCAATATTATTATTAATTTATCTAGATGTCTTTTTTCAGCTAATTTAATGAACAAACACAGAAACAAATCAATAACTGGTAAACACATCAACTAACGAGAGATTACTTTGAAAGAATTGCGAGGCGGTGAGGTTAGATTGGATAAGTGAGTGATCGTTGATGGTATAAGAGAGAAGATGGCCCTGAATAGTTTGAAGACGACGCCGAGCTGGGGATTCCATAGATATTTTCTCAGGAAAATTTGTCTTAAGAAAATTTTTTCAGAGAAATGAAAGAGAGACAGAATTGTTAGGGTGACAAAAAAAACGAAATAATATAGTATCTTCGTTTGTACTGTAAACAACCAAAGGATGGGATCGGTCGTGTGGGGCTGGGCACAGTTTTCAATTCAATACTCAATCGTGCCAAAGGACCTTTTTTTTTTTTTCTTTTTCTCTCCTCGTTTTAAAATATTTTTCATTACAGATGATGTATCGCGTGTCTTGTGAGGACTGAGGAGGTTATTGACACTAACGTACGCACATTGCAGCGTCTTCGATTTCTTCGAACCAAACAAACGTACTAGCGGCAAAAGAAAGGTCGAATGGCAATAATGGAACAACGTAAATGCCCGAACCAAGAAAAGTGATGATTGTAATATCCTTACCTTTTTTTTTTTGTTTTTTTGAAAATTATACTAGCATCCATTATCTTGTCCAAAAAAAAAAAAAAAAAAAAAAATGATGATTGTAATATCCTTACCTTTTTTTTTTTTTTTGTTCTTTTTGAAAATTAATACTAGCATCCATTTTATCTTGTCCAAAAAAAAAAAAAAACAAAAAAGAAAAAGGAAGTTATAATTTAATCCTTTTAATCTCTGCAAAAAAAAAAAAAAAAAAAAAAGAAAAAGGAAGTTATAATATTATCCTTTTAACTCTCTGCTGCGTTTTGTTTGGCTTAGTATGTCAAAATGCGCGGAATTTTATAGATTTCATAATTTCACTTTATATTTATTTTTTATCTGTTTTATTTTAATTTTTTTATGATAATAGTATTCTCAATTATAATTATGAGATTAATTTTTTTATAATAATAGTATTCTCAATTATAATTGTAAATAAAAAAATAAAGCAAATGAATGAAGTAATTTTTTTTATGTTTTGGTAAGGAAATACTGTCAAATATACTTAATTGTAAATAATTTATCAATTTTTGATACTTAATTGATACGAAATAAAGTTGAAATACTAAAATGAAAAAAATTTGACTCTGAGTTTATAGTTTAACCTTTTTACGTTGATTAAGGCGTTGAAGCCCACACTAAAGAGACAAGTGACGGACACATAGCCCAATTCGAATCGAAGGATATCCAAAAGGCTGTCGCTCTACCTAAGGCCAGCCGCCAGAGAGATGAGGGCCGATCATGCTTCCACTTTACTTTAAGAGGCGTTGTGGTCATGTCCATTCTTGAGAGTATCAACTACCGGTGTCTTATTATACGAAAATAATAAAATTTAAATAAAATTTTTATTTGGAGTATTTATATATGATACCAAAATTACAGATTTACCTATAAATAAATACATTACTCATCTAATTCGCGTGTCAATCTGTGACATGACACGTTTATATTCGTATTATAAATAAATGAATTATCTATGGCACGAATCCACCGTTTATTTCACTCATTAGGTGAATCGTATTTGTGTGTCGTTATCAATTTTGATACTTCTAATCACTCTTAACTTAAGCCTTTGACAGATTTGATGGATCCACAATCAATATTGTTCTACTCAATTAAATGACCATTTCCTAATTTAAAATACTGTCATACATTTTAAAAATTAGACGAAATCATAAAATATGTACCAATTTAATTTGGATCGTTATATCTCGACATGATTATTTAGACCTCAACTTAGCAATTCCAAAGCATTTTATCTTATCCACTAATGAAATCAATTTAATTAAAACAAGCAATTTATCATTTCTCCTACAAGTAAGAAAAAAATAAAAGAACAATTAGATAAATCCTCCCTAAATGGCTAAATCCAAATCCTTATTATCCTAACGATGAAATGGCAAAACGACATTACTTTAACAAAGCGCAGTAAAATTTGTAACTTGTAGATGGAAATTTCCGCCGTTAGAAGCAAACAGAAACAAGCCACGTGTATTTCTTAGATGATCTGACTCTTTGCATCGTCGTCTGTAGTGGACTTCTTTCTTACTGCTACAAATACTTCTAGTTACTCGGTCATTTTTGTTTTCTAGTCGCTTTTTAGATTGAATTTGGAAAATTTTTGAGTTATGGCGGAGATAGGGAAAATTGTGCTTGACTCAGATTGGTTAGCGGTGAGATCGACGGAGGTGCAACTCAACGGGACGCAACTCACCACCACTCACCCTCCTACTGGTCCCAACTCGCCATGGATGCCAGCTGCTGTTCCCGGAACGTAATATACAGCAATTCATTTCTTTCTTTTGTTGGAATTATTTCTATTTTTGGATTTTTTTTATTTAAATCTGGCCTAATCTTTATTTGATGACTCAATAAACTTGTGTTGTCAATGTGATTTTGCTTTAATTAACAGTAAATCTTGTAGAATCATGTACAGGTGTTTGGATTTAATTATAGTTTTTTTTTTTTTTTTTTGAATTACAGAGCTGTGATTTCTTTTGCAGTGTTTTGGGAACTCTTGTAAAGAGCAATGTGGTGCCTGATCCTTTCTACGGTTTGAATAACGAAGCAATTTTGGATATAGCTGTTTCTGGAAGGGAGTACTATACATTTTGGTTCTTCACTACTTTTGAGCATAAGCTGGTATGCGATACTTGGCTATCAGTGTCAAATATGACATAAGATAAGATTGCTCTTTTTTTTTTTGGGCTAGTGTGATGAGTTTTGTGTTAATGCCCAATTCAGATTGTCATTGACCCAACTCCTTCTATTCATTATATTTTGCAATATTGGACCATACTGGCCGGGTATTTTGCACCAAAATCTGGGAAAAATGTTAACTTGGCATTTAAAGATCACTGGAAATTCTTTTTTGCTTCTTGATTTTTGATAGGCCGACTTTGATAATTGTCTCTAATTCATTGGAATTTTCCAGTCAAGGAATCAACACCTGGAGCTCAATTTTCGTGCAATCAATTACTCTGCTGAAGTGTATTTAAATGGACACCAGATGGTGTTGCCAAAAGGGATGTTTCGAAGGCATTCTCTTGATGTTACTAGTCTTCTAAATCCTGGAGGGCGGAATTTACTGGCCGTTCTTGTACATCCTCCAGAACATCCTGGGAGTATTCCTTCTGAAGGAGGGCAGGGTGGTGATCACGAGGTATATATGGCTAACTTTGCAAAACCTGTTAGTGGATTCAGTAATGTCTTACTGGAATTACAGAAAGATATCAGTGCGTTGATGGCTTAAAGTCAGTTGATTAATTGACTAAAAGTTGAACATGAATCTAACAGTCTATATTTTTCCTCTTCTGTAGATTGGTAAAGATGTTGCTACACAATATGTCGAGGGTTGGGATTGGATGGCTCCTATAAGGTTGCAATTTGTTACTTTGAGAATAAAGAGTGTAAATTATAATAATAATATTATTCTTTTTTATTCTCCATATAAAGCTTATTTCTGATGGTTTGTTAGAATGGTAGCAATTGACTTGTTGAAACTGATCATAGAACATATGCAGTGTGTTTAAATACATGATGATGAGGCAAAATCAATTCACTCACAAGCTTCTGCTGCTTATTTTGTTCTTCCTTTTAAAAGTGTGATTTAACTACAGTTATTAATTGGATTCGTTTGCTGTCTGCCATCATTACTATTTCAGAGATAGGAACACTGGCATATGGGATGAGGTTTCAATTTATGTCACTGGGGTGAGTCCAATATATTATGCTGAATTCCTTTTTCACAATCTTTCTCAATGCATTCTTTTGATATTATAATAGTATCTCATCATCCATATTACTAGTCAAGATTATCAACTTACTCTATGCTTCGATATCAAAAGATGTGTAAGGAGTAGATAACGAAGTAAATGAATCTTTTTTTTTTTCTTGAATTAACTAAGTAAATGAAGTTAAATTCACCTGATATTGTTTAGATATCTCATTAAAAGTGGCAGAAAGTTAAACACGTTTTCACTCTTCAACTCCTATTAAATAGCTTTGGTTTTTTAGTATAAGAAGAGAATATTAGTAAATTAACATCTCACTTAATTTCACAATATTCCTTTTGTTTTGGAAGGAACTAAAAAGTGGCTTTGGAGGGGAATTAAGAAGTCTAACTTCCCTATACTTATGACCTTTTCCCTTAAACGTCTCTCAAAACAAACAATCTGTTAACTTCAGACTAGCCTTGACTAAGATCTAGGGCAATCTGAATAGTTTATTTTTCATTTTGGATATATGTACTTGATCTTATTATTCACTTATGCCTAAGAGCAATCTTGTGCAAATTGGAGACTTGAGTGTATTTCTTTAAATCTATGACTTTGGCAGTGGTGCTTATCTCCTTATTTTTATATGACTTCGTAATCATTAGAATGTTATATATCAATGCACATTCCAATTTGGTGCAGCCAGTGAAAATTATAGATCCCCATTTGGCATCAACATTTTTCGATAATTACAAGAGGGTATATTTGCATGCTACAACTGAGTTGCAAAACAAAGGGACCTTGGTTGCTGAATGTGATGTAACTATCCAAGCAACATTGGACACTAAAGAAAGCTTTTGCTTAGTTGAGCACCTTCAGACAATACATGTGTCGATCCCGGCTGGAAAAACTATTCAATATACATTTCCTGAGGTTAGTTAAGCAGACATCATTGATCTTCAAAGATAAAATGTGATTGATTGCTGCTCCCCTGATGCCTCTCGATAGTCCTGTATCTTAAAATGGCATGCATGACATACAGTCTCTTACTATATATATATATATTTTTTTTTTTTTTATCTTAAATGCAAATGCATGACATAAGTCTCTTACTATATATATAATTTTTTTTTTTTTTTGGAATTTGTTTATTTTTATTTCATATTGTTGACATTAAGCAACCAATTTGTGAAAGTTGCATGTACATGCGCCCTAGCAAATTGCTACTTTGACCAGTATATTCCTCTTGATACTCTTGTAAGGTTCCTCTGATTTGATGAACTCCCTTTAGTGTAATTTTACCTAAAAGATTGCTTGTGTCAGCTGCTTTTCTTCCTTGTTCTTTTCATAGAATTAAGTCTGATT